TGGAAATGGTGATGTGATACTGCGGATACATTATATTAGCAGCATCCCCGACTGGGATGCTTGGCGTACATGCCGTTGCACGCGATAGAGACCTTATCACCCGTCGGTCAGGTCGAGCTGACGGACGAAACGAGATGCATATGAGGAACCAGGGTTCGTTGATTCATCCACACCATCCACCCCAGACAGATCCCATTGCGGGAAACCTCTCGACGGCTGGCTGAATTCCAATATTAGCGCGCGCGCCTGTCAGGGATCTCTTTCAGGTCCGTCTCCTCCGTACAGAGTTGGGCAGTGTCGCCGAGAGTGTCCGTTGATTCTCCATAGTATTTTGCTGCATTCTGGCTTCGCGAGCCTCAACAGCATTCGCGGCCAGTAATTGTAATTATTAATCCGTGACTGATACCGTACAGGATCGGTTTTCGCCTCCTTACACATCGGGCTATGGGCGATGGCGTGCCGCGTCCGATGACATCCCGCCACTCTTGGTTGGTCTGATAACTGAGACACTCAATGGTCGGGGCCTTTATTCCTTGTTCCAAATCAATCAGGTGCATCTGAGCTGGCCCAGAAGTCCAAATCGAACTGGCTGGAGATAGGACGCCATGGAGATAAACCTGGCCAGCCAGACGCACATGATGCTGGCCTGCTTACCCATCCACTACTCCTCGATGCACCGCTCGCTTGGGTCCGGGGAGAAAGCATGTCAAGCAGCATACCATCCTCGTGACAATACCACCGGCCGGGCCGTTCTATCCTTGTCCTATTGACACGCAGAACCACCCAGATTGAGCAATGCGCTCACCGAGACGACCAGTAACAAGGCCACACCATCTGCTGCTCCTTGTTCGAATGAGTCTTCCGGTCCAGCCAGCCGGTCCTTTTCTTACGGACACGGGTGGAGCTAAAACCAAGTGGTTGTCTATCTATCTATCCGCCGTTTTATCTGACGGCAGATACCAACACTTCACCCAGCACCGCTGTGCCTCATTCTTTTGAGAAAACGGAGACGTATTCTTGCGCCAGGATCCCTGTGTTTCCATTGTGGATAGATAAAACGTGGATACCTATTCATGGCATAGCATATTAGAGCATCATATAGGTGAGTTATCATGCAGTGGCAAACTGTATATAGAAAGGCCATGTTTTTGATGCCATCAGAACAACTGGGGCGGCTTCGACTGAGAGGACCGCCAATCTGTCCGTGCCTCATTCTATTTCCAGCTTCAGGATGTGCATATTGCCTGGGGGTATTGATTAGAGACGACATCATCCACGAAAGAAGTCATACTCCCGGAACCGAGCACGAGCCAGGGCACTGTCCATCTAACCGAAATACCTTTCTTTCTCCAGCTTACAGCCCGCCCCTTGTCAAATATGCATGTCGCACTTGGGTTGATGATTCTGTACATACCTACGTAGAGCGTACGTACGTAAACTGAGCGCAGGCATACTACATACTAATAAACACATAATCAATATTGATGCTCATTTCGGGTGTCGCTCATCTGCACACCCCGAGCCCTGTCGCTAACACGTCTATGCACGCCCGCGAGCTAGCAGTGGACTATCTCGTAACTCGTGTATCAGCATCATGATTCCCTTAGCCTTGACAGCCATTGCGCGCGCTCTGCCGCCGGCTCTTGGGGTCACATGGACAATCACGCGTTCCCTCGCCTCCCCCCTCTCCCTCCCCTCTATTGACAGCCGTTGCTTCTCGTCGCCACCAGAAGGTCGCTGCCGCCATTTACGCGCAGGTAGGTGCCGTCCTTTCCTGGCTGCTAAATGATTGCATGTATTTCCTTTCTTTTGCCTGTCACGTCGCACAGACATGGGCCGCGCAGCCGGGCCTATGTACAATGCATCCCTACCTTAACTTCCATGTAGGTACACCCCAAGTAGCCGCCACCGTTGCTGGCCGCGCTGCATGAGGCCTGCAGCTGGGCCCTGCCTCGATTCGTTCGCGCATGCTTTTTAGTATTTCACCTGGGAGCTCTCTCGAAGTGGCGGACCCGCGTGGCCCAGACAGCCCACCGTCGCACCCTCCGTACATACATGCACCCAACCACATAAGCATGGAGCAAGAAGTGAATGCATGTACAAGATCTATCTTCTTTTCTCATGCAACAGGGTTGTCCTTGGCGGGGGTTGGGTTTCACGTGCCAGCTGGAAAACGCCGTGGGGCCGGATCAGCAAATCGTCGACAGTATCTACCTATTTCTTGTTCTATAGACGCTCTGAAGCAAAGAGACGTTGCAGATGGCTATCACATGGGAAATATGACTCCTCCACCCCCATGCCATGCTTGGGTTTCGCCATCGCAAGTCTTTGGATCCTTCTCTCCCTCGGAACGTCTCGGCGGATTCAGGATAACAAAGGTCAAAGGATGGTCGGCCGACGGGTCGGTTTGATATCGACCTCAGTCAAAACAAGAAATCCTGATGCCCGAGCTGGGCTGACCACATTCCAACGCTTTTGATTGGAGTTCCTTCCCGGAGCCCAGAGCGCCACCAGGCTGAGACGCTGCGTGAAATGCTCGAGCGCGGAGACGCTTCCGAGTTCCAGCGAGCCTTTCGAGAATGGGCTCTTTATGGCGCATGAAATTGGGTAAGACAAAATCAGCTGTAATAGGCTACGTGATTGGGTGCCGTAATCAACGTCGCATTAGGCTACCGAGGCTGGGGAAACGATGTATGCGCGCAGCCGTGATTATCTATCAAGTCTGCAAGTCTCCTATGTAATAACCTGGATGGAAAGGCTCCGCCTCGTCTGTAGATCTTATTGCTTGGGAGAGATTCGTGCATATTGTACGTGCGCTTTCCAGGGATGGCTTGGTCACACACACATTTTGCGCATTGTACCCTCCATACGAATAGGAGCCGAGGACTGCCATGCGCACCGATCTTCTGGGGTAATCAGGGTCCCATCCCATTATTGTTTCATTGATGAAACTAAACGCACTGATCTCGTGGGAAGGAAGGGAAGGGAGGGGGGCGTTAGTCGGGACGCGAGGAGAAAGTGAGGGTGACCAACTCCCTCCCCGGCTGAAATGGAGGATGCCCATGCTGCGGCAAGGGTCGGGAACAAAGGGGAGATGGTGTGTCCAAGTTGGACGGGCTTGGCCATGCAGTCCTTACCAAAGGCCCCCTGCCCTGGTCCCCCCAGTCGCTGAGTGACTGATCGCATGCTGATCTTCACCTTGCTTGTTTGGCTGCTGCAAGAGCATGGGTCATGAGGTCGACCCAGACCCGCCCGAGCCCTTCGAATCAAGAGTCGACTGACCCCGCCGACCACCTTTACCAAGGGTGCGTTTCCAAGGATGTGAGCCATGCCCCATTCCATGCCCGTTAGCAGTGGATGTACCCGGCATGTACATACATTCGCTCTAAGATACACACGTCCGCATGTATGGAAGCACCGCCTTTCCAAGACACGTTGCTTGCAAATCGCTTATGGCACTTGCTCTCTGATTATCGACTGGCGTATGTATTGTGTGTGATGGGTGCTACGTTGGGGCCAAAACTCCCAGACTTCGCCGAACATCCGGTCTGTCTCCCACTCCATTCCGTAGCCGTCTCGGCCGTCGCAATGGAAAGAGTCCAAGTGAAAACTGATAGTACACACACCGTCGAGCGCGGGTATACCACAAGAAAATCCCTAGCACTGCAACAACGGCCATGTCAAAGAGGAGAAGGTGATAATCTTCTGCTGACGGGCTGCCAAAGAAACCCACCGCATCAAATCACATTCGCGGCCGCCCTCTGCGTGTCAGATGAGGAACTTTACGGAAATCCCCGCCAATGGTGCAAGAGATTTGGGGGCTTCTGGTTACTCAATCGTTGCGTCCAGGCTTTTTTTTGGATCGAATGGTGATGTGACAACTGTCCTTGTTTTCCCTTCGCCCTTGAACCTGGCAAGGTGGTACCGTATAGATGGTATGAGGCAACTGGCCCCTTGGATGCCAGTCAGTTGGCAAGTTTTCGTGCTGCCATACTGAACTCTCTTCACGCCTACGTATGAAACTACCTTGCAGGATGCATGTAAGCCTTGGGCATATACCATAAGCCAAAAGTGGCATCTTAGCTGCTGATGCATGACGGATGAATGATAAGATCCTGACAGGATCTCGGCGCCACTCGTAACAATTCCTCTACGCACGGGGCAGTTCCGTTTGGCATCTGGATCGTAGAGCTGGTTTCGCACCACAGAGTCACAGCATGCCTGCGGCTGAAAACAGAAACCCGGTGCACGCTTCGTGCAGGTTGTGCCAACCCAGACCAAGCCCAGTCAGACCGAGGGTCTCTTGAGGGGTCATTGATGTGAAATGTGATCGCCGAGCCTCGGCCATATGATGGCCCAAGGGATGTCCTTGTTTCTAAAGGAACCCCCTCTTCAAGACAGTAGCACTGAGGCCGGCCAAACATCTCGATCCAATGCGCATTGACGTAGTTGGGTTCCGTCAACAAGCATGTTTCAAGACAAAGAAGGGTCGGTGAGGAGTTGATGCATCATTCAAAAGCATGCCAAATGGTGGCCAGCGAAAATTATACGTGTCAGTCGGTATGACTCAATCGAAAAAGACATGCATGGATGGGTACTCCATCATCGTTGAGAAAAACCTGATTGGAATCAGATATCAAAACATCTTTGAACAGCCTAAGCGACTGACATAAATTATAGTACACCAAAGCTCTGTTCACGCAAGCCAGGGACCTTATTTTCTTATCAATAATACTCAACACAATAATAAGAAATTTACAGATTATTAGACTATAGCATTTAGCTTGATATTTTATTTACTACTAATTAATTGTCTTGATATTGTGTTCATATTCCGTTGAAATTCAACACTAGAAGTTCTGGGTGTGCCATATTTTATGTCAATCGCTTGACAGCGTAGAGTGAGTACCATTAAGCATCATGTGGTGGTTCACGTGGCTTTAATGTCGAATGTCGTTCGTCTGTCTCGAATCTTTTAGAGTCAGGGCAAAGAATCACAGCTAGTAGCGGCGGGCGTGCCCAATAATAGCAGCAATCTTTCGTAGATCCTCGACTTGAATGATGATATCTCCTTCCCCTTCCCGTGGCTGGCGATCAAATAGATCAGCAAATTCCAGTCGTAATGCACCTCCAGTAACACAATAAGATTCAGGAAGGATTGGACTTGCATCCGGGGCCCTTGTGATGTTGATTGCTTGCTGAAGGCATGGTCTTAGACCAGAGTCGCCCCCTATTGCTCGAAGAGACATTGCACCGGAACGTCGCTCAGGTAGACGTTCTCGCCACGTTTCAATAGTTATTTCTTGCCGTGACGGAGAATGCATCTTGACAAGGAGAACCAGTTTGACCTTGTGATCTGACTCACTGAACAACCACTTCAGCTCTCGCCTCAAGGCTTCAAGTGACTGCGAGTATCCAGCTTCAATGACAAGCGTGGGCCAGGCTCGATCCTGTGGCTCAAACGGACGTCCACTTGAATCACCCTCCCCAGCTGCTCCACCGGGTTGCTGCCTATATGTTGCACCACCACATGGAAGCCAGCCAAGCCCCATAGCTGAGATTCTTCGGTGTATCTGATAGTCGATCTCTCTGTGCATAACTTCATAACACTCAGTTGGAAGTGTAATAATGAGCAGGGACTGTTCTGGGTAAAATCGCTTAAATCGATACTTCCGTCCCTTTGATTCTCGGTACTTGTCAAGAATATCATAGACTTGTGGAGTCACATCTAAGAAAAATACTCAGATGTCAGCCTGAAGGCAAGTCTAGCTGGCTGTTTTGCTTTTCTTTACCTTGCACGCAGAGCACGTCTCCTTCTGTCGCGTCAATAATTTGAGTAAGAAGTCGGGCTGTTTGAAATTTGACCAAAGGAAGTTCCTCGGATTCGATGAATGAGATAACTGTAGGGTCAGTATCAACAGACATAACCGCTTGTGAACCCGCATGTGAAGCTACCGATTCTGTCTTGGTGTATGTGTGGAGAAAATCGCAGGGATTATTGAGAAGCAAAGTCAAGTGGCTGTCAGAAAAACAGGGACACCTTGATAGCATTATTGTGGCAATTATTCATATTATAATACTTCCTATAGTACAACACTAAGCAATTTTTTGTTTTCCCTAATGATTACTTAATAATTTGTTCTTCTGATTATTATTAATCATTGTCTACCAATATTGTAGCCTGTATTGGAAACTTGAGATAAATACCTTTGCAGTCCCTTATTCTGACACCCACTTGAGCAAGGTGGGGCTTGAGGCTCGTTTTAACAACCTACGAGTGGGTGGGGATTGCTTATCGATAGGCGAGGTTGGAAATCAAGCATCGAACTTTCATCCACCACAAGCTTCTTCGCATATCCAAACCTAGAGGAGGCGTGCGGCCCAAGACACAATAATTAAAATGACGAGCCTTAAAAGATCTGTTGACAGCGATGTTTTCGCGTCAAATATTTCCAACAAGACCTACGTGCGGTCAACCCGAAGCGGCAAGGTCCAGAAAATTGTGAGAGAAGTCTATCTCAGAACCGATATCCCATGCTCCTCCAAACTCTGCAAGGCTTGTCTTGCGGACGCGCCTAGGAATGCCGCCCAAGAAGGTGAGTCCCCAATAGCTGAGCTTCCCTTTGCCTGTTTCCTGACTCTGACCTCCGCCCAGCCCAGCCTTTCGTGCTCTCAGAGAAGCCAGCCGGGACCAAGGCTTTCCCACAGGGACACTACTTGGTGCCGGACACAAACGCTGTTCTCAACGCAATGGATCTTTTTGAACAGACGTCTGCATTTTACGATGTAATCATTCTACAGACTGTCCTGGAAGAGCTGCGCAACAGGTCTCTACCTCTATACAACCGGCTTGTAGGTTTGACCAAGAGCGAGGACAAGCGATTCTACGTCTTCTTCAACGATTTTCGGCAAGAAACCTATGTTCAGCGGGGCCAGAATGAGACCGTCAACGATCGCAACGATCGCGCTGTTCGCAAGGCTGTCAAGTGGTACGCTGAGCATCTGGCTCAAACAAAGGCCAAGTCGATACCTGCTGTCGTGATGCTCAGCAACGACAAGGAGAACCTTCTCAAGGCCAAGGAGGACGGACTAAACGGATCGACTCTACGCGAGTACGTCAGCACATTGGAGGATGGCGATCGTCTCCTGGACATGGTTGCCGAGGTCGAGAGCTCAGGGGGTTTCCAGAAGCAGGGCCAGATGCTGTACCCCGAGTACTTTTCCGTGTCCAAGATGATGACGGGAGTCAAGGCCGGGTTGATGCATCAAGGCATATTCAACGTTTCTCCATACAACTACTTGGAGGGCTCCATCAAAGTTCCTGCATTCCCAAAGCCTTTACTGATTCTTGGCCGCGAGAATATCAACCGAGCTATCGACGGCGATGTTGTTGTCGTCGAGGTCCTCCCACAAGACCAGTGGAAAGAGCCCTCGACCAAGATTATTGAGGAGGAAGCTATCACAAAGAATGAAAACGCCGATGCGGAGGGTGGCCAAGACTTGGTGTCAGAAAAGGAGCGGAAGGCTCTCCAGGAGGAGGTCAAGAAGACACAGAAGGGCTCCTCTGAAGGTCGACCACAGCCAACAGCCAAGGTCGTTGGTGTGGTAAAGCGCAACTGGCGCCAGTATGTTGGACACATTGACCCCTCTTCGGCAAGCAGGGCAACAACTCAGGGACGAAAGCAAGACAACGTATTCCTCATCCCAATGGACAAGAAGATTCCCAAGATCCGGCTACGTACACGCCAGACCTCAGAGTTGCTTGGGAAACGGCTGCTTGTCACCATCGACGCGTGGGAGAGAGATTCAAGACACCCTGTCGGCCACTTCGTCCGCTCCTTGGGAGAACTGGAGACCAAGGCTGCCGAAACCGAAGCCCTTTTGCTGGAATGGGATGTCCAATATCGACCGTTCCCCAAGACAGTTCTTGACTGTCTGCCCAAGGAAGGCCACGACTGGAAGGTGCCAGTCAGCAACGAAGACCCAGGTTGGAGAGACCGTGAGGATCTCCGTGATCTTCTCATCTGCAGTATCGATCCTGTTGGATGTCAGGATATTGACGACGCGTTGCATGCACGGAAGCTTCCGAATGGAAACTTCCAAGTTGGTGTTCACATTGCTGATGTCTCCAACTTTGTGAAGCCGGCCAATGCCATGGACACTGAAGCAAGCATCCGAGGCACAACAGTTTACCTTGTTGACAAGCGTATCGACATGCTTCCCCCGCTGCTCGGAACAGATCTTTGCTCGCTCAAGCCTTACGTCGAACGGTATGCCTTCTCCGTTCTCTGGGAACTCAACGAGAACGCCGACATTGTTAATGTTCGATTTACCAAATCTGTCATCAAGTCCCGCGAGGCATTCAGCTACGAGGAAGCACAAATAAGAATAGATGATGAATCGCAGCAGGATGACCTCACCAAGGGCATGAGGATGCTGCTCATGCTCTCCAAGAAGCTCAAGCAGAAGCGCATGGACGCCGGCGCACTCAGCCTGTCGTCCCCCGAAGTCAAGGTCCAGACCGAATCCGAGACCTCGGACCCCATCGACGTCAAGACAAAGCAGCTCCTCGACACAAACTCCCTGGTCGAGGAGTTCATGCTGTTCGCCAACATCAGCGTCGCCGCCAAGATCTACGAGGCGTTCCCCCAGACCGCCATCCTGCGCCGCCACGGCGCCCCGCCAAAGACAAACTTCGACGAGCTCTCGGAGCAGCTCCGCATCAAGTGCGGCATGGAGCTCCGCACCGACTCGAGCAAGGCCCTCGCCGACTCCCTGGACCAGTGCGTCAAGCCGGGCGAGCCCTTCTTCAACACCCTCGTGCGCATCATGGCCACCCGCTGCATGATGAGCGCCGAGTACTTTTGCTCGGGGACCCAGGCGTACCCCGAGTTCCGCCACTACGGCCTGGCCTCGGAGATCTACACCCACTTCACCTCCCCCATCCGCCGCTACGCCGACCTCCTCGCCCACCGCCAGCTCGCCGCCGCCATCGACTACGAGGCCGTGCACCCGTCCGTCCGGAGCCGCGGCCGCCTCGAGGCCGTCTGCAAGAACATCAACGTCCGCCACCGCAACGCGCAGATGGCCGGCCGCGCCTCCATCGCGTACTACGTCGGCCAGGCCCTCAAGGGCAAGGTCGCCGAGGAGGAGGCCTTCGTCATGAAGATCTTCAGCAACGGCTTCGTCGTGCTGGTGCCGCGGTTCGGCATCGAGGGGCTCATCAGGCTGAGGGACCTGGCCGAGCCCGAGCCCGAGAGCGACTTTGACGCCGAGTCGTACACGCTGACCACGTCGGGGAGCAGGGAGGTCAAGGTCGAGCTGTTCCAAAAGGTCAAAGTTAGAGTCCACGACCACAAGGATGAGGCGACAGGAAAGAGAGGTGTGAAGATGGAGTTGATTAGCGCATAAAGGGGGGAGTAGTTGTGAATTGATAAAGTTTAGCAAAAGTTCCAAGTAATGTCACTTGCAAGTATAGAGTCTTTGAAAAGAGGTATAAAAAGTGTTTTATACCAAAATCTAGTTCATTTGTATATTTTGTTCCCAGCCAAGCCTATGAACGCCATACCAGCATGTTATGAAAAACCCTCATCATAAAAACAATCACTCGTTCGTAACACGAGATGGCGCAAAAATCAATCTGCAACTTTTCGACTACTGCTCCATAGCGTCATCCTTGCCAGCCTCGTTGTCGCCCCAGAGTCCCTCAAGCTTGAACTCGGCTGCCCATTCCGTGACGATATGCTTCTGGTCGGCCATGACCTCCTCCTCGCCTGCATTCTTGATCTCACCCTTCGTTGGCGTCTTGGATGAGTCGACGGCAAGAACGGGGGGTTCAACCCATCCCTGGATACGGCCGTCACGCCAGTCGGTGATGACTGCCATGGCAGCACCATTCAGGTTGGGAATGCCTCCCCTTCCGAGACGGCCGCGCTTGCGGGCCACTTGTACAAGGAAGTCGCTGGTGATATCACCGTCAGCCTTGCTAGGGAGGAGGGCAGCGATGTCATAAACATCATTGAGCTTCTGCAAGAGGTCGGGGGAAGCGGAAAGGCGGCGGATGAGAAGGTTGACGGCAGGGATTGGGTCGTCGATCTGCTTAGGTGGCACAGCGTTGAGAAGGACAAGGTGAGCATGCGCTTCAGTTGCGTTCTTGAGAGAGACAAGTCCAGCCGAGTGTGAGGAAGAGGAAGAGGGGAAGACGACACCAGGTGAGTCAAGCAGAGTCAGCTTGCTGTCGATCTTGACCTTACGAATGCTCGTGGTCACACCAGCCTCGGCTCCGGCAGGGCATGCCTTGTTCGAAGCACCGCCCTTTCCGCTCAGTCGTCCCAGCAAGGCATTGATGACGGAACTCTTGCCCACATTGGGGTATCCAATCACACCAACAGAGACTGCGCGCTTCAATTGGCGGCTCGTGGCATAGCTCTTCAATGCCTTGAATAAATCGGCCGACGTGCTCTGTACAGTGAGGTCGCGGTGGTTGAAGGTGTGGGCATTTGGAGCAGGGTTTGATGCTCGCAGAGGAAGTGTTGGGAAGTAACGGCGAAGGTAGATGAGCCAGTCGCGCAGAACCTTGGGAGGAACCAGATCGACCTTGTTGAGAACAAGAATGAGGCGCTTTCCGCCAGAAGCAGCAGCCATGACACTTCGTTCCACATCTCTTGAGCGGGTACCTTCGGGGTCACGAGCATCCAGGACGTAGAGCACGACATCTGCCTCCTCTACAACCGACTTAAAGACCTTGTCGTAGGTTTTTCGAGATGAAGCCTGACCAATAGACATCCGCTCGCCATCGTTAACCGACTCATCGCTGTCGTCATCCTCGTCCATGGCATCGTCGTCGGCGAGTTTTCGATCATAATTCTCGGCCGCAGCCCGGGCGCTGGCGAGCAGGGCAGCCATCGGGTTCGACTCATCGATGTCCTCATCCATGCCGTCGTCGTCGTCCATATATTCTTCTCCACCATCAGTAACGACATTGCCCGTTCCCTCGTCGGCATCCTGCTCGCCACCAGTCTGAGCAGCTTTGACCATCTCTTTTCTTCGTTGAGCCTCTTCCTTCTTTCTCAAGCGCTGTTGTTCGATCTCTTCAAGAACCCTCTCCTTGTAAGGGAACAAGTTGGGGATTCCAGGATCCTTCTTCAACTTCGACCTCCATTCTGGGTTCTTCTTGGCGAGCTTGCGATCCTTCCTCTGCTTGGCCGCGGACGCTTTCTGGATCTTGTGGCGAAGGCGGGTTGTACCTCGCTTGGACTTGGGCTCTGTAAGTTGGAAAAGTTAACGAATGCCATGCTAAAGTGTCGCAGCCATTGCGCTTGGGTTATCCTACTCTTTGGGTTATTGATTGTTCCTGCCATTGTGAAATTTCTGCGGCGAGAATTGCCGATCTAAACAGTCTTCACAGGCTGGTGGATTAGCGACAGGCAACTTGGACACCCAAAAAATTATTCGAAAAATTCCCATATCTGATGTGGGGTTGCCATTCTGCCACAAAAATATCCACATTTCGCTCACCGCCTCTATTCACCAACTGATAACATGATAAGCACTCGAGTGGGCAATATGGAGACGAGGTCGCCGCGATAATTCAAGCAGGGTCTCAAAGAGGAGAAAGTATGTCGTTCTATTGGGTTTAGTTTGTACCGGTTATTTTGGTTATCATTCGTCAAAAAATAGGACTCAAATCTATCTGTAAAAGCTAAGTGCAGCGTTCCAGTGTGCCACCCTATGCCACCCATCTCCCACATGCTGTTGCACTCCGATCACCGGGGCAAGGCTCAGGCCTGCTGAGCTCCATGTCTGTATGCGAACCAGCGGGCACTGGTCAACAGCGGGTTCTTTCAGCATTTGGCCCATCATAAATAACCTACAATCTCCAACTCCATATCTCATAAACGATTTGACAGCTATCTTCTCCCTACTTTTGGTGTAAAAATGGCAAATATATCAGCCGAGCTTCTGGCCAGTAAGCTGCAGGACGCCATATCCAAATACATAGAACAGAACCAAGTATCCAAGGCTCTCCATGAGGAGGCTTTGACCAGCCTGCCCGGCGGAAATACCCGGACCGTGCTCCATACAGACCCTTTCCCCTTATATATCAAATCAGGCAAAGGGTATCAAGTTACCTCAGAGGACGGAAGGGTGTAGGCTGGTCCCAACACATCCATTCTTTATAGAAAAAAAGGAGACTAATTGGCTGCAGTTACACCGACCTAATCGGGGAGTTCTCTGCAGCTCTATATGGCCACTCCAATGACAAAATCATTGGAGCTATCGAGAAGGCAATCCACGGCTCTGGCTTGAACATTGGCGGCACTACTTCGCAGGAGAAGCTCTTTGCGCGTCAACTGTGTGACCGCTTCCATCTCGAGAGAGTACGCCTCGCCAACTCGGGTACCGAGGCCAACTTGCATGCCCTGGCAGCTGCAAAGCTCTTTACCGGGAAGAGAAAGGTCGTGGCCTTCAGCAACGGATATCATGGTGGTGTCCTGACCTTCTCAGGTGATAAGCCAGCTGCCAACAACGTGGATATTGAGGACTGGGTCGTTGTCAAGTACAACGATCTGGAGGGCGCTCAAGCAGCCATACGAAGGGAGGGCGTAGCCGCTGTGATCATGGAAGGTATGCAAGGTGCAGCTGGCAGTATAGCTGGGACACCCGAATTCCTCCACGGGGTACAGAAGGCTGCAAAGGATGTAAGTTGGTCAAATTAGTTGCCCTTCCTACCTGTATAAGGTCGAACACTGATTCAATTTGTAGGCTGGCGTTGTCTTCATTCTCGACGAGGTGATGACTTCAAGGATGTCTACCAACGGCCTTGCACATCTCCGCGGGCTAAACCCCGACCTAAAGACCCTCGGAAAGTACTTGGGCGGCGGGTTAGCATTTGGTGCTTTTGGCGGTAGAGAGGACATCATGGCTATTTTCGATCCACGGTCCTCGGGCTCGGTTTCCCATTCAGGTACATTTAACAACAACACCCTTGTCACTCGCACAGGCTACGTCGGCCTCACAGGAATATACACTCCTGAGCGTGCTCAGGCGTTCACTGACGATGGGGAGGATCTGAGACGCAGGCTCAATGAAGCTACCAAAGGGACCCGAGTCTGCTTCACTGGTGTAGGTACTCTCATGACTGCCCACTTCCCCGTAGATGGGAATCGCGACTTTGCTCGAGCCGACAGCGTTGAAGAATCAGCTGCTCTAAGGGACTTATTCTGGTACGAGATGCTAGACCAGGGCTTCTGGCTCGCCCGTCGAGGCTTCATGGCCTTTATTCTTGAGACCCCACCAGCTGAGTTTGATCGGTTTGTCGAAGCAGTTAGACATTTCATATCAAAGTACAAGGAATTTGTTTCATTATAAAAAATTTTTGCAAAGAAGAATCTGTTAAAAGTTTTGGTTTTTTGCTTGCTGCTGGTTGAGATGAAGTTTGATGGTGTTGAAGCGCGTCCGCGTCTCTCCGATATTCTGCCGGCGCAATACCTTGCTCGAATGGGCCAGTAGCACCTTCAAACTTTCAAACTTTACGGGCCATAGAAAATCACCCGAACGACACAACACGATCCTACATCAATCTACCTCGCCACAGCCCAGATTAATCCACACAGCACACTCACTCAACCATGGATTTTCAAAATCGTGCCGGTTCGAAGTTCGGAGGAGGCGGCGTGGCCTCCCAATCAGCCACCAACGCCGACCGCCGCGAGCGCCTCCGAAAACTCGCCCTCGAGACCATCAACCTCGACCAGGACCCCTACTTCTTCAAGAATCACGTCGGCTCCTTCGAGTGCCGCCTCTGCCTGACCGTCCACCAGAACGACGGCTCCTACCTCGCCCACACCCAGGGCAAGAAGCACCAGACCAACCTCGCCCGCCGCGCCGCCCGCGAGCAAAAGGAAGGGAAGCGCGAAGGCCAGAACGCCATCGACCCGGCCACGGGGCTCCCTCTGGGCGTCGCCGCCCCGCGCCGCAACCTCGTCAAGATCGGCCGCCCGGGATACAAGATTACCAAGATCCGCGACCCGACCACCCGCCAGCAAGGGTTGCTCTTCCAGCTGCAGTACCCGGAGGCTGAACCCGGTGCGCCCGCGCCCAAGTGGCAGGTCATGAACGCCTTCGCGCAGCGCGTCGAGGAGCCGGACAGGAACTACCAGTACCTCCTCGTGGCCGCCGAGCCCTACGAGACCGTGGGGTTCAAGATCCCCGCCCGCGAGCTCGACAAGCGCGACGACCGCCAGTTCAGCTTCTGGGATCCCGATGCCAAGGAGTATTGGATCCAGATCATGTTCATGACTGAGCGTGAAGAGCGGTATAACGCCGCGCCCGGTCTCGGGCCCAGGTCATGAGCGACTACTACAGTGTCAGGAAGAAAGTAAATGAGAAGAAAAAAGAATATTCCGACCGGAAATCTCCACCGACATGCCAAACCGCGTGATCATCGAATCACCTGCTCATTCACAGCAAGTCGAGTCAGATTTCTCGTGTCTGTCGACTTTGCGTCAGAAAACTCTGGGTGGGATGGGCATTTACCTCTGTCCCATCATTACGCCCTCCAGCTTATTGAACCAGCAACAAAATTAGGGGGCAAGATAATTAGCACTCGCCACAGAATGGAACAGGACCAAGTAAGGATTCTTACCGTCAGTGGCAACTTGGAAAGCCAGCCAGCTAATTATTCGCAAGGATGCTGGGAAATAATCATATAGCCTCTTGCCAAGCGCAGCAACCGCGCAGCTTCGCAGCATGTTACGGGTTCTGTATTTCCTACATAGGTTTTCTCTTTTGAATAGATACCCCAAAAAGAAATTGAAATTTCGACCATATGTTCTTCATCTTCCTGGTGTAAGTTTATCCACCGTTACTACAATGCGTGTATGGTTCATGTGAATAAATTATGTAGCCCCAGCCTTGCTTAGCTCATGACTTCAGTGCCCGAACTATTCTGATTATAAATTAAGAGTCTTCATTTTCGCCGAATACAACGTATATGCATGCTTTCGAGACTAGACTCGTGTATTTTAATGTTTTTTGTATCAGAGGCGTCAGGACTATCACATTACAAGTTATGGGTGCTTTGCTTATGTCAATTCCATCCATGCCTATATCAACGTCCCCCTCCTCTGAAAAGCCTGCCAAGTGGGACAGCGAAGAGCTAGCAAGTGGCCACATTGGCTTGGCCGCCATTACCGCGAGTTGTTATCAAACCGCTTGAATGTGTAGCCAATGAAGGGAAGGCTCATCTCGGGCGACTCCTCTGGGGCGCTGCGTCCCTGTGAGATAGCCTGCGCCTTCAATATCGTTGCATTGTCCGTCTGGTCGATCTCATCCGTAGGGAAGTAGGTGGTGTCAATATTCGAGGTCAATCTCGGCTCGAAGGGGGCGCGGATGCGACGCAGGCTGTCAAAGTCTACACCGCGGAAGAAAGCGTGGCTCTTGATCTCATGAGCACCACCACGGCCAAGTCGGTTTTCTGTATTACAGACCATGCTATTTTCACAAGTTAATAAGAAAGCTCTGTGGTTGGGCCTGCCTGCAGATCCACATACCTTCGAATGAGATTCTCGGCCTGAACTCCCAAGGTGATATCATCGGGGAAGTACAGAGTTTGCCTCCAGTTCACAATCTTGCGGTAAGTATCATGGCTGTCCTCGGCGCAGAAGGGGGGCCATCCGACAAGACACTCAAACATGATAGTTCCAAGAGACCACCAATCGCAATCGTATGTGTAACCGTGGCCGGTGAAGATTTCAGGAGCGATATAGTCAGGGGTACCGACAGTAGAGTATGCCATCAACCTGCGGGAGCGTCGCCAGTCATTGATCTGAGATCGGTTGCTGACAGTCAAGTTAATCTGGTCAAGCGCAACAGAGTTGCGGTCACGAGGTCTGTTAGATTTCCCTTGCAAGAGCTGTTGGTAGTAGTTGTTATCGTGGAGCTTGTGGAAGCCAGTGGATAAACCAAAATCGGTCAACTTGACGTGACCCCCACGATCGAGAAGAATGTTATCGGGTTTGATATCACTAGTTTTGAAAAGTAAGAATGGCGAATCGTTCATGAGAAGGTTTGAAGAATGCAGCCTTACCGGTGGATAAATCCAAGCTTGTGCACAGCATCAATAGCGAGAACAATCTCAGCAATATAAAATCGGGTAATATCCTCGGAGAAGATCTCGTACTTGATGAGCATCGTCATCAAATCTCCACCAGGCAAGAACTCCATGAGCATGTAAAGGAAGTAAGAATCCTGGAATGTGGTGTACAGCTTGACGACCCATGGACTGTCGGACTCTGCAAGAATATCACGCTCGGCACGCACGTGCGCCAGCTGGTCCTTCTTGAACATTTCCGTCTTGATGAGAGACTTCATGGCATAGACCTTTCCGTCGCCCTTCTTCTGGACCAGTTTGACTTCACCGAATGCTCCCTTACCGATAATCTTGACGGTGTTGTAGTTCTCGGGTTTATCCTTGGTTCGCAAGAAACGAAGATACTGGCCTTCCTTGCGCCCGGCGGTGGACCATAGCTGCTCCCTCCTAGCAGGATTCTGGCCTGGGTCTCGTAACTTCTGTTCCAGTTCACTTTGTCTAAAATGTGCCAAGAATATTGTTAGCGTCTGGAAATAAAATATAAGGTCAAGGAGTCAAGTTCTTGGTCGTCACGGCTTCCAGTGGCACGCACCTTTGATTTCGCTCTCTGGCTCGTTTTACACTGTCCATAAAGAAGCCCTCTGCCAACTGATAACACTTCTTCTGGTTGCTATTCGCATTGGTCCCGTACTTGTCTGGGTTTCTCTGCGGTGCAGCTTGGAATTCGGGGACAGGTGCTGCATTCTGTGCGGGCAAGGGGGGGGTGGAATAGTTGTTATAGGCAGGTTGCGGTTGGGAAGAGCCGCCGGCAGTTCGAGGTCTCTGGGCAGGAGAGGGCCCTCTGGCGTAGGCGGCATTTCGGGCTGCCCCTCCTAGGTTCTGATGCGAGAACTGGTGTGCCAAACCGGTGTTGGGGTCATTGGTGCCCGGTGTGTTGGATCGCGGCTGATACTGGCCTCGAGCGTTGGGATCATCGTGCGATTGGGCATTATACTGCTGCTGGTACTGGCCCTGGTGGAAGTATCCCTGGGGAGGATACTGGCCGTGAGCACCGCCGTAGCCTTGTTGCTGTGGGTGGGCGCCAGCAGCTTGCTGGCCGCCTTGCGGAGGATAGACGGGCTGGGGGAAGGACGAGGGTGTCGTGGGATACGCTCTGCTGTCAGCAATGGGCAGCCTCTGATTATTGCTGTCGAAGTTTAGGTGCAAACGATTGTTGTTGGGATCCATGATGAATGTCTAGCAACCAGAACGAGGGGAGGAAAGGGGATGTGGGGGATTGTCGAAGCAGTTGAGATGTCGGGTGCGAGGCGAGGTGTCTATTAGCGGGGGAAGCACGCTGTACCAGGCCCAATCCAGCGGCGAGGGATGCCAAGCAAGAGACTCGTATGGCTTGAGGACCTGATGAGGCCCAAGATATCCCCTATTCCAGCCGAATGGCAAGCACAAACCGATCCAGCAGGGTGGTTGTCAAGCAAGGTTGGCGCAGAGGAAAATTGCCCGAAAAGCAATCAGTGTGTAGCAGGTAGTCGGCGGGGAGTGGTGTGGTAGCACGCGATAGCGGTCAAGGTGGGAGAGGAGGAGGGGTGACTTGGCCTGTGGTGACGGGTTCAGGGGCCCTGTAGAGCGGTTCAGCAACCAACCTGGCAGACAAGGCCGAGAGTCATGGGTCGCAGTGCCTGGGCAGGTAGCACGGACAGTCTCAATTCTATGTAAGAGAGGGCTCGTACCTGAAACTCGATCAACCTCCAGCACCAAGGACAAGGACAAGGACAAGGACAAGGACGGGAAATACAGGTGAGGAGGTGGAGAGCAGCCAGGCGAGGGCAGACGAAGAGCCTGATGAGCTTCAGGGAGGTCAGGGTCAGCACTACGGAGCACCCAACCCAATCCAAACAGCTGCTAGGAGGAGGCGGGGCACCGCCAGAAGCCCATGGCGGGTGGCCGGGGCTGCAGCCGCCCACCATCCTCTTCAGTTAGTATTGCGCTCACTGGACGGAGCCCTATTGTTGCCGCCAGGCAGAGGCCGATGAACACCAGCGGCCCAGCCCCCCCCACTAAGAGCGGACCGTGCTTAGCTGTCGTTGGACCAATGTTTTACCACCGATGGGGGCAAGTTAGCGGGCGGTGGAACGCCTCGAGCCTTTCCTTTTAGGTACTCTGCTCCTTAAGCAAGTCCTGTGTCCAATAATTTCATTATCAATATATGGTTGCTATACATTGGTAGTACGCCCATTCACTCAAGCAGGCCAGCCCCAATCCTTCCGGATAAGGTTCAGTTTATGGAGTTGTTAAATCTACTTTTCAGATAATCCCTACTCTACCGATTACCAACAGGGGAGACGCATCCAATCTCGCTAGCATATCCCAGAACTACCTAAGCTTTAGGCTTCGAGAGCCCCAGGGTCAAATATCACATACATTAAGGCGCGTATCAAGGTAAATGTACTGATCATGTCCAGGATTTGCCAGTAAGCCTGGTAATCAGATGGAATCATTCTAGAGACCTCGTCTCCTTCTGGGCCTGCCAACTCTGGTGTGGCGTATGCAAGACTTCGGAGCATTAACGATAAGATGATCTCATCGATCCTCCGTGCGAGAAGCATGTAGGTAGGGAGAACGGCTCGAATATTTACACTTGCGGTAAGATGTCAGCGCGTTCCGGCCCGACGACATTACCGGGAACCGTCATCCAAGGCCCAGTGACTGACAGCCGCTGATCAGAGGGGGCACGAGAAATTAGCTTTCTATATGGCCGAGGAAGCAACGGGGCAGAAGCGACTATCCCGTCTTGGCAGACGGATGCCATGTGAAGAGCAGACAGGGTTGGTGATGATAACCCAGCACGCAAGTTCTACCTGTCGGACGTTGATCATTTTCACACTCACGCTCTGGTCATGTTTCTTTTCCCTGAACCATGTAGTTGCACAGTACTGATGTCGCAGCCAATCAATCTTATTACGTCTCTGCAGGTTAAAGTGGATGGTGTCCAATAGCAATACACTGGCACGGTGTCTGAGTGAGACTGGGCGTCTCGTCACAGGCACGCTCGTTGCGAAAGAACGCAGGCTGGAATCCGATGGCTCGATACTCGTATTCAAATACTCCCTTGCCTCCTGCATACCTACCAAGGTATGCACGAAATCCAGGCATCCCACAATGACACTTAACAACTTGATACATTGGTCGCTCCGTATTCTCGATGCGGCTCCGACGTTGCATGGCTACTGCGTACCCCTTGCAGAAAACGGTGTCAAGGGCATAAGTTCCAGAAGGGTAGCAGAAAGTCTAACATTGAACATAAGCAAGTGAGAACCTAGCACGTTTTCCACGCCCAACCCCAGCATGTACAGCGCAGGTCCTCCGAAAAGTGACAAACATCATTATCGTCAGTTGTCCATTTGCACTGAGCCTTGGATCGTTGATTGGAGCATTAACGGATGCCAGATAGCATCAGCTCGAGTCATGGCAGTGGTTGGGGGTTAGAGGGACGTCCAGGGAATATAGTAATTCCGCTTATCGCAACAACCATTCTGCTTATCGCCTCCATTTTTTTTATTCAAGTCCCTCTTCGTGATCAGGCCCATATCGATCAGACTGGGTGGCAGGTGCTCTTCCTGGATCCATTACTCGATCTCAGTGCGACAAGTCAATCCCAGCCTGTGAATCGCCTCCATCCCCGACCATGGGCGCACCAATGTTGACGGGAAGCCAAATGGCTGAGGGGCTCGCCAAGCCCATCACTCCCAAGCCCAAGCGAAACCCGGTCTTCGCCATGATGGGCCTCCCCAACCTGCCCAAGAAACTGCCCTCGCGGAACTGGATGATCTTCCTGACCATAACCGGTGCCATCTCCGCCGCCATCATCTACGACAAGCGAGAGAAGAACCGGGCCACCGCCAAGTGGCGCCGAGCCGTTGCCCCTCTCGCCGATGAGAAACTCTCCTCGTGTACTCAGCTCCCCCGGAAACTTACGATATATCTCGAGTCGCCTCCCGGCGATGGCTTTTACGTTGCTCGTAATCACTTCGTTGAATATGTCAAGCCTGTCCTCTCTTCCTCTGGGCTGGATTGGGAGTTTGTGCAAGGAAGGATGCAGGGCGATGTCAGAGCCGCGGTGGCTGAAAAAATCAGATATTCGAGGAGGAAGAGTGAACGGCCCGGCGAACCTATGCCCGACACGGACGATGCGAGGCTAGAGGAGATTCGCAAACAGATGGGTGTGCCGGACTACGAAGGCATCAAGGGCGACATTGTCATCGGCCGTCACACCTGGAAGGAGTACGTTCGTGGGCTGCACGAGGGTTGGCTGGGACCACTGGATCCTCCTGCACAGCCAGAAGCAGAGCCTAAACCTGTCCCCAAGGCGGCCGAGGCCGTCCCGGGGCCCAATGGCGAGGGAGACAGCAAGCCCGCGGAAGACGAGAAGAAACCCGAGGAGGGGAAGGAAGAAGAGAAGAAGCCTGAGCGTCCCCCTCAGCCTGTTCCTTACAACTCTATCAAGGACTACGACTCGGCGGCTCTCCCCGCCCAAATTCCCAACGAATTCTCCCCCTCAGTCATCATTCCTCTACCTCACCGGATCGGCTTTACCAACACTTTTGTTCGTTTAGGTCGTTTCTTCAACCGCCGCAAGCTGGCTGACGACATTGGTCGTGAGGTCGCCGCGGCCTGCTTCGCTGCATCCCGTGAGTACCGGTCAACCGGCGAGGGCGAGTACGAGCAGCAATACGCTCTATTCCAAGAAGAGAAGGACTGGGTCAAGAGCGTCTGGCAAGACGAGAAGCCAGATGAGGACGCTGAGAAGCCCGTCGGTCCCCCTAAGGAGAAGATCTGGGCGTCACCAATGGTTGTAGATCCCCGCATTGTATCAAGGATGCGGAGGTTCGAGATAACCGCAGAGCATGAAGCCAAGGCCGCCCAGGTCGTTGTTCCGGAAACAGAGATTGAGGGTTGGCTCAAGGGCAGTCTGAGAGGCCTCTGGCAATGGGGCACCAGCTCATTCGAGAAGAAGCCAACAGGTCCCAATGTCGGCAACTTGGACGACGAATAAGATATGATATCAACTTCGGCAGCAGAAAGGGAGAGGTCAATATGGCAGGCATGAGACCTCGAATGGAGTATATGTACCATCACATGTTTTCAATCTAAAAGGGGAGCTGGGCATTTGTATATCACCACTGTGTCATCGTAATTTTTTGGACATTGAGCCACCCACTGTTAGAAACATAGACAATCCCAAATGTAAAAAAGAACTTTAAATATTACATATTTGCTGAACGGAACTTTTCCATCCTGTACTAGTCCTCATCACTGTCAGACCCATATCCTACCAGGCCCAACGAAGGCTTCTCTTGCTTTTGAGGGAGACTTTGTGGCTTCATCGACGGCTTCTCGTCTTCTTTCTGTTTCGAATCGACAACGTGCTTCTGGTCTGAACCATCCTGGCCCTCCTCCTTCTGACCCTCAACGCCACTCACTTTCTTCTTCAACCCCTTGACCTCCCTCTCCTTCAACCTCTTCCTCTTCCTCCCTACACCCCAACTCTCCGCCTCCATCACCGGCTCCTCCACCTTCTCCGTCCCAGCCCCAGCAGAAGCCCCAGACCCCTTCTGCGCCGCCCTGAAAGCCCGGAGACCTTCCTCAGTCACCCTCTTCACCTCTTCCTCCTCCTTCCTCTTCTTCTGCCTCACCTCGTCCAGAAACTCAATCTCATCATCATCCAGCGCCCGGAACTGGTTCTTCAGCCTGGACTGCTCCTCAAAGGCCGCCTGCTTAGCAGCTAATTACCCAAATTGAAATTCGAAGATCAGCGATTGAAAAGCCACAAGCGGATTCCCGGGGGCCACACACACCTTTGTTGTCCTGCAGAATCTCATACAGGCTCTTCTCCTCGCCCTCGACGGCCTTCCTCCGCTGCTCCTCGCGCCGCCTCCGCTCCGCCTCGAGCTCCCTCTCCACCGCCTCCCACTGGGCGGCGTTCTTCGTCCCGCTCGAAGCTGAAGGAGCCGAGTCCGCGGAAGTCGTCGTCTTCTCCCCTTCGCTGCCGCCTATCGTGCCGCCAGACACGAATCTGTCCGACATGGCTGTGTGATGCGAGACGCTGGATCTTTCATATGATCCAATATGTTTGGCTATAAGGTCATGTAGGATGATGACATAGAAGGGACAAGAGAAATTCGTCAATAAATAGAACCGTAATGATGAGGGAAAATATGTTCAGCTGGCTAAGTTGCAGAAAGTAAGGGACGAGATCTCATCATAATTTCCACAACGCGAGGTTCTACAAGAGGCTCTCAGACAGATACAAGCTTCTCCAGTGGCAATGACAACCATCCGTACGCCGACATTTAGCCGGCCTGCGGTCCGTCATGAGGGTCAACCGCTTCGTCGAATTTACTTCACAAGGCAGGATTCAAGTGCGGATATCATCAATTCATCATGTTATTTCTCATTGTTTATTTGCACAAGAGATTCAGTTGAACCTCTCACGCTGGTATGTGTGTGTGTAACTCCGAATCCATTATACCCCCCGCCAAACCTGATAAAACCAGCCAGCATCATTCCAGATTTCTACACAAACCCGAGCCCAGAAAAGGTATAAGATGGAACACCACATATGATGAAGGTCGACTTTAAAAAAAGAAAAAGAGGCTATGAGCGCTCATCCGATGTGAAATGGTGTTGGTCCACTGAGAACCAAACTCGTGCCTCAGCATCGACCAGGCGCCGCGACAGAACGTAAAATGGTAAATGCAACAAACTTCAGGCGAAAACAAAGCCCAAGCACCAACCCCCTTTTGAAACCCTCTGGACGCAATGCTATGAACCCCTCGTGAAGCGAAAATTGTCCTTGCAAAAATGACATTCCGCAAACCGTAACGTATATATATACTAACCCGAACTTTTGACCGCGTTTCGTCATCAATGATGTGTGCAAACTCCTTCCACAAAAAAAGGCTTGAGAAAGAAGCGACCTTTTTGGTGACCGGCGGTAGATAGTTGCACTTCTGGTGTGAAACGAGTGTGCTGAAGAATGAAAGGAAAAGGAAATAAAATTATGCACAGAATGGAGAAGTAATTGTGAAAACTCTCAAGCCAATTTTTCATCAGGGCCTTCGCGGCTCTGTGAGAGAATGAAATTAAGAGGCCGCTCGGTCCCAGAGTCTTGGTGTTAGTGACAAAGGGACTGCGATTTTGTTCACGAGATTCGAAAGAATCAAGGACATCGCGTGCGGAGTGATCATGTTCTTCAGTAAAAAAAACAAAGAAGAGAAAGATAGGGAAGCCGTATGAAATCACGTCTATCGGGTAACCATTTGCCGTTTAACATGAAAAAAAAAAAAAAAAGGTGAACGCCGAAAACCAATGAACATGTGCCGATGAAACAATCGAGACAGTGTAGATGAGGTAAAAAAACACAACGCGTCTGTGTCATCTCTGCCAACCGCATGAGCAGACAAAGCGTCGAGGAAACTGTGCAGCACATACTGCATCACAGCCGTGCATGCTAGCCAAGCTGTGTCTCCTCACTTCTTTTAGAGGAGAAGAAATATTTTCGTGCCGGGGTATCTGAAGTGCGTGTCGTATTCCGATAGCGCGCAAAGAAATTCGTAGCCGTAAAAACGCAAATCCCTGACCAAATTTATATCCAATGACCCAAAAGCTCTTATCATTAAGAGCCATTAAAAATTCGATTTCGTAAGATTGATTGAAAAGAAAACAAACGCCGACTAGCCCATGACGGGCTGTCCATATCCGTGAGCGCCAAAGTAAGGCGCATGCTTCATTGGCCCAGCACATCCTGTGCAGGCACAGTCACCAGTACCATGCTCCCAGATGTTCTGGTGATAAGGGTAGCTGGAGGAAACGTAGCCACCATGACGCCCAGAACCATATGCAGTATGGGAAACATGGGGATACCGACTGGCGTACTGAGCAGTTGCCTGAGCAAACCAGTCGTTGTATCGCGCATTAGTGGTAGCGGCGGAGAGTGCGTAATCAGGAGTGCCATAGCCAGAATCTGGTGGAGTGAGAGGAGCACCCCAGGGGTTGTGGTTGTGCGACCAGGAAGCCTCGCGCGAGCGGTAGCCCGATTGTTGAGACTTGAGGGCCTGGTATCTCTCGTACTCGGCGATCTGATCCTGGATGTAGCGCGAGTGAGGTGAGTGCTGGCTGGCGTTGTATCGAGCGACATTGGTATCGACGGCGGGGACGACGGGGACGGAACGCTCCCGAGTAGCCTGCATCTGTCGCTTCCTGATCTGCTGCCAGTCACGCCAGTTCTCCAACCACGCCTGGTAGTCCTTGCTGAGATCCAGGTTGACGTACAAGCGCCAGCTCATAGACTGAACCCAATCAAATTCAAGCGAGTTCAACTCTGAGACAGATATTCCACTGACCTCAGACCAGGATCTGTTTTGGAATGTGTTGTCATCCAAGAACTTGCTGCCCAAGAGGAGGGAGACCGTAAGGTATCGCCAGACTTGACCTTCGGTAGCCTTGTAAGGGCCCTGGCTCTTCATCGAATTGATCCGCTTGGCGAGGTAGTTCATACCGAGGAGGATGGTGGTGCTCGGCAGTCTCGTGGATGTAAGGATCTGCGAGACGAACTTTCGGAAAGCAGGGGTGATGACTGCCTCAGGGGTGACAACTCGGGTTGCCATCTCGGCGACATATTCTGCCATCGCCTCGACCTCATAGTCGAGGACGGCACACACGCCTCCGGGCATCTTGAGAGATGGTAGAAAATCCGACCAAGATCAACAGACCTTTGTCGGATGGGAAATATCGCGTCGTGAAGATGCGGGAGATCGCGCACAACACGACAGGATATAGATCAGTGATCGAAGGAAGGAGATTTCGATGTACAGTCGTAGTTTGAAGGAGCCCGTCGACCTTCAACAGAGATTCGAAGCCATCTATCGGTTCCACGTAATACCGCGTGAAAAGGAAATGAGATACAGAGCGTGACGTGAGACGTAAGGTTGCGGTAATAATCGATTGCAGGCTCGTGTAAAAAGGCGCGGGTTGTTATGTTCTTCGAAGGTGAAGAAAGAAATAAATCGCTAGACTGTGGTCGGTTAGCATATATACTTCTTCCCCAGCGTGATGCCCAAAAACATTCTCGACCATTCGGCTAGCGTGATCCAACTTCGACTCGATTGACAGATGTAACAACGGCCGGGCAACGGGAGAATCTGCAACGGTGACAAGACTGATTCGACAAAAGCAAGCGCCCTAAGAACGCGAACTCTTTGGTCTGTGAGGGAAAACAAGAAAATCGACTTGCGGACAAGTTGGGAACGAAAGGTGAGTGTGTACGATGGGCAACGCAAGCGATACAATTCGATGAAACAACGCAGCCGAAAGCCAACGGGAACAATGACACGAGTCTGGGAATAACACGCCTTCTTCCAATTAACGAGTCCAAAACAAAGCGACTTACCTTTTGAAAAAAAAGGAAACGAAAGGGGAAAAATGTGAAATGATTCCAGGGAAGGAGAGTGACCCGTTGTTCCTCACGAGTAACAGAAAGGGATAGAGATGGTGTCAATTATCTCTGTGTCGTCACTCAAGAGAGGTTTGATAGGATGTGTCCTGCCAAGAGACGGGTCGATCGAGAAGGGCGAGGGAGGAAAGGAAGAGGGCTCACGCGAGAGACCTGAATCCTGACGTCGACGAACGAGAAAGAGAACCGAATTCTGCCCGTTCGTGACTTGAGTTGTCGAGGATATATGGCGGATTCGGGTTTGTCGTGTGGTGAAGGAAAAGGAAAGGAGGAAGAGCTGATGTGGTGGTGGTGGAGGATAGGTAGGTAATAGAGTAGGGTGAGGGCAGGTCAACCGGGTCTACCACTATTACCAGCCCGAAGTGGAACAGCCGCAGGCGATGGGATGGCGAGGATGATGGAGACCACGGCCACACTTGGGGGGTCCCATGCATGTGTGGAATCCCTTGTCCCGACTCCACTCCTCAACCACCAGGGAACCACACCTGCACCGGAGAGAGGTGACGAGTTTCATTTGGCGTTAGCGGCTGCACCAACCAGAGCCCACTGTGGGTGGCCTGACTCCCTCTAGGCTTTGGCGCGTTGCCTTTCCCATTACCTTCCTCTCTGAAGCCCTTGCTTGGTACTTGGTACGTACCTCGCACAGGTACATGACTCCGGCCAGACGCCGCCGCACCGAGGGACCTCTGGTACCGGCGCTCTCCATCCTGCCTCTACCTTTGGCCCAGCCTAGCACATTCGGGTCAGGTACACCAGGGGGCGGTGAACTGTAGCTAGGTACGTATCTAGTGGCACCCGTCTGTATGTATGCATCCTGCAAAACCCTAAGCGCGACGGCTCGTAGTGCTCGACATGTGCAGGGAATCATTGAGGTCATCAGGAGAAGCATTGATCTCGTATGAGTACAGCCACCGGCAGAGACGGGCAGAGGCATGTAGGCATCCCCTATTTCCCCCAGCTGTGCCTGCTGGCTGGCTCGCTGTCCCCGTGGCCAACCTGGAATACCACATGGGCAGAATTCATTGGGGGTGAGGCAGGCACAGTAATTACAGAAGGGGTTCAGGCAATAAGGGCTGAGGGGTGAATCCATTCATTTAGTCATTAATAATATTGATGGCTCCTACTAACTCAGGCTCAAGGGGTCGGGTAGGTGGTACTCTACAGGCAGCACGCTGAGGGGAAAGCACGGGCAGCAGGAGCGAGGTACCTTAGCGCATGCCGTATTCGCACAACCTGTCCATGTACTTTTCGTCTCCTTCCATTACTCGCTGGGCTGGGGTGACATGAAGAGCCCCAGTGGGAGGGGGGTGGGGACGAGTGGCATTTCTAAATGGGCAGGGGTGGTCGTCTTAATTTCTCGGGGTGCCTACCTCACCTCACTGCCTCGCACCTGGCTCTCGACGCGCCAACCACCAGAAAAAACCTGGCAGTGCCAGTCACGGGCAGTCGCCAGCAGCCGGGGCAAGTTGGGCAGGCACGTACCCCAAAACAAACCGCCCATGCACAACAAGTACCTACCTACATATTGATTAGTTCAGCCATGGATTGCCGCCCATACGCGCAACACAGTGGCAAGCGGATGGTCTCTGCCTGCCAAGCATAAATCAGATGATGAGGCGGCCTCTTGACTGGTTTGGTTGTCGCGAATAAAACAGGAAATCAATCAACACATTGACTCGTAGTGAGTTCTCGACACACCGCGGATGTCATGGAAGACTGCCGGTCATGCCATGATCCTCAAATCCTAGACACCAGTGACTGTTCGCTGTGCCTCAAAGTACTGGAGTTTGCCAGATGACGCAGGGTACCTAGTGGCAACGGTAGGTATGGAGCACGTCCCAGACCACCTCAGTTTCCAGAAGGGTGAAAAACTGCGGCCAATCCCTCCAGTCTGAGGCTCCTGCCTGCTAACCTGCACACCAGCACTAAGTTTGCTATTCGACGGCGCATGGGAGCCGGACCCAGCGACGGCGCCGGCAACAAGGTCGGATGCAATCTGGTCTGGGGGGGCTGCTCCAGCCAATAGCCCACCCGGAACTCAAGGCCTCAACCACGCGTACGAATTTCAACACAGGGGTGGAAGGGCTGGCTGTGTTTACTGCTTGGTCCTCCAGCCCATCTTCCGGTATTAGGGAATGTGGCAATGGGTCGGACAGACCGTTCCTGAAACAGGACGTGTGCTCGGAAGACGTCACAATTCGTTGCAGCATATGGTTCCCGGGCATGGTCAATGGACGAAAAGCTTCCATCCGGATCAACTGTCTTGCACACGAAGGGTTGCAGTGGCTTTGGTGAGCGTTCCGTGGAATTCAAGTGCATACACCCTGCATTAGCCCTTTACAGTAAGGCGCAGACTCGCTCCCCCTACAGGGTCTTGCCAGAGTCAGTGCAGAAATTTGCTGTCTCGACAGACCCTGGAAATTTTGGATTTTGGCTGTGTGTTTTTTTATTTTGTCCCTGGCTGAGTATAAACACATGCACATCAGTATACATACCTGTCAACACGGGAAAATACGTGTTCACGCTTCCCAGATAGCAACTCCGAGGAGCCCTTGGCTTACGAGGGTCGAGAACCGACTAGCCAGATATCTAGCATACGTGCAGCATCGCGAAACCTCGGGAGGCCGTTATCACACTTGACTACTTTGTGCCTATGCAAGTGGTGCTGCCATCGCCCATTTCCCTTCCGTGGAGGCCTTAGCTGGGCTTGGTATCCAAGCAACCGCCGTCCGTAGCGCCTCATGACCTACCTAGCCAAGCTTGTCGAGGTACCTAGGCCAAGGGGGCGGACGAAAGGTCTCCATCAGGACCATGCCACGGCAAGAGTGCAGAGGGAAATGCCTCACTGATCTCGGTGCTGGTCCACCTGCATTTGTCTAACTCTGGGCATGTCCACCCATAGACAAGCAGGAAACGGATTCACTAAACCTCCGGTCCCCATTTTCGTACATGATGTGTAGCACAACACCATTTTTCACCACCAAAGCAGAAGGCCCTCAGAACAAGGGTTTTCCATCCAGTGGGTCTCGAAGCAACTCCGACAGGATTCAAGAGTCGTCCCGGCACTGTTGGGCACTTCTCGGATACATGCCCAACAAAGCGAAACAAATCACCAGATCGTTCAGGGGTCGTGTTTTCGCTCTCTACTCTCCCCCTCCCCGTTCATCCCATCCCATCGGTCCTTTCGGGATGCGTACATCCTCCCAATACTACCATCAAGGTGACGCTGTTCAATTACCGTTGCCGGGAGCTTGTAGGCAACGGATTACCCGTCCACACCTTATGAACACCGGAAGCCTAGCCCATATCCATGACCGATCACATTTTCACTCTGCAGTAAGACGCTCTCATTCTACAATGAACGGCGGCCAGCTGTCCCCCGCCCCTCCCGAATAAGATGCACGCGATATCCGTTCATTGGCCTGTCAATGAGATCGATAATACTGCCTACGGGCGTGTTATAATAACCGCCCTGAGGTTCTTTTGAACGCTCGCCTGTTCCCAGCTGTGGGCCAATAGGCCTCGGCAGATTAACAACCTAGTTCATATCCAGAGATCCACTTCCACGACCAAGGGCCAAGTCGAGAAACTATCGACTGTGGGCGGATCATGAGAATTGAAGATATTTACTCGGCCGTCTCATATCGGGCTTACCTAACGAGCCGCTATGTGCAGGCATGTACTATCCAGTCAGGTCAAGTCATGTCAAGCCAAGTGCATGTGCTTTTCGCGCTACGCTTTGTTGACGTGTTTACGCAGAACCGCTATGCCTTGCTTAGCCTCCCTCGTTGTAGTGCTCTCATCTCAATCAATCACGTGGAATGGCAGAGGTTGTTGCCACGAACTTGCCTCTCGAGCACTAGGCACCGGGCGGCAGGGAGGTAAACAACTGGATGATTCAGGTCCGACTTGAGGTGTCATCATTGCCCTTCATCGACCACACGGCCCCGGGCCTAGAATACATCTGCGTAGTACCATTCGATCGCAGGGTTGCTCTGGGGATCCAGTCTAACGGACCTGTGTCGGAAGGGTCTGGTCTGGAGTCGTGGTGTTATGGCCACTCCATCGAGATGCTCATCAAATCAAACATACGCCCAGCTCGATTACTGTGCTGCGTCGCCACTCGCCAGCGGCTACCAATGTGGGTGTGCTCACTTCGCTGGTGTGGTCAGCCGTTTTAATAAGGAGCAGATGCTATTCATGGGACTTAATTGGACCCTGCGCTGGTCCGGGCTCCTCTCTCCCCACGAATGTTGCCCCTAATCCAGGTGGGCCGTTAACCAGCCTCTGCTCACCGCCAACTATGACCCTGCGGGATCCATGATCTGTATGGGTCCTTCTCCTACTCTAGACCTGAAAGCTCTATTGGCGTGAGGGATATTGACTAGGAATAAGAAGACAGCCAAAGCTATTCTAGTTATGTTTTGCAGATGTTCAAACTGGCGCTGCTAGGCCCTGGGGTACATCTCGCCAAAAAGAACTACCATTGAAGCCAGTCAGCGGGTAGGTATTATGGAATGCGGAACATGACTTGACCAGACCAGTCTCGCCTCTCAATTGGGTGACATAATAAATGAGACATCAAATTGAAGGGTGGTGATGAGCAGACATGATTACCCCAACTGATACAGCATAAAGCGACATTAATTAACAATGTCCAATGTATCTCTTAAGCATTCATTATTAGGCCTCGGCGATATGACAATACCGGCCCCAGACTTGAGCATACCACGGGATAATGTTTGGGTGTCTCAATTTCATTGTCACCCAGTTACCTCTGTGGCGACCTGTCCTCGTCCTCGGTACACCAGTGGTCGAGTTTGCCAGATGTAGTCCGTACTCCAGACCACCATCAGCTTGTTGGCATGTACCCTCCCGGGACCCGATCGAACTGGCGCTGCTGAGGGCGCACAGTAGCTTGCTGCCTACTGCCTGTAGATCGGTACCAAGACGCTGACTATTACCTAGGCAGCAGAGGCTTGCAGAGATTTTTTTTTTTCTCGTGCCTAGACCTCCCCCCAAGACTTGCCACTACTGTACTGGCAGCGTACCATCCGGGCAGTTGGCCCCGTGACATTGAGGCTCGCCTCCGGGCATGACACACCGTGGACAGCCACGCGGACGCTTGCATCGGCCACCATGTGTCCTACCCTATACAGCGTCGTATCCAGCCTTGATACAAGACAAAGGCGCACCGATGCATCCAAAATGTATTTCCATGTACCGCACGCGTGCGTCTCGCTTTTCAAATGGAACCCGTAACCTTCCTGCCCAGGCCAATAAGACTCATCTGCCTATCCGTACCCAACGGTACAGACCCTTCCAGCCAGGATTGACGGAAAACTCTCCACACGAAAGAATCCCGTATGCAGACATTCACTTCTGACGCCTCTCGTCTCGTGTTGTCTTACCGTGCGCTGTGGGGGACGCCTCCGGCACTCGGGCTACCGTAACCGTCTCCCTTGCCAACTTGAATCGAAAAGGCGAGAAGGTCATTCACTGTCTCTTGGTCTCGCCCGTCCCGTGTGCGTACCTACACACAATACATACACATACATGCCACATCCACCCGCAGGTGGGCAGCCTACATACAACCTTTCTGCATGACGATATGCAAAGGGTGGCTGGCAGAACAGGGCACACATACATGAATCACGCCCCTCTCTGGCCGCTGCACGCTTCATTCTTGGACATGCATCCACTCAGCTGGGAGTGTGTTTCCGTTCTGCACTGCTGCACAGTATGTACCCAGCACCTAAGCGCCCGCCATTGACGTCTTACCTGCTACCGTGCGATGGTTTCATTCAGCGGGCCTCCCTCTTTCTCCTCCTGCATCATCCCTGTTCTAACCCCCCCCGATCGACGGAAAGCTGGGACCCCCTCTCCTCTTTGTCAGCATGCCTCACACATCGCCGTCAGTGGCCCGTCACTCAACTTTACCCGGCCGCTGCATCGGGTAAGGAGTGTACACAGCCCTCTCTCACGGGGAGAGAACGAAAAACGCAGCAGACAAAAATATCACTGCCAGAAACAAACTGAATTCGCCACTGTCCCATCCCGCACCAGACGTCATGGACGCTGACCACTTCCAATAGGGGCGTGGTGTGGTAAAGAAAAAATGGGTTGACATGTTTGTTCTTCCTGCACATCCAGATGTACCTCCGTGATTTGATATCCTTTCCAGCCCGGCATATCCAGTCAAGAAAAAAAAGTGCTCTTCATCAATCCAGAACCAGTACATGGCCCATCTATTCCCGCATATTCGCCCCGTTTTGTTCCTCCTCCTTCTTCTGCCGCCCAGCCCCTCCCCGATGTCGTCGTCGTCGTCCCGCCCGTTCCCCAGCTGCGTGCGTCAATTCTTCGTTTTGCCCGTTCCTTGTCACTGTCCTGTGAGGTAAGAGTGAGGGAGAGGGAGGGCCACACAACAGTCCCCGCCCACTTACATGCAACACCATCACCGAAGCGGTGCTACCTACATACCACGCACAGCGCCGCACGGGCGTACGCATCGCATGTGCCAGAGGGCAAGGGCCCAGCCCAGTGCAGCCAAGCCATGCCTACCACACACCAACGCATGTCCCTCAGAATACCGTGACTGGGTGGCCTCCGCCAAGAGCAAGGTACACCCGCAGGACGGGGAGGGTCCGGCGCTGCAGCGTATCACATTCTGGTGGTGGTTGACTCCTCTCCGCCTGTGGGGGAGAGGCAGCTCGTGAAATTCTCGTCTTGTCATTCCTCTCCCTCTCTCCGTCGTAACTGATCCTTCCAAAGGGCTCGTCGCTAAATGGTAGTCGTGCATGTCAAATCGCGTACGGGGGCTCCGCTCACCCGCTTCTGGAAGTAAAATAGAGGGGTGGGAGGGGAGAAGCTCCGACCAGACAAGTTGTAACACATAACACCTCCGGTTGACTGACGATGCTGCGGGGAGAAGGGAACTTGGGGGTCAGCTGTAGCTGGTCACTCAGTGTCTCAGAGTCAAGGGTCAGAAGCGAAGGAGAAGGGGAGCCCGAGGGCGGCAAGGATGCACCCCAACTCATGACGCCGTAGGACGTAGAGTCAGAATTCAAATTAGAATAAATACATTTTTTTTTCTCGCGCTCCATCTGTGTAAAGGTTGCAAGGTAGATAGGTAGGGTGAGCCAGCCTCAAACTGCGCCCAAAACGCCGGTCTCATCCTGGCAGTTGATAAAAACGAAATAGCATAGCACTGCCTCTCCATGAGTGAAAACCTTCGCCCAAAATAAAACGAATCTCACCATCTATACATGCCAATTAAAAAGCCCAGTGGCTTAACTTCCCCAGCGCCGTTTTCCATGCATCCGAGCCGCATTGGGAGGCTGGGTTCTAGAAGATCCCTTAGGGAACGATTGCCTTGTCGATGATGGGGTCCCGCCGGCACGTATTGGTGGTTTCAGGTCCCCATCTTGATTTCCATTGATTCTCTTGCTCGACCGCATTGTCAAATGCACCGCGGCACTCAGCAGGAAGAAGAGCCCGGATGTCATCTGATACAGCGCCCAAGCCGCTAAATGATGACAGGAAGTCAGTCTGGTCTGCCTTGTCATACACAGCCGATGCAAGGCCAGTTGGTGGTGTCTCGAGAACTGTGTCTGTGACGAAGAAATTCCTCGCCATCCTTAGCGGCACTGGGGGAAACGAGCATGTGTCTTGGGCATTCTCTTCTTCTGGTGTAACTTGCTCGATACGAGCCTGGGTAGGCTGCATCACAGTGGGATATTGCATAACATTAGTGTGAATATCGTAAACACCTGCATTGTTTAGTTTCCGGATAGCATTGATGCCAGCGTTAAATATGCTGCGAGGCGCAGTTAGCACAGGCTCTTGCCTCAGGTTCCTGCAATGCGGATTCTTTGATAAGACCATACCTTGCTTCTCGAGCATGTTCAAGCATCCAGTTCTGGTCGTTGACGTTCACCTTGCGTTTCTTGTATTCGGGCTTGCCACTGGGGACAGGAACAGTAGGAACATTTGTGTGGTAGACCGCGCTGGCGCCGTGCCATGCGACGTACTGGTTCTTGTTGTATGGCTCCCCAGGGATGAAGTGGTCGTCGGGGTCAGCCAGAGCGCCCTCGACAAGACCATCGGCACGGGCTTGGGTGACGCCGTAGTCGTCGATGATGCGCTTGCCGCCGACGATGATCCTCGCACCAAATTCTCTGAAGACGGACCGCGCAGTGACGATCCCTATTGAGCGTCCCTTGTATGAGTGAGGAATGATATCCCTCTCAATCATATCGCGCTTCTCGTCATCGTCCACAATAATCTTGTGTAGCTTCCTGTGCTTTGTGAAGAACAGGTAACTGTCTCGGAAACCAACGCAACGTGCTGGTTCTGTCGACAGCATGTAAAGTCTGTTCCCTCGTCCCAGCACGGTGAAGACGCGACAGCGATAGTCCCTCCCGCCTTGTAGATTGCCCAGCTTGTCCACCTTCTCCTCTCCCTCTGGATCCTCGGGCAGGACGCATTCATCGTTGGCGATTTCGGCAATTGTGCCCTCAGCGTCAATCACTTGTTCTGCCTTGGGCGCAGCAGGTCCGCCTTTGCGACCGCCGCGTCCCCTCCAACCACCACGACCCCGCCGTCTGGGCGTGTCGCGAACCTCATCTGCAGGCACCGTGATCATAGGATCCCAGTCAGGAGGCTTGTTCTTAGGTGGCCGCCCGAGGCGCTTCCTGCGCACAACGGGTTGTGGTGGTGGTGAGGGTTCCTTGGCCTCGGATTCGGCATCGTCCTTATTCTCAGCTTCATCTCCAGACTCGCCCGCCTTTGGCTGATCATCAGCATCGTCATCGTCATCAGCTGGGTCCTCGGTTGGTTCTTCGTGCTCGGAGTGTTGCGCGTCGGCGTCCTCATTGGCTTCAGCATCGGGCATGGGCTCGTCTGGGATGTCTTCGAACCCCTTTGGCGCGGTCTCTGTAGAATTGGTTGCGCGCGTTAGCTTAAGCCGGATCGTCGTACGAGGGGCCATTGTAAGAGCGCAGGCCAAGCGAGCGCTTGGGTAGGTGGTGTTCGTGACGAGGTGATGAAGGGGGAGTTGAACTGGGTAAAAATCCACTGGGGAAAAATTCAAGTGTGATGGAAATAGGAAGGCACCACTAGACGTCGGTCACAGACACCACGTTCGGGTGAGGGATTTGAAAAAAACAGGTACGATGATGTTGGAAGGACAGAACATGAAGCAACGATAGCCAGTGGGCGGAGGCAGCTCCAGTCCGTCAACCAGACAAACAAGTTGCTTCACAGTCACGTCTATGGATCGCGCTTACCAAGGGCAGCCGCAGCTCGCTTGGCGGCTGCTCGGCCTGAACGACGCCCAGGAGCCATTTTTTGACCACAAGGCCTGGTATTTGAGCAGTTCTAGATATGGAATATGGTATGATCAGAGCGTCGGCAGCAGAAGAACGGAAAAGTCGCTGTGTGATACAGACAGACAGAACTACAATTACGGTTTCCTGTGGTCAGTCCCGACACGCGTGACGCCTCGCACGGCCTGCCAGCTCTGATTGGCCCTTTTTGATGCCCTGCATACAGTGTGAACATTTTACAAACACCGTATAATCTTACACTGTATAACGCGCCACAGAAGCCACAACCGCAAGCCACATATCACATCAAAGACAACACATGATGGTTGTTGCGATAAACTAAGGGGTAATAATAATAACTATTCTGTCAATCTGTCTGACACATTGTTCAGAGAATGACCAACTCGTGGGTAATCTATTCATCATCAGTATTTCATCATTCTCTTCGTTGTTGCTCATAGCGGGCGTTTCCCATAAGAGAGTGCTTCCTTCGTCTCTCCTCGTGTGCTAGGACACATTCGCACATGTCTTCCAAATGTATCGATTACAGAAGAAAGTAAACTATTCTCTCAAAGAGTATCCCAGCCACCATTGTTGATTTCCGCTTCTAGCTTCCTGCTGATCAGACTCGGCACTCCGTGATTCAACACAGTGCTACGGATCATTGAATCGTATCGTTTCTGGTTCAAATACAGCTGTCGCCCATGACGGAGCTGTGGATCCGTCTCGCCATACTTGTCAATGTAAGGGGCTGCTGTGAATGATCCTGATAATCTGAAGAGGTAGATGGTAGAGCATTTGCGAACATTAAGAAACACTCCGATGTTGCGTTGGCATCTGTGTCAAATTTCCAAGTGGTCAGTCAGTTTGCCCTATTACTGCGTGCGGCTATGAGATGGAGAAGGATGTGTAAAAATGAACTTACTTTTGCATGTGCTGCTGCGCACCGCCAAGCCGTGAATTTTCCGCGCGCTCAGATGTTGGCGACGGTCTTTGGCAGCAAGTCCCTTGGCTACAGAAGAGATCTCCACAGAACAAGCAAATCACAGGGTCTGTCACGTCCTTGCCGGTTGTTGGGCACTTCCGCCTGGTGGCCTCTTCGATCAATGTGTCGTAAACTTTGGGTAGTCCAACCAACTCAAAGATGCCCGGGTGGCTAACCATGGCCGATCTAGGCGTCTCAGGATTGCTACGAGGCCACAGAACTTGGTGTTTGATCCAACCAGCGACAAGAGGTCTGATTCTATCCGGCCAATTGCAGGCGGACGCATTTGATGTAAAGGAAGCACACATCTCATCGAAGGTAGGTAGTCGCAAGATCTCAGTCAGGCGATCGAGCTCATCCGCCTCAGGGTTAGGAGATACACGGTTGTTGAAGTCAACGCCGTACTTGACACTGAGAAACAGAAGACTCTTTCTCAAAAATGCCAAGGCGTATTTCTTGGTAAGCGTATACCAGCCCTCTAGAGTATCGACACCACGCTGATCGAAACCAAGATTTGCTTCGTCACCTGAAGGTGTTACTGTCGCCATAGCTTGAATCTCGATACTCTCCTTTGTAATCTCGAGAGCGAACTCGGCGAAGTTTTTGATAGCTGGATCCTGAGACCCGTTATGTTGAAGCGTTCTCGCCCATTTCTCAAACGGAATATTCTGGCCCATGTGGAAAACAACCTTAACAATCTCGGCAAGGTAGCAAATCTTTAGCACATGAGATATCTCTGCAGCTTGTGCAGGGACAAATCCGTATGAACACTCTACCAGGAAGAGAAAAGAATCAGTGCTTAGGAGAGGGGGGTATACATCCAAGGGTCGTCGAGCGTGAGGCGTGGGCAGGCCGAAATATCGAGACATAAACAATTGGCAGTGCTGCCTCTCGCTGTCCTTGTAGAACTCCTGCACAATCTTCTCATGTGGCGAGCTTTGAGTTCCTACGGAAATAAACGAAGAAGCCGTCTCGGCCAGAATTCGAAGGTGTGTTAGGACTTGCTCTGGGATCTTCTCCAAAAGTGTCATGCCGGTCTGAGCCTCGACGCCGCGTTGCTGGATCTCGGTGGATGATATAGAAAATCCTACGGCCTGAACGAGAACATCACTGGAGCAGAGTTGTTCTGAACCTTCAGATTTTGGTTCGGTAGGATGCCTAGTCGGCAGCCCATTGTCTCGAATAGTGTCACGTAGTCGTCGGTAGGCTGACAAGAGCTGTCGTGATGAAGAAGCCGACGTACTCGTGCTCGCTTCTTGGCCATTTCCGGAAAATGTCGAACTCTGTGGGGTCTCGGCTCTTGGGGTGCTGACCTCTGTTGAGTCTCCTCCCCATGTTGCATCAGAGAGCGGCCCGGATCGGACCATCGACTCGACCAAGCTGCCAGGTAAGCTTGGAGTAATAATTTCAGGGGTTGTTTGTTCACTCGCTTCCCGAGCTTTGCTATCGCCAAATGAATAAGCCGCTCCCATATGCTTATCAAGAAAGCCTTGGAAACTGATTTGCGACTGGAGATAACTGGGATAGGATTCCTCCAGCCCTTTCCAGACAATAGGAAGGAAGGCATTGCCGAGAGCCTTGCAAAGTGGGCAAACGAACTCGTTACGCTTAATGTCCTCGGGATGGTGACGAGCAATTTGGTGCGTATGGCGCCGTTTGGTGGCTTCATAGTAAAGTTCGAAGCAATCAAAGTGCATCATATGTCCACAACCGCTAGCAACCGCTCCGGACGAGCATAGGTTGGATGGAAACCCTCGTCCGATAGTCTGTCTCTCGGCAAGGAACGGCTCTCCCTTGGTATTCAGCTTCTCTACCATTTTCCGGTTCTCATGAGCAATCCCAAAGGGTCGAATGTCTTCCGCAGAGCGATCGAGATTACATGGTGTTTGGGAAGCGTCTCTGACCAGATCTGGGTCCTGAAAGTCTGTCTGGCGAAGGATTCTGCTCTCATGTAGTAACGCAAAAGTGCCGTATAGGCGCCTTTCGTCGGCGTCTTCTTGGCAGAGTATGCAGGTACCAGTAGGATACTTCCATTTGTGGGTACGGTCTTCTTCTGCTGCTTGCTCAACTTCATCGTCCTCGTCTTCTAAATCAGATCCCCAATCGATGTCTGCTTGGTTTTCCATGAAACTCTTCTGTTGTTGTTGGAACTGAGCCATCACTCGGGCCTGTCGGCTCAAGGCTGCCTTCTTCTTTCGTTCGCGCTCTTCTTCTACCGAGTTGGTGGCAGGAGAAGCGGTATTAATGCGGTCGATTGACAGACCCATGTTGATTAATGCCCCGTCGAAAGCATGTGGGCGCCGTTGCTTCAGGCGTTTAAGAGCCAGGGAGATCTTGGGGTGAGCAGATTTGTATTCTTCCCTAGCAGAAAGCATATTCAGGAGTGCTACGATTGTCCTCTGAGAGCGGTCATCTGTCAGAAAGTTAGTGCGGGCAGTGCGCGTCAAAGCAATCTGCACAAAAGATTGTGTGGGCGCCTCGCTCATCTCCTCGTTGGACTTGTCTTCGTGAATTGCAATCAGAATGAGGTGGAGAACAACCTGTAGGTACGTTTCCAATCTCGTAGAGGGGATTGTGGGCGTCCATTTCTCATGGGTGAGGGGGTATAGCAAGCAGTAGTAAATGATTTGTGCGAAAACTCCAGTGCTTGTGAATGCGCCCAGGTCCTTGAAGAGTCCAGATGGGATAGGGCGTGGCTTTGGCTCGTACACAACATCTTCGGGTGTCTTGCCCGTCTTGATAGCTACCTTTTTGCGGTAGATGAGCTCTGATTCCTCTCGCTGATTCTTGTTGTAATGAGCAATGTAAGGATCAATGTCTTCGATAAACTCGGAGCGCAATTCAAATGTTCCAACGTCCGACACCCCCTCCGGAGACTTGAATGTGGCCATTTCATCCAAAACATCTGCGAAGTCCTCCGCCTCTTGGTACTTCTCGGGCAGTTTGTTGCAGATTTCGTTGAACGAGAGGGGTTTGAAGCACAGTACGTGCGTAATGTCGCGGCGCATCGCGAGAAGTCTCGAGTTTGGTTCGTCTTCCGGCGCGCTGAGCGTAACACGATCACTCAGAAGCACAATGAGCAGATGCAGCATGTCCTCGACGATATCGAGGTGCTGATTATCATCCTGGGCCTCGGACTTCAGCTCAAAAAGTCCTTTGACCCAACCCCCCATTCCAAAACGATCAATCACAGATGCCAGAACACGTTCCGGGTTGCAAATAACCAGGGCAGTTTGGAGAAGGAATATATCGCGATGATGGGAAACATCTCGCTGGCTGACACCCCTGTAAGTGCTGGCTTGGTGCCGCAAGCTGATACCATTCCGCACCCACATATTCGCCTTGATCTGGGCCAGCCAAGCACAAACCCGAAGAGGGAAGTCCAATGCAGCCATTAAATAATCCTCTGGTCCGTAGTCGTCCTTCGGCATATGTAGTCTACCCATTAGCTTGTTTTTGGGTCGAAGCTCTTGCGTGGTAAAGCTCATTAGTGTCCTCATAGTTGAGGCGGGAACAGACCGGCCACATTCCACAAGCCAAGATAGAGTGTAATGCAGTGCGTGGTGGAAACTAATATGCTCTTTTTCGACGACAAACTTGATGACATCAAAAGATCTGTCATCTCCAGTAAGATCGAAATCACCTATATTCTTGAATTTCAATTCGTCTTTGATCTCAGATTGCTTAAATCTGTGCCGTTCCGCGCCGATTGAGCTGAGAATAACTGTTTTGGCCGTGAACCTGATTGCCTTTTGTAAGTACTGCATGTCATCAGCCGGGAAGTTTCGGAAAGCTTCCGCAAGACTTCGAGCTTGGATGTTGATTTGCCGAGTAACCAGCGAAGCCGTAATCCACGAGTCGGCCTCATATTCGACATGCTCCACGACGGCACGGATGTTTGGCCCAATGCCTTGATGGAGTTTCACCAAGTCCAAGAACTGCATGAGGTACCGCGGTTCATAACGAATGCGCTCCTGAACATGGGGAGAGCCAAAGAGAAACTTGAGATCTTGATAGAAATGATACATCCGTCGGTTCGTGACTGAACCGCTCTCAAAGGCCAAAACGGCGTCAGGAGAAACATCCCAAGGGTGCCCGACTTGCCTTGTGGTTAAGAATGTATAAATAATAGCCAGCAGGCTACTCATAAAATTCCCTCGCTCGACGATCTCGGCAGTAATGGACGGTGTCGTCAACATCTGAAGAGACAGGTTGATAATAGAATGGTCAGGCTCCCTATCTCCCACCAGATAAAGCTGAGCTAGGATCGTGTACAGGCTCGCGAATCGTAAGGCGAGAAGCCGTTTGAATTCGGGAACTTGCACCACGGTGGATATATAGAGAGCCCGTAGATCTATTCGCACCTTCTTCCACATGCGTAGATCAAACAGCAAGAGCCAATCAAGACGGACACGTTGAAAGACATCTTCCGCGGGGTGGGAATAATTTCTCTGTGTGTAAAGCGACGGGGTCTCCAACCAATACCGCCCGGGTTTGGGCGTAAACTTCTCGGTGCGACCTGGGGTTTTGGGGATATCGGCATTAGCTTTTGCGTATATGGCGGGTGCGATTAGAGGCTCGGCGCCCGTGTCAGAGTCAGAAGGTGTAGCATCCCGCTCACGAGCTGAACCACGGGCATTCGCGGCAGGCGGGGGTGGCGGTGGCGGATAGCCCGCCATGGTAGCCTCATCTTCTTCGAGGGCCTGGTCTGACTGACTCCAGTTCATGTTCAGGTCACCAACATCTTCTCTGGCATCCACCATCATCGCATCCTCCTCATCGTCGGTCTCACCAGTTGAGCTCATATGAGAACCTTGCTCCTCATCTCCCATAGCGTCATCTCCATCTCCATCATCGTCATCATCATCCTCAACCTCGAATTCGAAGTCGACGGGCCTAGTGTCCGCTGCAGCACGCAGTGCGAGGAAGAAACGGATGTTGATCCCATTCAACCGAGACTCGAAGTCCTGGAAGTCTTGGTCTTCATCATCGATCAGACCAGAAGTGTGGGTTGCCGAGCTTCCTTGGCGCCATGGTCGCATGAGTTCTTCACAGATGGTGCTCCTAAGTATATGATTATCATGGCCAACAGCACAGCCGGCAATGTCGCTCAGCCATTCGACAAGAGTGCCACACATTTCCTCGCGAAACGTATCTCTGGCTGATCGGATGGTGACTGTGGTCCGGATGGCCTCAATTATCTTGGCCATTTGTAGCAGCTTGGGTACATCAGGAAGAGTGACCAAGATGCAGCGGCCTACGGCGTCAGTCTCCCAAGCGTCCTGCCGCGCTTCCCTACGTCGCTTTCGGCACGCCCGCGCGACCTGATCCTGGACCTCCTCTACAGTGTGCTTCTCATCGTTCCAAAGGATGAGCGAGAACTCGTTGCAGGGCTCGGCCGTGGAGCCGTAGTACTTTGATGAAAGCCTTGACGTTTCCTCATCTTTCAAGACCGACTCTTCGGTCTTGGACTGCCGTAGCTGTTCCGGTGAGCAAGAGATTACGTCGCAGATGTAATCGAAGACCCTTGCAATGGTCATCTGTAGGTTTGCAACTAGATTTTCGGGCAAACCAGCCGCCTCCTTCTCTTTGCCTTTTTGTGGCCCAGCTTCGAGATCCGAGTGTATGGTGCAGAAAAGAGGCGTCTTCCAGGCCTCATCGTCACCACAGTCGCAGCACCCACTATTGCCGACTGAAATGTGCATCCGTACCATGTGGCCAGTATGGTCGGTCGAATCATAGCAGCGGCTGCAAAGGCAGCATGTATCGTCGGTACCGCAAGTACGGCACATGTAAGATGCCTCGCCGGGCTTGAAGATATGCCCGCATCGCTTGCCCCGGGCGGCTTCGGTATACTCGGCGCCCTCGACCGCACCCTGCGCGTCGCTGAGCTTTAAGCTCTCAGGCAGTCTCCCCTCGGGGAAGAACAGCCGCATGTACTCATCATTTCCACCAGCTAGCGACCAAAAGAGGTTGGTTAGGAGCTTCCGAGCAGCATCCTTATCAAATCGATAGTTGCATTGAGCAGGCAGCTCCGCCAGAAATTGGCAGAGCTGCTGCTCTTGTGTAGACATCGGAATCTCCATCCTTCAGGTGATCATGATGTGGCTTCCTTCAGGAATGGTCGGGGTCCATCGATCGTTCTGGCTGTAGGTCGATAGGTTGTCGAAGAACGTTTTCACGTTCGAGTTGTAGATAAGATCTATGTCGATGGCAGCCGTGATTAGTAGTTGCTTAGGTGGGGGTAGACGGTGATGGGGACGTGAGGTCACTGGGGCTACTTAATCCAACATACAGCGAGATATAGGATAGCGTGTATCGCGTTCAGGGTCCGGTGAGAGAGCCGCAGGTGAAGCAAAAGTAGGAGCCGAGTTCGATGTTCGTAGGCCCTGGTGAGGCGACACCGTAATCTACCGTGATTAGATGAAAGTGTGTTTGAGCAGCAAGTCTGTCGGGCAGCTAGCACCTTCTACCAGGCGACGGTACTTGTGGGAAGGCAGCACCAACAGCTAATAAAGAGGTACTTCGTGGAACTTGCCCCTCGGTTCCACTAAAACGAGTAAGTGGGTGACATAAACGTGTAACAGGTTACCTATAGCGGTAGTCCTTCTCTATTAACAGAACCATGATACTCGATTGATATTTAAATGCACTGTCTTAGATTTTCATGGCCTTTTATGCCATTCAGTTTCTTATCTGTCCGTCAGAAAATGCAGCTTATCGGCCATGTTTTATGTCGCCCACCCGCTTGAGCCATCAGCTAAATTATGCACCCACCACATTGGCATAAGCGTCAGCGGCAATCATCAGTAGGCAGACATTCAGCAAACTCGATTACTCGAGCCGTTTAAGGCATCCTGCATTCGAGATGTGGGTGCCTACAAGGCAGTTGTAAGCATTGAATACATGAGCGCCCAAGTGGCAATCAACAACACACGTAGCGTACCTAGACGCTTACGGCGTGACCAACTACAAACACGTCACTTATGCCATGGAACTCTCGGAGAGGAACTATCCTGCGCACCTGTTATCGTCAACAGTTTTCTCGTCCTATTCTACAGACATTCGGTTGGCTCAGATGAAAATGCTGTCACGAATTTCCATGCCCGTAGGGGCGGAGGGTTCCAACATTCACAGGTCGGGTGTTATCTTTCGGTGACAAAGAAGCTTGTTTAGTTCGCCAGTATCGTCTCTTCTAAAAACATTTTGTACAAGTATTCAGACACAGAGAACCTGCGTTCCCAGTCCGTTCGACAGCAGCGCGTATCTTCTATTCTTCGTCCTCCTCAGCATCCGCAACATACTTGTGGCGGATATCCTTCCATTGGCGCTAGATCCCCAATTGTCAGCATTCGGTGCAGTCGATCCGGGTGGGTATATGAGAAACGTACGCCTCGGTTGTTTGCGTCCCAGACCTTGTTCATGATGCCGTTGAAGCCCCTGCGAACGGTATTAGCATAACCATCATTAGCCTAGTTTGGTGTCCCATCGCATACAATTCGAAGGCGAAGCCAGCGCCGAAGACTGCCCCCAGGAAGGCGTAGTTCCTCTTAAAGAGGGTGCTGAGAATCGAATGTCAGTAAGACGGTCATCGTGACGGCTGGTGGCCATTTGAAGGTCGGGCAAAGGGCGCTTGCCTGTAGAGCTGGTTTCCGAGAGACTGTGAGGAATATCGCGCGGTCAGCGGCTATTGAGTCCGTATGGGGTATCCGTGTGGGTTTCTGCTCACCATTTTGCCGATTGGGTACAATTGACAGCTTCAAGACTGCTGGCGATCGGGCTGAGGTATCGGGATTGTGATGATGAGGGTTTAGTCGAAGTTGCAGACAAGGCCGGTGACGGGAAAATCGCGAAGTTCCGGGACAGTATTGGATCTGCGCTGATTGGCCACGGTAATCAGGCCGCCCCACTTGGAGTTCATTCACATTTATTTCCCCTTGACCCGCCCAGAGAGAGCTTCTATTCCAACGTTGTACCTCTGAAATTTCCTGTTGAATGAAATTGAACTAATATCATTGCTGTATTTATGAGTAAAGACGACACAGATTAAGGCATACGGGATACTCTAACAGACTCCGGCCGCTCCAAGTCTGGATGTTCTCGTTCTACCCGGGCCCGAGATGAGTGCGAGCCAACTTTGCATTCATCACAGTATAACCAAAGCGAATCGTTTCGGTGGGTTTAGTTACTACTTATAAAACTCTAGTCAAAGCTAGGTTAATTTTTATAGGTTTATTACCAAAGATTAAATTTATTTAACTGTTTGATTAACTGAACGAGGGAAGAGAAGCAAGCATGAAGACAGCTAGCCTTTGATGTAAAATAAAATCCGCAACCACATTCATTTATGCCCAGACAGTGTAGTTACACCTACTCTATGGAATACATAGCAGAACCGTCTGAGCCACCTGGCCCCTCAAGTTACGCATCAGGGCGACTACGGTATGGTTTTCCGTTGGCGTAGCAGTGTGTCTCCTTACTCTCCGGAATCTCGCCATGAAGAATGTACGCACGACCCAGACCATCTGTACAATCTGATGGATCCGACTCTGATATATGTCCATATCCATGATGGACAATAAGTCGAGCATTATCAACGCCCATGTCTTCCAAGGTATCTCTCCCATTCTTCAACGGTGTGGCAGGGTCATGCGTCCCAGAGATGCCTAGCACTGGATTGCTCAGTGTATTGTTCAGCGCACCCCTATACACTCCTGGTGGGCTGGGCCAATAAGTGTTATAGTGCCGGCACCCAAATACACGGGTAAAACGGTATGTCCCTGAGATCCACGATTTTTTGGTCATATCTGCCCAGAATTTGTCCCACCAGATGAGGCCGTCCTCTGGTAGCGGGTCATCATAGGAATCCGCGCAGACGACCGTGTAAAGTAATTCTCGGGACGATGCTTGATGACCTGTGTACGTACTCCTGTACCAGCGTTTTTCAAGCTCATCAAGTGCCAGACGAGCATCACCAGCTTCTAGATTATAAAGGATTTGAGCTGTGAGCGGCCATCTGCTCGGTGAATACATAGCGGTATATATCCAGAAGGCGACTTGTGAGTAGGTGATGATACCTGGACCGCCCACAGGAGTGTATCCTGATATCGGCTGTTCAATAATAGTCTGGAATAGCCTATCCATCCGATTCTCGAGTTCCTCCAGTGTGACAGGTGTCTGTGAGCCACCTACCGGCCTCGCGAGTGGACAAAGACTTGGCCCGGCGTCGAGACACTCCCCAAGAAACCCTTCACGCCATGTATCCAATATGCTATAAACAGAGGACCACGCAAAGCCGCCCAGTCTTCTTTGATCCTTGACAGACTCGACGCCATCTAAAAGCAGTCGGCCTATTCTGTCTGGAAACATGTTTGCATAAGTGATCCCAACTGCTGTGCCATAGCTTATGAAGTAGCCAGTAATCTGATCTTCATTGAGACCTTTGCGGATTTCTTCAAGATCCCGCGCCACAAAGGTTGTGTCAATGAACCGGCCAAAGTCACCATGGATCTGGTGGCAAGCGTAGAATGTAGCATTATTCATAGCATCATTTGTTTTTAGATGCTGCATCGTGGAGGCTACTTCTTCACGGTAAAAACCCTTGAAGAAAGCCCATCTATCGCGGAAGGAATCCCGGGGATAACACGAAAATGAAGGAAGCGAGGCGTTTACTCCTCGAGGGTCCCAGCCTAGAACGTCATACTGGCCATCACTATAACGTTGTGACACTATTTCGGCTTGATCCCAGACCTCTCTGGTTCCGCTGCCGCCCGGGCCACCGGGCTCCAGAATAATTGTTCGCTCAGACTTTCGTCCTCTTGATGCATTCTGCCAGCGACCGACAGGAGCCAGGCCGGAGACTTGATATTTGGTGACGGCAATCCGCACGATCCGATCATCCGAACCGTTCAATGAGTTGAGCGGGCGGTCCAGGTAGCCGCAGAGGTATATTCCACGACCAGTATAAGGATCAGTGGGACCATTGCTCTTTCGTGATGATTGTTTACCCCAGCTCCAACGTGTGGGATCAGGTTCAAATAAGGCAGCCCATGATTTGAGTGGGTCAGAGTCGTCTAGAGCAGGTAAAATAGACGTGTTTGTACACGGTATGAAGTGAAATGGATCACCCCGTGCTGGGAAGCGACCATATGGCGAGTGGCGTGAACTGGATGCAATTCCCACGACATCCGTGAAGTCAGCCAGGAAGGATAGGGCATAAGGATTTATGACCCAAGCGATTTGGCAAATGGCGAGGAGCAGCAGAAAGGCGGCGTAAATGGACCAGTATTGCCTTTGCGAACCACTTTGCCGCAAAGAAGGCGGAGACGAGGGATGCTTTCCCATTGTCGCTCTTATCCTACCACCAAAGATGGCCTTGGACTTCGGTGGAAGACTCAAAGACGGCGTTTCAAACTCCACACTGAATCTGTAAAGCCTGCGTTGCAATGAAGGGACTCAAGAACGCCCCAGGCGAATTGCAAATATGGGCAGAGTTGGTTCTTCAATCAGTAGGTACTTGGAGAAAACGTGTGTGACCGCATTAACGGCATCTTGGTCCACAGATATTAACGATCAATAAATTGCCCGTAAACCAGAAGAAGTCGGTTAGGTAGAAATTGAACGGCGGAGTATCGTGGACTCACATAGGCGCCAGCCTCCCAAAAAACCCAACACATCTAAGACAATTCACCAGCTATGTCAACCAATTACTAGACCACGTTCCAGGTTTCGGAGAAATAATGGCACCATTGTATAAGCCACTCGGGAAGAACTTGTTTTTGGACTGGGCAGCAAACATCAGCATACCACGAGTTTCGTTCGGGCACATGACCCTGATACAACGCCACTCTTACGTGATGACGTAATGTCTCATTTACAACAACCTCAACTGGAGATCTTTGGGGCCCTCGTGTACCTATCGGGACTTTTTCCTCATTGGGCTAGAGATCGTCCACGCACAATTGTGAGAATCGGGTGAGGCACATCTATACATACAGAGGGATGATCATCCGACGACATAGAACAAGCAATATCTTAGATCTTAATTAGCCCTTGTGCACATCTCGGCACTAAATGTCTCACAGGGGTAAGTTATTTTGAACTTTACGTAGGAAATGAACCAAGTGATTTAAGGTTGACTGTTTAATAGAGTGAAACTACAACAGGAACATCCCATTTCAGTCGGCCGGAGTGTTCTGATCACGTAAAAGGATGTATTGGTTGATGGGATGGATAACGCAGTTACACATCTATGTAGACCTAGCAATCCGCGCTTCAAAATGCTAGACCGTCTCTCTGCCCAACATAGCTTTCCCTGCCACTAGGATCTGTTTTATGCGTGAGCTTTTAGTTGGAGCTAGTTTTTATAATGTAGCTGCTGTTATCTTACCTTCGTAGTGGTTTGCTGGGCAAAACCCATGCTTCTGGTCCTCACGGCTCGGCGCGATCCCGGAACCAACCTCGGGGCCAGAGATCCAGTCGCCGTGCTCACGGCAGAAATATCCTCTCCCACAATCACACTGGAGAGAACCCCATTCTTCAAACTCACTCAGCCAAGTTGCGTGGTCAGCCGAACCTGCCTGAGTGGGTTCAGGGCGTGGTAGAAATCTGAGATTGGGATATTTGATCAAAATGTTGTCGGTTGAGACAGTACATCTGACGTTATCACAAGGCTTGACTAGAATTAGCATTGCTGATACAGTGTCCACGATTCATACACTGAGTAAGTACATACGGGTTGAGGTTTTGGACCGTCCTGGGCTGAAGGAACAGCTTGGGTGCTATCGGAGTGGCACATTATGAATTGTAGCCCTGTTACGTTTTGACAGTTAGATATGTGCAGTAATGATGAATAAAGAGTATGTAAACTTGATTAGCAGTTAGGTACTATCAAGGAACCAGGACATTCATGAGACTTTATATTCGACGGATACTAGAGCACGCTATCAACCCAATTGGGCCAAATACCTGGGCGGCTACGCACGGCGGACTGCAAGGCAAAATCCTCCGTGTTGTGTGGGGGACAAATTGACGTGGCACCTCTCACGGAGAGTTCAAATAGTGAGGCTGGGAAGATGCAGCATAAAGTGCAAATGTGTGTAAGACCGGAACGAATACCCCTTCCGTACACTGTTGCAGGTGACACTCGTCAGTCCGCCTACCAGCTTGAAAGCAAGCCCCGTCTATGCTATCAACCAGTATCCTATCGATGTCGGTAATGATGATCAATGGCGAAGGCCGTGCCTCAACATTGCTGGCTACTACACACACCAATGGAATTGGTGTGATTGGCTACTCTTCCAACCAACACGAGATTAAGTGAGTCATCGTGCTACACTTTACTTCGTCGTTTCACTCCTCGGAGAAAACAGCATTGCTAGGCTAGTACATAAAAACAGTCGTGGCTACAGAACGAGCTTCATCTCCATACAACAGGGTCATAGAGAAAATGTGTATAGGACATACATTCAATGTCATGAAGCAATAACCACAAGACACGACCACATCATGTCTAATCCAGAAACGACCAGCCTTCTACATAGAAGGGACACCGCACTATGGATAGAAGCTATCCAGGTATGTCGCCACGTCGTCTTCCACATTCTCACGCCGATGGTCTAGTCTGATGGTTGGGTGTTTACAGGCGCACAATGCCGGCGTGAAGCATGGCTCTGCTAGCAAGAAATTCATTCACCTCGACAAGCTCCAAAATCATACAGTGGATGCCAACACTCTGATTTCTGTGGCTCATGAGGTATACAAAGGCTTAGATAAAAAGCGCGGCCGATTTGCCACATGCCTTGTGTCCATATGGCACTTACTACACAGACACGCAAAGTCGATCGATGTCTTCATCCAATCTAGGCCCGAACTTACGAGTCTAATATGGGGCTCTGTAAGAATATTGCTTCAGGTAACAGAGAGGAGATGATAGGAGTACTTCATGGTCTTTCGGGATGAATCTTGCTAACATAGATGTACCTTAGATCGCTGAAGAGGAGGAGCGGGCGTGCTGCATCGCCGGGGAAGGTATCCTAGAGATCCTTCGCCATCTTGGGCGGTGGGAGCAAGCAGCAGCCATTTCAGATCTTCTCAGCTCTGAGCCTGTGCAGAGGGCAATTGTGATTTTGTACACAAAAGTTTTGGACTTTCTAGTCTCTGCGACACTGTGGTTGAAAAGAAGCAAGTTGTGTTAGTGTTTCCAGGCCCTTTGGACATAGCTTACCTGGACTTACAAATATGCACACACCATAGCGAAGATTGGCGCTACGATCCTAAGCGCAAAGGGAGAAAAATTCGACACGAAATTGAAGAATCTGCGTGAGGCATCAGAGTTCGTCGATACGGAGATCCAAACTCGATGTATGTCGTGATCTCCGCCAGGCAAATTCTTACTATACTGACATTGGGTTGTTTTGCGACACAGGTACTTATAAAAGTCAGTTTCTATACCAAGCATACGAGGGAAGGCATCTACTGATAGCGAACTATTAGACTTGACTCTGCTCCAAACAGTCAACGTCGATGTGCAGAGTACAATGAACAAGCTTGATCAGGGTATTGCACAAGCTCAGCAGCTCTCTAGTAAGTTAGACCAGCAGGCCGAAACAAATGGCCGTATTCGCTCACAGTTTCTTACAGCCAATGCAACTAGTATTCAAACTCAACTATTGGCTATGGTGGAAGACACATCTCACGTGAGAAGCGCTTTAGTTGGTAGGTGGAGCTATCATAGCCCTCTACTAAGTGATGGTAGCCCTTGCTAACTGGTGTGCCCGACGCTGCTATTTGCTTTCAGACTTGAAATCTCTCTCGGTTTCTATCTCTAAGAAGATCTTCGATCAAATAAATGGCGAGTGCAGCTCGTCTTACGAGGAAAGAATCGTTCAAGAAGCTGACCTATGTTGGCTCGAGCAGATACATCACAGCTAAGGGAGGTAAAAGAGTGGCTTCTGAAAGCGACCATCAAGGCGCCTCTTCCAGGTGTCCGAGTAAAAGGCACCTGTCAATGGTTGCTCGAGCATCCTATTTTTATCCAGTGGCACTCTCAACAAACTTCGCCCACTCTATGGGTCGAAGGGCTACCAGGTAGTAGTCCCCTTGCCTCGAAAATTTAGTGCTGGCTAATTCGGAATCAACAGGCCGTGGGAAGTCCGTCACAGCTGCCTTTCTTCGGCAGTATTTGAGTAATAACGAAGAAAGAGTTGCATTTTATGCTTTCCATCGATCTAGCTCGGTTGAACAGTCGACCCCTTCCTTGGCTCTTGCTTCTCTTATGGCACAACTTCTTGAAACATCTGGCGAGGTAGAGCCAAGAATTATCACTGCACTCGCCAAACTTTCAAGCCAGTTCCCTCTAGGGCCGGTTCAATGCCCCTTTGACCAAATCGAACCAGCTGCAGTGCTCATTTTCAACTCTGAAAAAGGCTTTAGCATCGTCTTGGATGCAGTAGATGAGTGTACTGTTGAACACCCGTCATCTCATCCGGGAGCTCTGCAGCTGTTCCAATTCTTTGACAAGGTATTATCAACGGCTGATAGAAAGATCGCCGTATTTTCGAGACCGGATCCCCGATTCCAGAGCATTATCCGATCTTGCATAACCATTCAGTTGTCAGGCGAGCTACTACTACCCGACGTTATGAGCTTTTCAGAAGCAGAGTATCGAAAATTGGATTTACCAGACACGGAAATACCTGCTGTTATGGATTGCATTCGCTCTACATCACAAGGGTCTTTCTGGTGGACGAGACTGTTTTTGGAACACTTGCACGGGGCACTGGACATGCCTGCATTCTGTGATCGATTGTGCTCGCCTGTGCCATCAATTCACCAGTACTACTTGCATATTTTACAGGAAAGGTCCAGAGACTTAGACAAGAGTCAACAGGACCGTCAGATATCAATTTTGGCACTGACATTTCATGCCCAGAGAGTGCTTACCGTTGATGAGCTGGCCGATGCAGTATCAATCTGGCCCAAACGGGCGAGCGAAATCATATCCCAGTTATGTCAGCCGCTTATTTCGACTTTGGAAGATGTTGTTCAGTTCTCCCATCCAACGGTCAGGGAGTTCTTCGAATCTTCCAGTAGCTACATTGAGGACCTACAATTCCGTAATAACACCTCTCGCTCTCATAGCATTGCAGTAGAAAAGTCTCTCCTGGTGCTCCTAAGAAGAAAGTATGCCGATACGAATAGCATTGAGTGGTACTTGAACTGGAACATGGACCAATCGAAACGTTCAACGGAACTGTTGCCTCATACGAATGACGGTTTCTACGACTATGCAGCAAGGTATTGGCATGTACATCTATGCAAGATCAAGACACCAAGCGAGTCTACGTTGCAGATCCTGAAAGAATTTTTGGTGAGTTTACAGTACGCACACTGGAGCCAATACAGCGCTGCTGCCATTGGCCATATGATAGGAGTCATTGGACCACTGGACCAAATAAAACTATGGGCAAAGGAGCTCCCAGCCCATCAGCAAGATTTTCTAAACATTGAAAATTCCTACTCACTCTCTTACATGAGACTTATAGAGGCATATGGCAGCTTGAAACCAATGAACCAGTGCCTTGCTCGGCTTAGCATTTGCGGCCACCTACTAAACCTGGGACAGGTCGAAGAGCAAGCCGAGCTTCGTACAATGGTTTCGACTACTTTACGTAGTCAACTGCCCATCGACCACCCTATTTCTCTGAGAAATAGAGCGGACCTTGCATATTCGATGTTTCTTTGTGGGAAACTACGTGATGCCCGCGCAATATACTCTGGACTTGTTGAAGTATACCACGGTGCTTATGGGGACGAGGACGTCCGCTTTACCGAAGCGCTACATTATCGTGGCGAAAGCGAATACCTTATGGCAGAATTTGGCTTGGCTTTTGTAACATTGACAAAATCTGTAATGGGATTTATGAAAGCACGAGGCCCGGACAGTTGGTCTTACATTGCTGCCAATCTATGGTATGGGCGGAACCTCGCGCACCTGGGAAAGATTGAAGCTGCCATTAAGATATGGGGCGATAGTTTGCAGAAACGGCTTGAGGATCATGGAATCCATGATGGATTGACAACTAGGATTCGTATTGGCCTGGCCGACTTACTGAGGTTCACATGCCGAACGGACGAGGCTATCATCCATCTTCAAAAGACTCTTCGAATCCTCAGGGCCTCCCGTCCACTTACAGATATCTCAAGATTAGATGCGGAGATTCTCCTGGCGAAAGCATACAAGGAAAGCAAGATGAGCAGTGCTGCATGGGCAATTGTTTACGAACTAGAAAACGATGGGTGCCTCAAGTCCCATTTCAAACGATCCTGCCAAGTAGAGCATCTCAAAGGTCTTCTTTTGGACATGGACGGGTTCTTGGATGATGCCATTATGACACTCTCAAATGCTTTGATTAAACTGGATCGAGATCAGAATAACCTGGCATTATTATGGGCACGGTTAGATTTGGCAGACATGCTTCGACGACGTGGTGCTGAGGGCGATATAAATACAGCCACCGTCATTTTTGAAAAGTTGGTTAAAGGAGTGTCAGAAAGTGATGACCCGTGGGTCCAGGATGAACCAGACAGCCCAAAGCTTTTATCAGTGGCTGAGAAAGCGTTAAGAATGATTAGATCTGGGCAGCATATTAAGGCAAGGGAGTTACTTCAATTCGAGGAGATGAACTGGATTTGCCCGAGCGATCTCTGGCTTTGGTATACAGATGCTATCTTTATTTAATTAGTATATGCTAAATGCTAGAATATTCAATCTAAGAGTTTTTAACCTTTTTTTAAGATATTCCCAGTATACTAACTTGAGGTGTATTTATAATTTAACTTAATCGTCAACTATTTATTATTAAAGATTATTCCAAAAAATCATTCTTATTTTATAGCATCAAGATAGAGAATAGGATATTTACTTATTCATGGGAAAAAGCGGGTTCTTCACATAAGAATTAATCAAGGCTTAATAGATGGAATATTACACTACTGGACTACCTATACTAAGTGAGAAAACTGCGCAAGGCAGGGTCCACATAAGGGCCAGGTTCATGACGTTACACCTTTCAAGCTCCCAAAGGAAATCGGTCGATATCTAGCCAAACAGAACTCGCTTTTCGCGGCCCTGCGGCCTCGCAGGCGATAACTCAAGCATCTTAGACAGGGACGAGGGCTCCTTCTCGCGACCGGAAAATACTAAGACTTTGCACCCGCACAAAATGCCATCCCAACCTACCCAGCCCGACCAACCCTCGAATTCGGGCATCGTCACCGATGGGGACAGCGGCCAGCGTCACATTCCCGAATCAGTACGTGCCGATGGAAGTACCCGCAAAGCCATAAAGATCCGGCCCGGGTACCGCCCTCCCGAGGATGTCGAGGTCTACAAAAACCGAACTGCTGAGGCATTCCGTGAGCGCGGCCGCCGAGTGGGAATCCCCGGGGCTGCTAGTACGGAGGATACCCAACCCGCACAGCAGGCTTCTTCTTCGAACAATAAGAACGCAAAGAGGCGCGAGGCCCGGCGGAAGGCCAAGGCTGCTGATGGTGAAGGCGAAACAGAGGGCGCAACCAAGGACTCCGAAACTCAACCGAAGGCCGACGAGGTCGACCCCGAGGTCGAGAAGGAAAAGAAAGCCAGGAATCTTAAGAAGAAGCTGAAGCAAGCCAAAGACCTGCAAAGCAAGAAGGAGGAGGGGGAGTCTTTGCTCCCTGAGCAGATCGCAAAGGTTATCAAAATCAACGAGCTGGTGCGCGAGCTTGAGGCTCTTGGCTTCGATGCAGATGGGGAGCCACGGCAAAAGGGCGATGAGGGTTCGGCCGGTAACGGCGACGACAAGAAGGAGTGAAACGCTTCGGCGTATGTACGGGGAGAAACCAAAAGCATATGGCGGCCAGCATTGATTTTGTCTATACCACGCATCAAAACTTATGATCATGTCTACTAGATACGAATACCCACGCAGCTGCTCTTCTTCGGAACGCTACTTTCAACTATTATGAATAGATGGTGGCAGTTCGGCGGGTGGCAACCTCACATGCAAAGGCATCACTTGGAAGGATACTTGGGAGTTGGCACTAGATTCACTGCCTGGCTATCTATATGACTCGGGGTCTGATGATACAGGTAGTTACCGGAATTTGGTATTTAATCTAAATGTGTGAATAATTTCTGTAAATTTCCCCCAAAAATATCTGCTGCGCCTGCCTCTCTTTTCATCACATATATAGGAAGACTCGGGAGATGATTAAACAAACAATAAACATTGGGAGCCACAATACTCAAGCAACAATTCACGACAGAGGGAATACTTTGGATATTGATTACATGTACGATGTGCAATAAGACCTGCTGCTGTTACCGGGGATAGCTTGTGTGATGCGGTTTAGGGTAGCAGTAGAAGTACAACAAAAGCGTGTTACTCAGTGAAAATTCTCGTGTCGGGAGAAGAGCGAGCAATTAAAAAAGGGTAAAAGGGAACCAAGCAAAGACTGGGAAAAGAAGGAGCCTTCGAAATATCCAGCGAATATCCTCGGAGGCTCAGATGTTTTAGGTTATATACAACTTAGGAGTTGGAAGCATGTGCTCTTTGATGATCAGGGCGGTTTGGTCTTCTCCACTTCCGACTTTCAACCGGACCCATGCAAGGTAGCTCGCCCAAGGCTACAGCGCATGAGGTAAGCTCTACAACATCCACACCAAGACGACGAACGGCGACGAATCTTCCAGCAACACCATCCCAACCAAGACCTCCAGCGACTATCGACGACTTCCCGCCAGAACGCACCGAGTAGGCACAGAATACGGCAGTGTAGCATCCTATCGAAGTCGACACAATGACTCCCGAGGAAGAGCGCCAAGCCGCCCTCAACTCGTACCGGGCCAAGCTCATTGAGTCCCGCGAGTGGGAATCAAAGCTGAAGAGCTTACGACTAGAGATCAAGGACCTCCAAAAAGAGTTCGACAAGACCGAGGACAACATCAAAGCGCTGCAGAGCGTAGGTCAGATCATAGGAGAGGTGTTGAAGCAACTCGACGATGAGAGATGTATGGATCCCTGCCCTGGTTGGGAGAGAAGGCTCCCAGCGAGGAATGACATGTGAATCGATACTGACAATGCCAAATCTAGTCATCGTCAAGGCGTCGTCCGGACCCCGATACGTCGTCGGATGCAGATCAAAGGTGGACAAGGTCAAGTTGAAGCAGGGCACACGTGTGGCGCTCGATATGACGACCCTCACAATCATGCGAATGCTGCCTCGCGAGGTTGATCCTCTGGTCTACAACATGTCTCTTGAGGACCCGGGACAAGTCAGCTTTGCCGGTATCGGCGGTTTGAACGACCAAATCCGAGAACTCCGTGAGGTTATCGAGCTACCGCTGAAGAACCCTGAATTGTTCCACAGAGTAGGCATCAAGCCCCCCAAGGGTGTGTTGCTCTACGGACCCCCAGGCACAGGAAAGACCCTTCTCGCAAGGGCTGTAGCTAGTAGCTTGGAGACCAACTTCCTGAAGGGTAAGAGCTACACTTAGTCATCCTTGAGAGGTCACTGCTAATACGAGAAATAGTCGTTTCTTCCGCCATCGTGGACAAGTACATCGGAGAGTCGGCTCGACTGATCCGTGAAATGTTCGGATACGCCAAGGAACACGAGCCTTGTATCATTTTTATGGACGAGATTGATGCTATTGGTGGGCGACGATTCTCTGAGGGTACTAGTGCAGACCGAGAAATCCAGCGCACATTGATGGAGCTGCTTAACCAGTTGGACGGTTTTGACTATCTCGGAAAGACCAAGATCATCATGGCTACGAATCGGCCAGATACCCTTGATCCTGCTCTTCTGCGTGCCGGTCGTCTGGACCGCAAGCTCGAGATTCCCCTGCCCAACGAGGTTGGGCGTCTAGAAATTCTCAAGATCCACGCTGCTAGCGTTGTAGTTGACGGAGAGCTTGATTTCGAGAGTGTGGTGAAGATGAGCGATGGCTTGAATGGTGCCGATCTGAGAAACGTGGTGACCGAAGCGTAAGTTTATACCTACTCTCTGCTGACATCACTCAACTACTTTTTTGACATATCACTAACGAGGTGAAAATAGTGGGTTGTTAGCCATCAAGGACGAGCGAGAGTCGATTAGCCAGGACGACTTCAACAGCGCTGTCCGCAAGGTTGCGGAGGCCAAGAAGCTTGAGGGCAAGCTGGAATACCAGAAGCTGTGATGTAGTTGACGGCGGCTCTGGATGAAAGTTAAGATAGGCGCATGAAGCAACTAAGCTACATTTGGTTGGCCTGTACTCATAGAACACGGCAAGACGGCCCAGCATCATAAGAACTACGAATATAGATAATTGTGTCTTGGCCTAAAAGGGTTCTGTTCCGTTGCCTTGGTTACCGTAGTGGTGGGGTTTGTAAGGGAGCTTGAGTTCAAGCGATCAAAACGCCATGAAGAATTCAGTTGTGGCGGGAAAAGGACGATGATCTTCTAACCGAGAAAGGCAAGCTCGGAAGGTATTCTGAGTTGACATCGGCCGAGGCAGAGGGTGTCGTATCAAGGGCGTGGGAGATGGATCTTTCTCTATGGGATGCATTAGGAAAGGCATGGTATTGATCAATAGATTACACAGCAAGCTTTACGAAGGCGGCGGCGGCTTGAGCCTGGATCCCTGGATAGGGGTTTACCATTAGTGCGATAACATCATCGCGTAGCATGCGCTTAAGGCTGTGACAGGGGGTGTTCAGATCTTGTTTGCTTGTCTTTGGAAGTGGTTCTCAAGCCTTGAGGGTGGTGGGTATGATCTGGGCGTATAGCAGGTGTATGCCAATCGGGTGGGAGAGTTCCGGTTTGACAGAGAGGTCCCTTGAGCTACGAATACCGAAGTTCCATCTTTTTCCTCCTCTGTGAATGTGATGTGTATGTATTATTTCTACTTAGGGATAGCAGTCTGACCACCATGGGGAGGGAAAGGTGATAGTGGGATAGCGCTGAGAGGCCATAGCAAAGGCCGAGACCATGGCCATTACCTCTCGATTTTTTGCTTTTTGCTTGGCATAGCTGGGAGCATACCTCAGGGAGTAGTGAAATGGTTGATGACCTCAATTGCAGATGATGGAATGTTGAGGCGCAGTCCGGTAGTAGCCGATGTGGACTGTGGCAAGTGGTAAAAGCGCCTGCTATTCTTGGAGCCCAGTTGAGGCTGTGAGATCTGGCGGCTCATCTTGGCATCGCTGGAGGCCGGACGCTGAAAACAGCTCCGTTGGTTATGAGGTCGTAGCGCGCCTGGATTTGCTCGGTAATCTACCGCTATCTGCCCGCTATTGTGTACATCGACGTAGGTACCTTGCCTTGTTGTGTTGCACGGGCCAGACGCAAGGCATGCCAAGTGCCGGGGCTAGATGGAATACGAGCGAGATGACTTCATTGTACCTGCTTTTTTTTTGTTGGAGCAGGGTGTTTGTTTTGACCGAGCTGGTTTCCTGCTTTTGCCCCTTTCTCTTGTTTTGGCAATCCACCTGTTCATCCATCATGTGGGAGAAGAATGAGGTGACTCGTATTACTGCAGCGACCAGAGGATGAAATCATGAAACTGAGTTGCGGAGAGCTGGTGCGTTCGGGGTTAGGATCAAAACTTAACTTACTCGCGCAACACCCAATCGATGATCACCCTCCCCTACCGGAGTTGTGTCCACCAGGAGATCAGATCATCTTGTTGGCTGGGCTCTTTCCTGGTTTGTACGTACATCACATCAGCAGCTCGGAAATCTGAGCCCTTGAACCGTGTTTTGAGGGAACAGAATACCCCTGCTATTAGCCGCAACTGGTAGCCCTCATGGTATTTGGTTGGTCAGCTCGAACTAGGTGGGCCCTTTGTTCTCATAAGTGCTGGGCCTAATCTGAGATTTTGGAGGAGAATGTAGCTGGGCTAGTACGTGAATAGTTCCGAGGCAATGTCAGACGAAGTGAGCGGGCTGCCCACAGTGCATGATTCACTTCGGCCTGTGGCATGGGTATGTGTTGGGGACGGCTGGTTATCATCAACTCGGCTTGAGCGCTGGGCTGGCATTTATTGTCTGGACTGTGGGCGGGCCTGGCTTTCATATGTACTCCGTTTGCATCCAAGGTAATTACCTCGTTGGTGATGGCAGAGAACTGGAGCTTAGGTGGACCTCCTGAAAGCTTACCACTTGCTTGCCGCCAATCAGTCCCCTGCGCCCAGTGCAGGTTACCAGCAACGGGAGTTAGTGGCAGAGGTGCTGCACCGCTTGTCCTGCAAATGCAAGCTTTAACAGCGGGAATGAATATCGTCCATGTATGGTGCTATGTATTTTATACCTACAGCCGGTTGTGAGAGCACTGCACTGCATTGTACGCGGGCAGGTAGCCAATGTGCGTGCATGCCGCAGCCACCCCCTGGCCAAAGGCTGCCGATGCGGTTTCATGTTGGTGGTGGATGTTTTAGGTCCTACGGCGTCGTTTTCATGTTGACGTCGTCCCGCAGCAGTTGCCGCCAGATGGGCACTGAGCGGGATAGCATCTCGACGACGCAGTCAGACCCAGGCCGGCGCCTCCCGAGGCTGGCAGGTGGCTATCTTGCTGGTCAGCAGCCCGCGGTTGGGCGAAAAGGGGCGCTGCTGTTGAGTCTCAGCACATCTCAAGCAATGCATCCATCACCATCCGATCAGCCTTGTCATGCTGGCTGCAGTGGGTATTGGTGGTAATTTTGGTACCTGAACCCGCTAACGGGGAACCAGTTGGCTGCGCCCCTCTCGTCCTCCCCGACCGCCCCTCCAACCCCTTCCCCTCCTCGTATGCAATTGAATGGATGGAGGCACAATCAGTCCCCTTGCCACCACATCACAGAAGCAGGCAGCTCTGCCCCCACCACACCATCCATACCGCCCATTGACTAGCTCTCAGGTCTCGCGGTACAGTACGAGGGCAGCACGTTTCTGGCGTGGGCCAGTCACCAGCCGCCGCTAGCAAACATGTACCTTACCACAGCAGAGCTTTTCCCGCCGTCGCCATTGGGCCTGAGCGAAGCTGCAGCCGATAGCAACCAGGAGCCTGGAAGCAGCCAGTCCCGTCCAGCCCAGCCCAGGCCGGGGACTATGCTGACCTCCACATAGGTAAAGCTGAGCTGAGCCCAAAAGCAAGCCTCAAGTCTGATGGCCGTCCACGGTCCACTAGCCCAGGACTTTCCAGAAGGTACCTACGTATTGTTGATTAAGTACACGTTACTCCGTACCTCAACTGTACATAACGGCGCCTTCTGGCCATCCATCGAGCTTCTGACCTCCTTCCCCTCCTCTCCCCTTTCATTATTTATTTCATCCCTCCCCCCTCGACCAAGCACCCTGTTTCTCTCCATCTCCTCAAACGAACCTCCGTGATACCCCCCAAGTTCTTCTTCTCTAGCGTTTCTCCTCATTTCCTCGCTCGTTGTACGCTTTTTGGTTCTGTCTGACAGCTATACAACATGTGGTAAGGACCTGCCCTCAGATCTCGTCACCGCCTCTGCCCCGCCGCCGTGCTGTTCTCGCTGCTTGTCACCGCCGCTCTGGCCCAGCAGCGAGGCGCACAGGCTCTCTCTAAGCCCAATTGGCATTGTGCAGCTCCGGACTGACTGAAGTTTAGTGGAATTTTCGGTTACATCAACTATTTGGTCGAGAAGGACCGCAAGTTCATCCTCGACACTCTTGTCAACGGTAAGCACCCCCCCATCGAATTCCCAGCTGAATCATCTATCCGAGACACCATTGCATGCAGAGGACACCCGGCTGACTGGAATCTCCCTCTTCCTTTGCAGGTCTGTCTCGTCTCGAATACCGTGGCTATGATTCCGCTGGTCTAGCTGTCGATGGCGACAAGAAGAAGGAGGTGCTTGCTTTCAAGGAGGTCGGCAAGGTCGCTAAGCTCAAAAAGCTTATTGACGAGTCCGACATCGACTTGGAGAAGGTTTTTGATTCCCACGCCGGTATCGCTCACACCCGATGGGCTACCCACGGTCCCCCTTCTACCGTCAACTGCCACCCCCACCGGTGAGTTTTAAGCTTTCCCAGCGCTGCATCCAGCGATCGCTGCGTTCGCCGTCCCTCGAGCTAGCAAGAGTTGTGGCTAATTTGTATGTTTTTGGATAGCTCTGACCCCACCTGGGAGTTCACTGTCGTCCACAATGGTATTATTACCAACTACAAGGAGCTGAAGACTCTCCTCGAGAGCAAGGGCTTCCGATTCGAGACTGAGACCGATACCGAGTGTATCGCCAAGCTCACCAAGTACCTCCATGACCAGCACCCCAACATTGGCTTCACCGACCTTGCCAAGGCTGTCATCTCTGAGCTCGAGGGTGCTTACGGTCTTCTGATCAAGTCTGTCCACTACCCCCACGAGGTCATTGCCGCCCGTAAGGGTTCTCCTCTCGTCATTGGTGTCAAGACCCAGCGCCGCATGAAGGTTGACTTCGTCGATGTTGAGTACTCTGACGACAAGACTGCCCTCCCCGCTGAGGCGGCTGCACAGAACGCTGCTCTCAAGAAGGGTGCTGATCTCCTGACTCCCTCCAACACTCTTCTCGGAGCCCCCGACAAGTCTCTCCTCCACCGCTCCCAGTCTCGTGCCTTTATGACCGATGACGGCATGCCCATGCCCACAGAGTTCTTCCTCTCTTCCGACCCCTCGGCTATTGTCGAGCACACCAAGAAGGTCATGTACCTCGAGGATGACGACATTGCTCACATCCACGAGGGCTCGTTGAACATCCACCGTCTCAAGAAGGCTGATGGAAGCTCCAACGTGCGATCTATCCAGACTCTCGAGCTTGAGCTCCAGGAGATCATGAAGGGCAAGTTCGACCACTTCATGCAAAAGGAGATTTTCGAGCAGCCCGAGTCCGTCGTCAACACCATGCGTGGTCGTCTCGACAACCCCAACAAGACCGTCACCCTCGGTGGTCTCCGCTCATACCTCGCCACTATCCGCCGCTGCAGAAGAATTATCTTCATTGCTTGCGGTACCAGTTACCACTCTTGCATGGCTGTCCGTGGTGTGTTTGAGGAGCTCGCTGAGATCCCCATTTCCGTCGAGCTGGCCTCCGATTTCCTTGACCGTGAGGCACCTGTCTTCCGTGATGACACCTGCGTCTTCGTTTCTCAGTCCGGTGAGACCGCCGATTCCCTCCTGGCTCTCCGCTACTGCTTGGAGCGTGGTGCCCTGACCGTTGGTATCGTCAACGTTGTCGGTTCTTCCATCTCTCTCCTCACCCACTGCGGTGTCCACGTCAACGCCGGCCCTGAGATCGGTGTCGCCTCCACCAAGGCCTACACCTCCCAGTTCATTGCCATGGTCATGTTCGCTCTGTCCCTGAGCGAGGACCGTGCCTCTAAGAAGGCTCGCCGCGAAGAGATCATGGAGGGTCTCTCCAATATCTCTAGCCAGATCAAGCAGATTCTCGAGCAGGACTCTGCCATCAAGGAGCTGTGCAAGAAGACCTTCCAGAACCAGAAGTCCCTGCTCCTGCTCGGACGTGGCAGCCAGTTCTCCACTGCCCTGGAGGGTGCTCTTAAGATCAAGGAAATTTCCTACCTTCACTGCGAGGCTGTCATGTCTGGTGAGCTGAAGCACGGTGTTCTTGCTCTCGTCGATGAGAACCTCCCCATCATCATGATCCTTACCCGTGATCCTCTCTTCAAGAAGTCTCTCAACGCCTTCCAGCAGGGTAAGTTTATATCAATTGCCTGATCTCATGTCCAAAAGAACCGAATGCTAACAGTTTTTATAGTCATTGCTCGTGGTGGCAAGCCCATTGTCATCTGCAACCCCGACGATGAGGAGTTCAAGTCCTCCGAGGCCGAGAAGATCGAGATCCCCAAGACCGTCGATGTCCTCCAGGGTCTCCTCAACGTCATCCCCCTGCAGCTCATTGCCTACTGGCTCGCTGTTCTCGAGGGCCTGAACGTTGACTTCCCCCGAAACTTGGCCAAGTCGGTCACTGTCGAGTAAGCTGCTGGTCAGGACGACAGGCAGGTTTAGGCCGAGCCTTTTTTGTCTTATTAGAAAAAAGGAAAGGGAAGTGTTAGACTCTACGTGTGTTTTTCTCCGCCCATAGGAGGCAAATGATGAATGGTGCAATCTTAAAACTGGTAATAATACGAAATGCGAAATTTGGCTTTTACGAAATCTGTTGACACTTGGCGGGTATCTTGGGTGTAATCTCGAGTTTTTGGTTGGTATTTGAAAGCAAGGAAATACGTTCATAGTAATTTTGGCCAAGATAGTCTCTAGATTTAGGTCTACGAATGTTAAGACGACATATGACACCGACGAAAAAGGACTAAACGTTCTTGTGAGCCATCTATAGCGCGTGTGACCACCCACCCATGTAGTAGTTCTGATTCTTGGACCATTCCGATCACTCTTGGATAATGGACACAGTTCTGTCTTATCTCTTTTGGGGGGTTGCAAGGTTCTCGCTATGACTGTCCCGCTATCCGAATTCGAGAGGACTGACCCATTTCAACAATCATATCTCGCTGCACAGCGGGTTCATAGTACCTCGAACTCAACGCTCCCCCATAATCAGTGATAGCGTTTTAGGATTAGAAAAAAAAAGTTCAAGTGCCATTATCGAATTTCCATTTATCTAAACCGTCTGGGTTCCGTATCCCTTGATTCTATCAGCAAAAGCCCAGCTCTGGCCCTCCAGCTTCTCGTCCTCCTTCAGGTCGACGCCATCCTTGGTGATGACGGCGATGGAGTAGCGGTCCATGCTCCTGGCGTCACGGTAGAAGAGGACCTTCATGCACTCTTGGATGACCTCGATCGCGGTCTCCTGGGACAGCTCGGCGGCCGACTCCTCATCCGGGGCGTGGCGGCGCATGATGGGCTGGGCGAGCATGGAGCCGTAGCCAGTGGCCAGACTGGGGGCGCTGTAGGTCGTGCCGAGGAGGTCGGTGGCGGCGAGGAAGGGCTTACCCTCGTCGTCGAGGCCGGCGACGAGGATATGGTTCCAGAGAGGGTCGAACTTGGACCGGCGCCTGTACATGAGCTTGGAGAGGTAGCGGTGGAGGTTGGCGGCGGAGAGGCGGGGCTCGTCCGGGCTGGAGTAGTTCTCGCTGAGAGTGAGGTCGGTGAGGTGGCGGTTGAGGTACTGCATGTCGGAGACGTCACCGCCGAAACCGACCACGGAGGTGCCTGTAAAGGTGCGTAGACGCTTGACGTCGGTGAAGCGGGCGAGGGAGCCATAGGATGCTGTTTGGAGGGGCAATCGGGTTAGCTGCTCTGGAGTGATTGAAAGAAGGGCATCGGTAAATGTAGCATCAGAGGAGCAACGTACCCAAGTTATCGGCAGCAATGACGACGCCCTCCTTGAACTTGATAGCTAGTACGGACGTTCCAGTGACGATGGGCTGCTGAGTGTGCTGGGTAGGGTCATTGGGCCGGACATAAGACGCATCGTAGGGGCCGTAAACATCGTCTCTGGGCTATGTAAATTACAAAAGAATCAGTATTCTGAGCTCAGATAGATTGATGGTTGTGGATGAGGCAACTCACACGACCCCAGGCCATCGGGCGGTGGTCCATGATGTGTGGTGGCTTGGATGTGGTGTTGGGTAGCGGAGCTCAAGCGAGGGAATCAGATTCCGAGGTGCGAATGCTAGATCTGTGAATCAATGGAGATAACAAAACCTCTCTATGATGCCGCAGACCGGGGGAGGTTGATGGGTTAGGCGGTATCGATCTGATGACTTGGTGCGAGGTTGAAGCTGGCGGCGATGGGGAAGCTGCTCCAGCTCGAAAGGCTACCCACTGTCCGCATTGCCGCGTGCCTGTGGTAGCCTGCCAGAGCTGCTGTGTCAAGGCAAGTGGTGGTGGGTGACGTGAAGTTGTTACATAAGCTGACATCACCCAGTGATTGGCCCATGCCGGAGCTTCGACGCTCGAGATGGTCCAGGATACGCCGGAAGTAGTGACATAACCGTGCAAACGCTAAGTACTAGGTACTTCAATTCATGCTGCTACAAGGCAAGCTCCATCATCCCTGTTGACGCACGCGGGCATGCATCAAAGTTCTCCCACCTCCTCCCCGTTGCGCAGATCGCCCTTCTTCCCTTGGAGATAACAGATTTGTCGCTGAAAGCCTACGGTCCAATTGCCGATTGCAAACCACAAACAGCCCTCTCGCTAGCCATCAAGGGAACGTCCTTCCCTTTCATCCCGCCGCGGCGATGCTTACTCTCACGGCAAAGGCGGTCGCCCGCCGCGCAGCGACCTCGTACCTGACCGGCTCGAGCAGTCTGACCACCAGATTTTCGGCCCTTGCCATTCGCCCAATCGCTGTGCGCAGCTTCTCCGTCTACCGATCGCCTCTCCTGGCCGCAACCCGCCGTTCCACCACAGCCAAGAAGACCACCACCACCAAGAAGGCGACCACCAAGACAGCCAAAAAGGCTGCTCCGGAAAAGCCCAAGAAGAAGGCCGCCAAGAAGCCGGCCGCTAAGAAGCCGGCCGCCAAAAAGAAGGTCGGCAGGAAGAAGAAGGAGCTCACCCCGGAGGAGGCCGAGAAGGCGGACATCAAGAAGTGGAAGAAGCAAGCGCTGTGGAACCAGGAGCCAGCTGCCGGCAATGGCAGCGGCTGGGCGGTCTATGTTGGCGAGCAGTTCACCGGCCAAAAGTTCGATGATGGCGCCACCATAACGGACAAGATGCACGTCCTGCGCGACAAGTGGAATGCGCTCTCTGATTATGATAAGGAGGTATGTTCTTATTTTGGCTCTAGTATGATCGCATTGTTGTCTCTGGGGAGGAGAGGTGGGGAAGGGAGTGCCATCGCGATATGTTCATGAACCTTGTGGTCCTCAATTGCTGACTTATTCTTTTCGAACCATTAGCGATACAAGTCCCAGGCCGAAGTTGAGGCAGTGCAGAGGAAGAAGCAGCGCAAGGAATGGATCGAGTCCCACTCGATCGAGGAGATTCACCTTGCGAACCAGGCCCGCCTCTTTCTGCAACGCAAGTACAACAAGAAGAGCCCCAGACTCCATGACGAGAGAAAGCCCAAGCGACCTACGAGTGCCTTTGTCAGGTTCTTCGTGTCTTATTTCAATTCTCTCGATCCGGAAGCCCCAAAGGTCGAGTCAAGAAATCGGTTCGAAGGTGCCTCTGCTCGCTGGAAGGCCATGAGCGACGAGGAGAAGGCTCCCTACGTGAAGGAGTATCAAGAGGAGATGAAGCGATTCCAAGAGGAGAACGCGGGTTTCCAAGACAGGATCGATGAGTTAAGGAAATCTGCTTCCGCCAAATAAATATTGACTGTGATGTGATATCGCTACTTGCCCTCACACCCCGTGGCAAACTGCTACATGTATGAATATTCACTACGACACATAGTGGCAATGAATTGTACATCTTGACTCATGTATGATTCAATATTCAAGGTTTGGAGAAAGGGGTTCTCTCGGTTGGCTTTCTCTTCTTTGATTCATTCGTTTTGGACGATGACTTGCCTCGAAGATTAATGAATGGTTTCTTTTCTATGTCATGGCTGGAGGGGATGGGGGATGGGTTCTGTATTATATCGCAATTCTAGGTAGATTATGATATTTTTTTTTTTTTAATTCAGTTCGAAATTTCACACCGCCTTCGATTTCAACAGACCATCTAAAATGAACAGACCTAACTAGTATAAAGACCTAACTACTCCCTAGTATGACCTGAGTTATGATCCTTCGTAGTACACATCCATGCTTTTGTGATAGTGCCTTGATCAAGCAAAATGCCCGTTTCCACATACGCCAGGTTTCACTTCTTATAACCCACCCAGTCCCAATCATTCCCATGTCTCGTAATAAGTACAATGCCGTATATACTGATGGTGTCATAAAAGTCGTAATATGTTCCACCGTAATTACCAATTACAGAGGTGATAGATACTTCAGCTTTGTTTCAAGTAAGGAAGCACCCGTAGTACCGGTTTCGCCTCGGCATCTTTCCACACGGCCCCTGTATACTTGAGGTGCCTACCGCTTGCAAGATACAGAAGCAGATATGCGTGCTTCACAAGCGATCCCCAACAGTAGAGGCGAACCTCATCGAGAGCGGCGTCTCGGCGGCACCACACTCCCCACCCTGCCAGACCGCCCTCGATATAAGGGATGAGGAAGTTCCAGAGATCAAGGCGAACATCTCGAGACCAAGAACTACAGTTCACAAGCCAGTAGCCACGCTCAAGGGGCGTGATGTCCCGATCAGCCTCTGGGCGGTACCGGGAAGACAAGTCAGCAGCAAGCTTCGCCAGCCTCTCCGGGACCGCGATGGGGAGTTCCAGATCGTCTACGCTGACAGGTGGTGAGGGTGACCAAATCTCCAGCGCTAGAGGGCTAGGGGAGAGGCCTACCGGTTGCCGGACCCCAGTGTCGCTAGAGCTGCGAGCAAGGGGTTTCCCTTGAGTAAGCGTCTTGAGTCTTTTGGATTGTGGCGGCGCTGATTCTGCCCTGGTGAGGGAAGCAGTGGGTGCAAGACTGATATCGCTGCTTGAGATGTGTGTGATATCCAAGCTTTCAGTGGCGCCCTCCCCACTATCCCCAGTGGACACCCATTCTCTCTTATCTGGCCTGGATGCGATCGGAGTGACTGGGATGATGTCTTGAGGGTCTGAGAGATGTGCTTCCGAGGAGGGTATTACGACATGGCTCCCGGAGACGGACAAGGGTAGGGATGATGGGATCTCGTCCGTATTGAACCCCTGTGATGGTCCCTTTGAACGAGTTGGTGATGTTTCTGGTTGGGAAGAGGACCGCGCCAAATATCGCTGCAAAGCACGCGTTGGCGACACAAACATCCGTGAAGTGTTTGGAAGAGGATAGGAGTCGCTGATCTGGCTTGGAGGGGCTATCCAAGAGGACTGACTCTCTGGGATCTCGGGATGAGACGAGGGTATTACTATTTGGTGACCACCTTCGCGATTCACAGCCAGTAACTGTGGCGATGCGCGGTTGTCCAGGACGCTCTGAAAGCTTAATTCCAGAGAAGCTGGTGGCGTAGAGGTTGGAGTTGGAGCAGGGGGCATATCATTTGAGCCAGCATCCTCGCGGTCATCTGCGATATCTGCATCGCTGGTGTGGCTCCCGGTGTCTTCAATTGGGATAGTCGCTTGTGGTTCAAAATCCAGGTATGCCTGGGCAAGCTGGCGGTACGTGGCATCGTCAACGACTCGGCTGGGCGCCGTGACGTGGACCAGGATTTCAACATCTCGAGGATCTGGAGCCATTTCCGGGACTCCTCAAATGCCTAGTAGAAACCATGATCATACCATGCTGGGGGCCATAAGGTAAGGTAAGTATAAGAATGGGTGGGCGTGAGAAAGTGCACGCGAATCTTAAAATCTGGCTAGAGGAAGTCGCGGTCGAGTGATCGGTGTGGGGGAAGGAGGGTCACAAAGGGCTTGCGAAGGGGCTACAAGTGGACAACACATGGCTTTTTAAATACAAAGGGGTTGGCTGGAAGGAATGGCTTCGTTGGCGTGGTCCAGTGGCAGGCAGCACAGTTCAATAATCACCAACAAACATCAGCGTACAAGCTGGCGTGCATGGCGCCGTCCAATATGGCACTGAATCAGGCAAGTAGTGGTTGCGGATGCATGCATGTGGAGGCATCAGCTGCAGGTCAAATCCACGTACCTGGTGAGCCGCTTCGGGTCCGTGACGGCTTCTCGGTCATTCTGCTTTGTAAGTTTGGCTAGGAGTCCTGCAGTCATCAACCACCTGTCTTCATGGCTTAGTAGGTTAAAGCGTCGGTCTCATACATCCCTATGTGTGATCACTCATCAGAGTGTGTAATCCGAAGGTCGTGAGTTCGAACCTCACTGAGGACATTTGCTTTTGTTTTTTGGCTTCTTTTTTTTTGTCCGGTATCATTTGAGGATCCAGTAATATTGGCTACCACTGCCATGAGCTCTTCTATTTTCGATGCTTCATGATAATTAATCTTGAGATCCCCCTGGCCCAAGTATTTCCGCCAAAGGCCCTTCTCAGATCTCCAGGTAAGGCAAGTCTCCGCACCGTCGTACTCGTGTCCGCTTGGCAGAGAGGGCAGTCGCATTCGTACTGCATACCCGAAGTTAAATATTCAACTGCCAGTTGTCTCTGCTCAATTAGATGTCATAGTCGGAAGTAGCGAGAAGATCAGGCACTTATTTAGTTAGTATCTGTCGGTTGGATAACGGATGTAAAGTTAGTTAAGTGAACAAGGAGCCGCGCAGAGTGTCAATACATATCGATAAATTTGGGTGGGTCCCCTATCTTTCCCTGCCCTCCTCAACGTGGTGGGTGTGTCAATACATCTGTTCTCTCTTCCTGTCCAGTGCTGCGGGACAAACGATAATTTGCAATTGATCACCTCCAATTGACGCTACCTGCAATCGCAATGTCCGAGAAACCTAGAGGAGACCTCGGCCGCGTCGTCGTCGTCGGCGGCAATGGCTTCCTGGGCCACCACATCGTCAACCAGCTGCTCGGCCCCTCATGGACCGCCTCCTTCGTGGCCTCAGTCGATCTGCGATGCGAGAGGAACCGCAACCCCGGCGCTGAGTACCGTGAGTGCGACATTACCGATTCAGAGCGCCTGCAGTCCATTCTCGAGGAGCTGAAGCCAGATATCCTCATCCACACCGCCTCACCTATTGCCGCCAACCACACCCTGGCCAAGGAACTCTTCAAGAAGGTGAACATCGACGGTACCGCCTCCGTCGTCGAGGCCTGCCAGAAGGCCGGCGTCAAGGCCCTCGTCTACACCAGCTCTGCCAGTGTCCTGAGCGACGGAGTCAACCCTCTGTGGAACGCGGATGAGCGCTGGCCAGTCATTCGCGGCGACCAGCAGTCTGAGTACTACACAGAGACCAAGGTCAGTTCCGGCCGTACCGCAATGTGACGGGAACTCAAGCTAACCAATCTCTATTACACAGGCTGCCGCAGAAGAGATCGTCCTCAACGCCAACCGACAGGAGCCCTACAACCTTCTCACAGCCTCCATCCGTCCCGCAGGCATCTTCGGCGAGGGCGACGCCCAGACGCTCCCCGGCTTCCACAAGGCCTACGAGACCAGAAAGCACAAGGTCCAGATTGGCGACAACACGAACCTCTTCGACTTCACCTACGTCGGCAACGTCGCCCACGCTCACCTCCTCGCCGCCCACCGCCTCATCGCCACCTCCCGGGCGGCCACCGCGCCCCTCGACCACGAGAAGGTCGACGGCGAGGCCTTCATCATCACCAACGACAGCCCCGTCTACTTCTGGGACTTTGCCCGCGCCGTCTACTACGCCTCGGGCGACCGGTCGGGAACCAAGGGCACTTGGCACATGGGCAAGGAGATTGGCTACTTCTTCGGCATCCTCAGCGAGATCTTCGCCTCCATCCTCGGCCGGACGCCCACATTCACCCAGCTCAAGGTCACCATGACCACCATGACCCGCTTCTACAACATCTCCAAGGCCAAGAGGGTCTTGAAATACGAGCCGCTCTGGACTCTGCAGGAGGGTGTTGACCGGGGTATCCAGGCTCTTATCGCTGAGAGGCAGGCGGCTGCTCAGAAGTAGACTTCTACCATATATCCATCCCATATATTAATTGTACATATTCAGTCGGTTGACGCAGATCTGCAACCGACAACTTATGAACCTACACGATCAGATAGTCCCATCTCATCCAGCAACTAAGTAGCAGTTGGTTCGGATGAGCGATGATGATCATGACATAATACAGCACGATTCATTCATACTACAAAAATAAACATGGAACAGAAAAATTCTCAATTTTTTCTTCTTCTCCTCCTCGTCTTGCCACTTGTCGCCTAACAGAGCCTTGCTCACATTCGAATGTAGTAAAGGGGGAAAAGAAAAAATGCAGGAACATGCTATGGAAGAGGCGAACAGAGCACATACCTTTTGAAAACAGACAAAAAAACCTCTCCAGCAAAATCATCCCATCTTCTTCCCCTCCGTAAAAAAAAAAGGAAAAAAAAAGGAAAACTACCTCCTTGAAGATCCAGTTCGAACAAAATGTTTTTAGGGGATAGATAAGCACATTGATCCAGCACGCATATCCCCGATATCCTCCTCCGTGTGTAATTTCGACCTTTTCAAAACTTTTTTGTGGCCCCGTGAGGATGAAATGAGCAAGAAAAAAGTGTTCCTGGGAATGTGGAATGGTATATTCAGAGAGAAGAAAGAGAGAAATGGAGGTGTGGGCGGGCAGGGAAAGTATCGTATAGGATGGGACAGCTTCAAGCGGTATCCCATCATCTCCATGAATTGTGAAAAGGGATCACATAGATAAGCAACGTAAGGTATGCCTCCCTTTTGGGCTGTATCCAACGCCGATCTATATAAAGAGAAAAGAATAGGGTGGCTTCTCGAGGCGAAGGGAAAGAAATGGTGGATTGGCTGAGAGAAAGGGCCCGCTCTTATAATCTGACTCAGGGAGAAACGAAATCTCATTAGGGCCGTGCCGTACCTGTTTGCAGAACTTCGGTCTCTGGAGGGAGAACGACGATGTCGTGCCGAAGGAGAAAAGAAGGGTGAAAGGGGAAAGGCGCCCGTCGAAGGGAAGCAAAAGGAAAAAAATGGGGGATGTGCAAAAACGTAGCATAAGCTACGTATCAAGATTTCGTCAAGAGTCGTTGTCATAATGAAAACCGACTCCGTTGTGTCTTGCGTCATTTGAGTTATTTGTCTCATTGAGTGTCATTCGATGATTTTGAAGTCATTGAGGGGCTGGGGAGGAGCAAAGGGAAAGAAAACCAGAAACGCCGTGGATGATGCATAAGAATCTCGACCCAAATCATGCCCTCCTACCTATGCAAAGATGATTAGGATAAGCTGGCGCTTTCATCCGAGAAAGGTTCAATGCGCAGGTAGGATTGAGCATTATAGGTTACCGCTCACTCCGAGACCACCTCCTTGGCGGCCCCAGTTGGAATTCCTCCACTCTCGTCGTTGGTTGTCGGGAGAATCAATATGGCTGTCAGACTGGTTGAATTGGCTCGAGTAAGGGCCTGGTTCGCTCGGGCCTCTGAACCGTCCTCCATTAGATGGTGGTCCCTGTTGCGGCCCATGCGGAGAGGCGCCGTAAGGGGGCGTCTCCTGTACATGTCGTACCGACGCCTCGCCTTGCCACAAAGCAGGGTCGGTCTCTACTCGCCTAGGTGGCGGTCGAGTGGAACTTTCTTGGCGATTGTACACCTCGTTGACCTCCGCGATGGAAACTTGTCCTCTTCGTTCCTGGAATCGCTTCATTATTTCCTTGGTGGTGAGTTCACCGCTGCTGCTGAAAAGATAAGGATCGTTTAACAGGGCAAGAATCTCATCAGGAACCTTGAGAGAAGACTGTTAGTTTTGAATCGGAAATTTGTTGGGGGAAATGGGAGGACTTACCTGACACATCTCCTCGATATTTGAAATTAGCATCTCGACGGCATCGATAACAAAAATAGCTTCGCTATCCAAGGCCATTGCTTTCGATGTGTTGGTGAGAATATTCGGCGCAATGACAGTGGCCAGGTTCCTGACGTCCATCTTGGATCCAAGTTCCTCGTCAAGTTGGTGGAAAGACCCGGCCCACTTGAGGAAGGAGAACAGGATTTCCAGAGAATCCCGGTGGCTCTTTGGTAACAGACAGCATGTTAAATGTAGACATTGTCTCCGTTGGTCGGGGTCGGCAATCTTGGCCGCACTAATCCACAACTTGTAGAGCTTGTGTGTCATCAGAGGATCAGGTAGATCTCTTAGGTATCGCTTCAGGAGTGCTGCCAGTTGCACTACGGGCTGCTCCATGAAATTGACCACGTCACAGCCTTCGGCATTAATCTTCTCGACCATTTCCTGTTGCTTCTTGATATTACCGTTCTTGCGGAACACACCCTCCACTGACAAGTCCATCTTGCGCATGCATGAGATGATGTCGTCGATGACAGCAGGAATTCGTAATGCGCCAGGACCTACACCATCTGTCGAGTCTGCCCCGTCTCGCTCGATAATGACCTCGATGGGTACGCCGAATACCCCCTTCTTCTTGACGTTCTTGTTTTTATCATTCTTGAAGGCCTTTCCAAGGTTCTTCCAGAATGTGGCCTGCTTCCTCGATTCGATAAAGCCCAGAAGTTCATCAAGAGAAAATTCTTGTTCAATCATGGGCTGCATGGTCAAAACTGCGAGATGCCTGACGTTGAAGTACTCCAGTCCTGACAACTCGGAAAAGAACTTGCGATTAATCCGCGTCGGCAACATGTCGTGTCCGTGGACGTCTTGATCTCTGCCTGACGATTGGGTTCGTTGGTGACCCCCGTCCCCCGCGGGGGATCGCCCATTTAACTGGCGCTCCCGTTCTTGTTGTTGCGACTGCTCAACGGCGACAATTCGAGGGATGTCGTCGAGAGTGATGGCATCGTTCTGTCCGAACATGACATCTGTAGATCCTTGGATGTTCTGGTTCCCATCGGCACCGGGCGATCCAGGGCGAGGTCCTTGGCCATCCGCATCCATCACCCGGGAGGTCCTAGCTTGCCTAACGCTGGACGACAAATGGCGATCTAGTCTTGTGCTGCGTAGTCGGCGGACATCATTAAGAGTGTTCTCGTAAGACGACTCACGACGATGATCTCTGTCGGTGGCAGCGTTATGAGATTTGGACCTCGAATCGAGCAAGGGGGGGTCTCCTGGGTTTCTCGACACCTCACTCCCACCAGCTTCAGAGATGGTTCCGTTGCTCCTCAAAATATCTAAAAGACGCGCGAGTGCCACCCTGAGAAGGAACACATATTGTTGGAGTTTGGACACATGCTCGCAGACCGAGGTAGCATCGGCTTGAGAACCAAGGCAAGTCACACAGTAAATCCTTCGGTCAATGGGACTGAACAAAGCCTCTTCCAATGACCGTCCCAGCTCTCGCCGACAGCGGGTGCAGTTGACGCAATTAAGGTGCCATCGTATATCGCCGTTCTTTGCGCACTCATCCTCCACGGATCGATTACATAGCGCACAGTGATCCGAGTCCATCGCTGAGAGTCGAAGCCCGCCTTGGGTAACCTGGAGAGCACCTTCATCGTTCTTAACGGCTTCGAAGTCGTTCAGGTCATCGAGAAACTGGTAGAGGCCCTCGGATGTGCTGGCTTCTCGCTCCAGCCGGAGCGCACCCTGAAGACAAATACGAATAAGAAGTTTTAGGTAATGAGCTAGCCCTGTAACAAGGGAAAGAAGTTCTTGTGTGACGCCAACTTTGCGGGATCCTGAATCTTGGTTTTTGGAAAGCAATGAAAAGAATGATACGATTTTCTTACAGAGGAGCTTTGCTTCTCGTCCGTATGACATGCCTATAAGGTATTCCTAGTCAGCACATGCGAGTTGATACTTTGAGCAGAAGAAAATGAGTACAACATACCTTTCCCATTTAGCTTGCTCATGGTCTCGTCTAGCTTGTCGGTGGACTGGAAGAGAATCTCAACGTGCCAAATGAAGCGCTTAGCTATTAGAACCCCGTCGATATAAGCTCCGTTGCTGACGTGAAGAAGCATGTCGGAAATGCAGGCGGCAGAGGACTCCTCAAACGTCGATAGTACGCTCCAGATGCGGTACACTTTTTCTTCCATGCGCTCCTCCACATCTCGGATCATGTCTCGACTTGTCGGATCATCTGAAGCATTGGCCATTGGCGGCTCGTCCGTGGGTTGAGAGAGCCGCACATTCCAGAACTTGTGTATCATGTAACATTCTGGGTGCCAGTGCTGGTTCTGTCCATTGCGGAATATCTCGACAAACTGTTTCAAAATGGCAATCTGGCAGCCGTTGCATCGCTGGGCGAATTGTGTCGAGTAGTGGTAGTGGCAGTAAACGTTGCCGTCGTGCTCGTAGTAACTGTCTTGCGCACCAAATACCGTATCACAGAGCGAGCACGTAAAATGGTCAACGTGGTACTTGCGGTCCAGAGCAGTGATGTATGATCCTCGGAGCGCTCCACCGCATTGGTAACATAAAAGCCCTAGTCGTCGGAAGTAGTCTGTCTCGCAGAGGGGATACTGCCCCTCGCCGTTCTCGTCTTCCACCGGGAAGAATTTGGATGCCACGATATCGCCGCAGTCCTAGGAGGAACAAATGTCAGTATGCTTCTGGAGGGGGGTGCATTGGGGGTGCACATACGCGACACTTGAAACAGTCGAGGTGAAAGGTCCCATCCAGGGCTCGTACAAACTGTCCTGTCAGTGGTTCGCCGCACTTCTTGCAGACTCTCAGCTGCCCACTTGCAGTCCGCCCACTGTTGTTTCTTCCTCGCGATCGGTTCCTCTCTCCACCACCATTACCACCGCCACCTCTCTCGCCGTCCCTGTTCGCGAGGGGGATTCCTGAATTGCTTGACCCAGACGTCTTGGACTTCAGTCGATGCTGTCCGCCATCTGGGGGGATGTGGGCCCCATTCTGCATGTCCCTCTCCCCGATGGCCATGGGGCCAGGGCTGGGGAAGTCATTGTGACGGTTCCCACGAAAGTCTCCCAAGGGACTGTGATTCGGTTCCGACGCCATACTGGGAGATGATGCCTCGGTCGAGTCCTCCTCTTTGACGATTGGAATCCCCTCCCGGCCAAGAACCAGTCAGAAACGCAGGAGCAATTAGCGCCTGAAGCCTAGCAGTGGTCGGGGAGGGGTTGTGGCGGTCGGCATCAGCTGGAAAGCTACTCTGGATCAAAGGGGGAATATTTGGAAAAAGGTAAAGTCGGCTTCGTTTGGTGTTGGGATGGTAGGGCGCGGTTCGAGGGCGCCGCGGTCGAAAAATTACGGACGAGTAAGAGGTGTTCGCGTGACTTGGTCGCTCAACGACACGCTGCGACTGGCTGTTGGGTGACAAGGCACAGACTGGCAGAGGGAACAGCTTGGCGGTAACGATATGGGAGGTGCTAGTTCCGATGGGCGAAGGAGCGAAGACTACCGGTCCAGTATGTAGCACGTGGATTCTGGCAGAAGAGAAGGAGAATGGTATACGGCGAGGCCCAACGCCGCAGGAATGGAATATCGTCGGAGGAGGAAAGGGGCCCTAAATGAAGAGGAGAGCTGGGTTGTGCGAAATGACGAGATGCTCCGTAACTTTCTGCTACAGCACGTAGGTGACCTTTTAGTGGATGAGTGGTAGGTCGGGAGCTCGCTAATTAGCTGGGCCTGCACCAGCCCGTTAGAACTTAGGCCGCCCGGCCACTGATCTGCCCCCCCGAGCAACGAGGCCCGGGTACTATGTAACCACGGGCACCTCCCACAAGCCGCCAGTGGTTCCATTGAATCCGCCAGCCAGGACTGGCAAGTCCGATTTCAGATGCAAAGCTACCTACCTAGCTGGGTGCCTCCATCGTCTTCTGCCTCTCTTTCTGCGGTTCTTTACGAAATGGCCCTCTTAGATACCTCATACTAGCGTGGGCGGGCAGACGATGCCCCCTCCCAAAGGAAACGGCGGCTTACCGGGCGGCTGCTCAATGCCTGCCAAGGTTGGTTCCATCCTCGAGGCTGGGCAACTGCCAGGTAGTGGAGCAGCCCACCCCAGCCCAGCCTGAAAAGCTAGTGGCCCGCCACCAACTAAATGCTGCTGTATGCATTTTGGGTACGTCCAGCTTACCTCCTTGCCTGTTGGGCGTGGGCCTGATGCAATTTCCTGCTGCAACTTATGTCCCTCTTCGAAGCTGGGTTTGCCTGCGTGCCCTGACCAGCAGCAGAGCATGCCTACCGACTCTGGGGAAATTGGCATCGGCATCGGAATTTGCTCATGCTGATCAGAGACAAAAGCAGACCTGGCCCGCATCGAACAGCATAGGGTTATTTTTTTTCGAGAAGTAGGGGGGACATGTCAGGAATTGCTATTTATGTTTCAGCTTGTCCTAGCCTCTCTCTAAGTCACAGCCACAGGCAGATCGACAGGGAGCTTGTTTATTTCCCTTGAGATCGTTACCATGAGTTGACCTCCATGGCCACATCGTCAGTCTTTGCACTTCAATCCCAAGTTTAAAGGACGACAGACCGATCGCAGACTCGAAATATATTAAGCAGTGTCATGCTTGTGTGTCTCAAATTCAATGTCAGCCACTTGCCCGGACACGCAAAGTTTGTATGAGGTAGTGCTTGAGGCGAGAAACTCTTTTACGGTGGCGGTAGCAGAGGTGCTCGATATGCTTCCGAGGAAGCTGTTCTGGAGGAAGGTAGCTTCGCCGACCTTCATCGCCTGGATTTCTTCATTCCATCGCCACCAAAACATCAACGATGACGCCTTGAAGAAGTATTCGATAATATAGCATTAGAAGCTCAACTAATCCAAGACAACAATATGGCCTCTTTCCATCTGGGTAAATCCATCCGTCTCAAGATGGCTGCCTCGCTTCCGGGCTACGGCAATATCCGTATCAAATCACTTGACGGCGTTGATAAATTACTTAACATCGAAATGTCTGAGAAATATGACTACGATATCCCTGACGACATCGAGCCTGAAGCTCTGTACGAAGAATTCGAGTATCTTATCGATAAAGTTGCCAAGATGCTGAAAGAGCAACCTGCCAATCATGATATGTTCGATCAGGTTCTCGTGGAGACTTTAGCCACGATGGTTTATGGCTCAAACTTGATTGAAAGCGCTGGGGCAGGGTTTGGCATCACAAAGAGGCTCTGCGAGGCAATATTCAAAAGCGAGGAGATCCGCGAAGAGATTATAGAGCGGGACAATGACTACGAGCTTCTAAAACAAGAATTGAAGGCCAAGAATCTGCCCCATGGTTTTCTGGCAGTTCTTCAAAGTCATCGCGAGATCATCCAGCACGCCAAAGCTGCCCGATATATGATTCAACAGGTCTACCTCGACGGTAAAGATATATCTGAGGGAATAATAATGGAGGCACACAGAATCCTGACATTCAAGATTGACACGGACTAGGGCACCCCGTGGACAGAGTACAGTGGAGTCTACAGAAAGTATCCTGTGTTCACTGGCTTCCAATCTTACATGGAGCATACAAGAGTACCATATGCTATGCAGAACATGATCAAAGGTCTCAATTCCGACTTAAGAGAGGCTGAGAAACTTGGGGATATCGACCCTGTTGGTCTTGCAGCGAAATATTCCCACATCTTCGTGAACATCCACCCATTTCTCAATGGGAATGGCCGATTGTGCCGCCTCATACTCAATTCCATCTTGCTCAAATACAGCGGCACTCTCGTTTGCATTGGTTACATGAAAGACGATCGAGATGAATACTTGAGGATCGCGTCCTCTGCTTCTTACCGTGAGCAAAAATCTAAGGATCTCGATGGCATTCCGGATGACCTGAAGCCGCAGTATTTTACGGAGCTTGCAACGTTTACGCTGCTGCATGCGCGACAAAGCCTTTGGAAGTTCACTGAGTGTCAGAGAACTGAGTGCTAATGGTAAGTATATAAGAAGCAGTATATGAAATATTCCCAATTAGTTTCGTTTATACTGCCCAAGTATTCTGGCTGATGTAAAGAGTGGTGCGCTCTTCAATGTCTCATTTCTTGTGTCACCTAGTTGCTGGGTTATACCCATGGCGGTACCTATCTTGGGACTTCCCTTTTCTACAAGTGGGAACTCGAAAGAATTCTGAAGCAACACACTTCAAGACCACAACAACAGCCAGCCTATGCACCTTGGAGGTGAGATAAAGCGGCAGGGCTATAGGCAGGAGATTGCCTCGTGAGAGTTGTTTCCTCTCTTTTCAGCAATGAACTTTCGGCCTTAGACTCGAAAATAAGTAGCTTAATGTTCGGGTGTCTCAATTTCAATGTCACCCAGTTAGGGCGTCATCTCGCATGCACACCGGGATGGTCCTGCAGCCGCATTCACCCTTACCTACAGGTAGTTGAGCCCTGCAACTGACTTCGAGGGCCCACAGCAGTGGTGCGGGAGCTGCATATCGCCGCCGCTCTCTAACTCGAGGGTATGGCATGGCACCATTGCGGGCAATTGGGCAGAGAAGAGCCGTCCTGGAGAATGGAACAACTTCATCTCGTATTTGCTGCTGGCGGCATCAGTAGAGCACTGCGGCTGTGGTTGAGTTGTCCTCACGACCACCTGCTAGCGCTGATAGCAGCCAAGATCAACTCCCGATATCCAGGAAATCCATTAATTGCCTCTAAGATAGGTAGGTAGCTAATTTTGACCTATCAACAACAACACCTTTGCATCTCGAGCTCCACCGTTCGCTTCTCTTGGGCACTCACCGACAACTTGCACCGCTACATGAACTAACCCGCACTACCCATATGTACCCAACAAGCCCGCCTTGGGTTGCTTTACGGATCGGCACCTGGCATGACCATCGGATAGCCCCAACAGCTGGGAGTTCGTGTTCAGAGTTGTTGGTATCAGACTTCAAGCCTGCATATCACAATCTTCGTGCATTCGTAGTCGTATTCAGCAAGTACGGGGAGGGAGAAACTTGTTTGAAGAGAAGAACCTTATATTTATACGAATTGATTAACATTACCTACTGAAGCAAAGATACTCCCCGAAAAAGAAGGCAAAACCACCCTCCAGCGCGACACTCTACACATTGCTGTCAAATCTCAGTCTTGGCATTGCTGGGGGTGGCATGATGAGGTGCCTCGGCCGGCCCACTGCATTATTCCAAAGCAAAGAACCCGCCTCCTCCTACTTCCGCCTGCCGTGCACGAGCTCCTTGAGCCTTTTCTCAATGATGTCACGGCCCGCAGACGTCGACCACACCTCGTGCGGTGCATGGTCGACGACGTCCCACTGTTTCAGGTTGTCAGTGAGCGTGGTCAAGTCCTTCTGCTTCTTGCCCCAGTCGCTGCTCTCCTTGACGCGCTCCCCGGAGCTGACCACGACCAGCGGCACCTCTCTGCGCTGGATCTCGCGGCTGCTGTCCACCTCCCGCTTGGTGAACGAGCCCGCCACTAGGCTCTCCTGCAGCTTGGCGAAGATGAGCTTCCCGCCCTGCTGCGCGGACCGTCCGTACACGCGGTCCTTGCTCGTGCGGCCCCGGAAGAGCGCGCCAGGGAGGCGATCCAGGCCCAGCGGTGATATGACGCCCCTCAGCCACAGGAGGAAGCCTCGTCCCGGCCTCCCGACGCCGCCGAGCAGGTCCTCGTGCAGAGGGTCGATGAGCAGCAGCCCTCGGATCGCCTCGGGCCCGTTGCGGGAGGAGAAGATCCTCGAGTAGATGGAACCGATGCCGGCACTAGCCAGGACCCACGGCCCATGCTCCCCGGCCTGGGCCAGCGCCTCGCCCAAGACATCTGTCGCAAATCCAGCCGAGAGAGGCGATGGCGCCGCTTCCGACCATGCGTATCCTGGCCGGTCGGCGAAGCAGTACCGTGAGATGGAGCCGTTCTTGACTGCGTTGTCTGCGAACTTCCAGAGCCCGTGCTCGACAGGCCGCTCACCCCCTTCGAAGAGGACGGTAGGCAGCTCGGCGCCTGCTGCGTCGAGCTTCTTCTCCCCGTGGCAGAATATGTGAATCCTGTACTTGCCGTCGTCGACCCAGTAGAGCTGGCCCGGTGCCGTGAGGCCCGCATCCACCGCTCGCAGAATAATGGTCAAGGTGATGAGGAGAGCAGCTACTAACATGATGATGTAGGCAACCGTCGATATCATCACCATGAACCACTCAGCGGCGGTGCGTCGAGTCTCTGCGCGGCCCGTCAGGCGCTCCTCCTCCTCCTCCTTGCCCCATTTGACGGTTCGATCGACGACCAGGGCCCAGAGGCTCATGAGGACCGACCAAATGACGCTTACTGTGCCCACCCAGCCTTCTTCATATCGAGTCTTCTGAACGGACAAGAGGAGAATCATGTCAAGCAGCAAGACGAACTGGAAACTCGTTGAATTAGAGATGAACCTTCACTTCATATCATGATAGAAATGGGGAAGACATACCGACATGGAAAGAGCTACGATCCTCACAGACTTGGCTGGCACGCCAAAGAAGACGAGAGTGAAGAGCAGATTCGCCAAGGTCACGCTCGCGAAGCTAAATGCGTAGAAGCTGCTCCCCCGCTGATGGAAGCCGGGCGGCGTCGCAAAGGTGGACACGAGGAGCAGCGTCCACCACACGAAGGTGAGGACGGCAAAGAGGATGGTCACGTAGCGCAGGATGCGGATCGTCCACAAATTGTACGGAGAGACGGCCGGGTCATCGGGCAGAAGCAGCTCGCGGTTCGAGTCGACCCTGTTCGGGAGCAGGCGGGTGTGCTCGTCCGGAGGCGACGCCCCCTCGCCCTCGTCGAGACCGTCGACCGACAAGTCCCGCCGCTGGGCGTCCTCGTTCTTGGTAGGGCTCATTGCGTAGTGTTCCGATCAAAAAAGGATCTTTGGTAGCTTGGCAGTTGTATGGATAGCTTGGTCCCAACGTCGTGCCGCCAGTGGAAGTCGTTTATGTCTTCCCAGGCTCAATTAGTTTAGAAAAGGACGCAGGGGTCTTTCTGTAAAGAGATTGAAAAATATTAAGAAGCGAAAAATCGCCATTCCTGATATATGGGCTTTGGATCTTGCGATGCCCGTGATCCAAGCAAATGGTCTACGTCATACTCGCCCAAATGCCCGCAATCGCCAATCGAGAACCTCGTCGGCTCCCAGATCGATCCCCACCACTGCACCGGCATCCTCTTTAAGCTCTGCACCATTTCATAAATGAGTAGTCTCGTGGTCACACCATTCGGGCTTGAGGCTCCGGGTTTGGATAAGTGGCAAAACAACGTGGCACACCCTGGTCAACGGTGCTGTCTTTCGGCTTTGCAATCAAACATCAAGAGAGTATACACGATACCAGTTCGTTGTGGTTGCAGTCAACGTTGCATATTAGAAGCTAAGTCCGCGCCGTGTCTGGCAGTTGTTGATTCACAATTCAACTTCAACCCGTTGCATCATGTTTCTGGTAATCTCGGTATTATATAGGTAGGTAGATTGCTGTTCATTATTCGTGGCCGCATTTCCTATTCGTAAACTCAACAAACAAATTATTCGTTTTATCCTCTCAAACCGGCTGGCGTATCTGCTCAAGCTACAGTATCCAAGGTGTATTTATCAATTGCTCCGCCGTTATCCCCCCGTCAAGGCATGTTAGTGTAAAGTAGTCTTGTCTTATAAACACACCACGCTTCTCCCCCCGCAACCTCAACCCTTCTCACCGCGGATCCCAGGGCGTCACCGGGTTAGGCTCGCTCGACCCCTCGGACCCGCGGCTGCTCAGCGAGCACGACGTGTCGTTCAGGCTCATATACGACCGCCGCCTCCGCTTCTCCCTCATGGTCCGCAGCAGCGCCTTCTCCGGCGCGGGCCCCGCCGTCGACGTCGTCGCCCCGGACGGGATCTTGCCGATGGGGAGGTGGAGCTTGGCGGCCGCCCGGGGGTCCTTTGCGTCGACGCCGAACTTCTTGTACGTCTTGTCCCTCTGCTCCTTCATCGCCTGTGCGGAGGGTTCGCTGACGGACAGCCAGTCCTTGATCTGGTTGAGCCACTGTGGCTTCCTGGAGCGTTCTGCTTCCGGGTCCATGTTGTTTGAAGATGGTGCGGCCCGGCTGCTGAGTGTCGCGTCGTCGGTTGACTTTGTCGAGATGTATGAGGACCGCCAGTTGGCGGTGCTTGGAATTGGTGAGGTCGACCTGCCCGTGGGGTTCGCATCTAGAGCGCCGCGCTGGAACCCCATCCCGCAAGTATTTAAGAAGGAGGAGCTGATCGCCACCGCAACTCCTGATCGTTCAGAAACCGTTCGATGCCAATGCTTTCTGATCTAACGCCGTGTCTCTGACCAAGCACGAGTCGTGACAGCCTGAGCTGGCCCGGGCCTGGTACCTGGCGGATCGGCTTTTGCGAGGTCTGGCTAACTCGGCCGCTTGACAAATAATGAAGAGAATTCCTAGTCTCAATCTTTTGGGAGAAAGAGGGCTCCTTTGCCCTTCTCGATCTTATGAGATGTGGGTAGCACCGATGGCCATGTGCCTCCGGAGTTGTGGAGGGGAGTGTGCTAGTCTAGACTGCGCAGTGAGACAAGCTCGTGGGTATCGGAGATGAATTGGCGTGGTGGTTATACGGCACAGCTCTGGAGGGAACGAACTCGCCCGATCGTGATGTGTAAGTGAGGGTGGGGGCCAGTCAATAGTGGTGGGAAGAAGCAAGACAGGGGTTGAGTCAGTTTTTCGATGGCTCCGTGATTCACCACTGTCGTTAGAAGCGATATACTGAGACAAGTGAAGGGGCACGGTTCTAGGTTCGGGGATAACGATGGTGTGTAGGATGTCTCAATGGGTAGGTATTCCGGATAGACCTAAAGAGGATAAGAGGGCAATGCCGCAGCACTCTCTGGTTGGAACTTGGGAAGAGCAGAAGGATGACCGGATGATATTAGGAATGGTTCTGATATGATGATGGAGTGATGGAGAGAAACAAGACAGAAGAGGGAATGGGGATTGGGCACAGATGAATCAATGTTCAATGCCGCGCAATAGCCTGGGAGATCGAAAAGGCTACGGCCACCGTCTGCTACTATGCCCAGTTAGGCGGCCAGCAAACCCTGATCTGCGTATAGCAGAGCATCAGCCATAAATTGGCATGACAAAGAGGATACTTGACATTCCAGACATCATCCAGACTGGTGGGGAAGCGGGGGGATGGAGCAAATCATCACATCGCTAGCGGGCTGCGCAGGTTAATTGCTGTGCTAGTCATTGCAGCCACTGACCTCAAAGCGTCCGCCCGGCCAATGACTTGCAAGAAGCTGGTCTTGGGCGACTTCTCATCAGCCCGACGAGGCTTGAGGTGGGAGCACGGTGTGGGTGTGAACCAAGGAAGGTCAATGCAGGAGAGCGCATTTGTCGACGGAAGAGATATTAAACCAATATACTGCGGTCCAGTGGTCACACAAAGTGAAGGAAAGATGGCTTGATCGGTTGGAAAAAGCAAGCAAGAAAACGGTGGGAAAGGGAGAACATGCTCGAGGACGATGTCAAGCAAACGGTAGCGTGGTCGACCAACCTGAGATGCACTCCCTGGAGAGCAAATATGTTGATTCGGTACGTGCCTGTGTCGTTTGTTTGATCACTGAGGATCGATCTACAGACTTTGCATCTCCGAGAAGATGTCACATCTCATCGGCAATGCACAACAGCGAGTGGATCGGACGCATCTGAGAGATCCCCCATAGATCCTGGGTATCATGTCTCTCCTCGCACGGCGCACACACGCCAAGCAGCGCCCAAAAGAGTCAAGGCCAACAAGCAAAACTGACGCATGGTGAGGCAAGGGCCAGCCAAGCTGAAAAGCAAGCTTCCCTGGTTCCCGAAAGTGGGTTTGAATGTGTGGAGTTGGCGGTTGCCCAGCGCGAGACTAACCAAGACATCTCTCCCCATGTGCCGCTATCTCGGTGAGTGAAAATCTTTGCTGGAATAGTGAATGGTTGTCGCATTTTGGTGTAGTGTCCGTTGAGCCGGATATCCAACTCCACGGCTACATCTAAGTGCTCAGTCAATCTGCTGGCAGCTCAGGTTGGCTGGGGAAGCACAGCAAAGCTGAAGCTGAGAGTGAACAGCTTTAGCTACACTGCTGGTGATGGAGCTTTCGGGGTCTAGACTCGTGTCATCTACTATCTACGTAATCTAACAGATCATGTCGCAAATCCTCGTGGACAAGCCACACCAGAGTCGCGGCTCGACTGTGGATAGAGGACGCCGCAGCCGTATAATGATCGCAGGTGGTACATCATATTAAAAGAATGGCTTCCTCGTAATTCACCTGCATCAAAACGGCTGCCTTGCCTGCTTGTTTTTCTCACGCAAGCTAAAACCACGCCCCGAGCCAATAGTCCAGCCACAACGCATTATATCGGTTTTCCCATCTCCAGGAGTGGCGCTACTATTGGAGACACGGGACCGAGTGGTTTCATCAATGATCGAGAATCAGAAAATTCCACCGGGACGACCGTACGAACAATGGTTTCCACCGTTGCTCGGTGGTTCTTGCTAGACTCGAACTACCTAATTAACCTGATGAGTTTACACGCAGAGAGAGATCCATTGGCAATTTGGTTCTATTTACATCAGCTGCTGTCTTAAAGCGGCGGCCCGTTGATTGAAAATCATCACCTGAAAAAATATGGAATCTGCCGAGCCTTTGTTTCCAGGGCGTATACAACTTGGAATGCACACCAACGCGCCCACCTGATACACCAAGTTCGTTTTCCTTGATCTCCAGCTGCTCGAAGACTCATTTTGGAAATTTATCAATATCATGTATTTCATCAATGTGGGATGATATTCTTGGATGTATCGTTACTGATGCTCGGTTGATGCTCAGCTGATTCCAGGCATATGCCAAGCAGCTTGACCACTCGATATCGCGCCACGTCTCCCAAAACATTTCTTAGGGCATTGTATTATGAATCATATCACACCATTATGCCATGTCAACGGATGCATTCCAAACGAACATACGAATTTATAGAGGTCGACACATCTATCTATGTGTGCGAAAATAGAATTTGAAAATAGCCCGGCCGTTACGATAAAAAAGAATATGACACGTGTATTTCTATCCTGAAATCTCCATTTGCGAAATTCAACGAGGGGTATATGATAAGAAAATATATGTGAGAAGAGAGAAGGAGACAAAAATATTCAAAAAATTAAGCCATGTGTATCGTTTCAGTCGTAAGGTTTGAAGGTACAATGAATTTCGTAGAGAAAGAGCGGGGTGGACAGTTAGTGGCGTTGAGCGTCTTCATGTCGTGTATACCCAGCCTTCGAGGGATCTTGCCCTTAATTGTTTTGTATTGTTGATGTAGGGAAGCACTTTTGCCAGACAGCGGCCCCGGGGGTGTCATGCACGCTGTTGACCCAGGGATACTTGCCCATCAGTCGGCGAGCAAACGACCACTCATTCATGCCAAACTGATCAAGAACCTCAGATATGCGAGGGGCGAGCCATTCCTTGAGCTCACCGTCCTCGAGGACCGACAGGCCTGCGACCATGAGAAGCCAAAGATGAGTGGCGGGATCGACCGATTTGCGAAACGCGGCGTTGGACAAGGCAGCCTTGTATTTTCGCGCCAAAACATGGTACATCTGATCCCGGCCATGGCTGAGATGGGGGAGGAATGTCGTCATGAAGGCAATCAGGCCGAGGTGCGCAGCCCTGGCCACGGGGTTGCTCAGCTTGGAAGCGCCGCTGATGGCACCGATGCCGAGGAGCCGGTAGCATAGGCTGATGACGATGTCGTGGAACGCATCCGCGCTGAGCTTCCTGGATGCGACGCTCGAGTTGAAGATGCGAGACATCTTCATGACATCCTGCGCTGCCTTGAAAACATCCTGGTCGGTGTTTCGCACCGCATTGACGAGCGGGGATGTAACCTCCAAGACGGAGAAAATGGGAACTATCTGGTCCAGTTCCTTGGCAGACTTGCTCAGTTGGGCAGGGCACCACCCCAGCAGTGCCAGGTCAATGTCGATGCTAAATCATCAAGCAAACGCGCGTCAGTATCCATGTGCTGTGACAAGGTGACCAGCCGATATGAAAAAGGATGGTATGACATGGAAATGAGGTGGTTCCTTACCTCTGCGCCTTCTGGAGAAGCGCCGGGTTTCCTTGAAGCTGGCCAGTTCCACCGCGCACCTTGATCATCCGACATAATCCTTCAAAGTAGGCCCTAGCTTGGCAGAGATTTGCACGAATCAGGCCAACGTCGCACAAGGCAATGACGCCGGCGATGTTGGTGTCTGAGACGGCCTCGTGGCTAGAGAGGTTGGAATTGATGAGGCGCAGGGCTGTGGCGAGGTGGTGACGATATTCGGACGAGCAGCTCTCCCTCTTCTTGCCAAGTGCCAAGTCCACGCATGCCTCCGACAGAGCGACGAAGCAGTGGAAATCTGCCGGTAGAGTCAGCGTGTGAGCCCCCTAGAGACTCAGCGGGTGGGTAAGGATGCGTCTTGGCAGCCAACCGCCAAGAAAAGGGTTGAGCGGGAAGACTTACAAGCCTCATCAACGAGCATGTACTGGAACCACAGCTTCTTGGCCGATGCTGATGTGGCCAGCTTGGCGAGTGTGGGATAGCCAGTGGAATCTGTGACGCGACACATGACTGCGCGATGGTATTGCGGGTTAGCTATGCTTTTCGGTCTGTGTGGTGCGGAGGGCAGTCTGGGGCTGAGCTGGACTAGAATGGACTGGACTGGGCTGGACAGCCGCAGTCGCCAACATGATCATCACTCACAGTCATGGACGACAGTTCTGGCCTGGGGAGTCATCTCGCAAGCCGACGGGAGGCCAGAAAGCCCATTCCCAACCAGGGAGGTCATCTTGGGATAAAGTGAGAACCGCTGTGGGCGTGAGGAGTACCGGGCCTTCTTGCGACGCGGCGCCTCATCATCGTCTGCGTTGCTGCGATCAGGCTGTCTCCCGTTGCCTTCTGTCGAGGCATAGGGAGGCCTCCTCCCAGCATTGTCTGGGTCATAGTCGCTGCCCCTGTTTGCTTGGTCGAGTGGGCTCCGGTCAAAGAACGGACGGTTTTCAGTCGGTGAAGAAGTTTGTGCCATACCAGGCTGGTCGAGGAAAGCAGCAAAAAAAGTTGATAAAATTTAAGCTTAGTTGCCGGAACTCTGTGCGTTGAAAGTGCCCGTGTGAGTGAGCGTGTAGAGGCAGCAGAATTAGGTATTAGGGAGGTAATAAGGAGAAGTAAGTTGAGGTGGGTGGGTTGATCAACACTGCGTCGACGTTTAGGTCAGACAATGAAACAAACCTCAGCTCAGGAGGGAGGACAAAGCAAGTCATAATAAAGCAAGAGTTTCCCCAGATCTGGCACGGGCTAATTAGTTTATGGTTAAATTTTACCTGGTCCAGTGGCGCGTGCCAGGGTCCTTTCTTTCACATCCATGTATGTGTCCAGAGCCTTCTCCCTCCAGCTCCCACGGCAGCCAGCTAATTACTTCCCGGGCTCGACTACGACAGACTCGCTACACAGCTATACATAGCTCCTTGGCTTGGTACATCACCCTGCCGTGTTTGCCGGCTTAGCCCTCTGCAGGGATCTGGCCGTCGTGGTGGGTAGGGCTGGTCCCAGCAATTACCACTTCTGTCGCCGCCTGCAACAGAGGTCCATCGGCTAGATGCAGAGATCGCTGGGAGGCCTGCCGGAAAGCACTCGAGTGTCCACCGTCCAGTCATCCAACTGCTGCGAGCTGCGCGTGATGTGCTGCGGTGCGCTGTGCACTGTGCGTACCAGCTGTTGCTGAGCATGTCTTGCCACCTGTGCAGGAGAATGATGCGACTCATCCCGTGTTGATCGCTTCCATGCTGAGGCAGTTTGACAATCAAAGCAACAGATTCCGCCGTGTTCTAATTTTCATTATTTTTTTTTACCTCATTCCGACTCATCAATATTTCCGACTCATCATTATGGGTCATACCCGCCACTCTTGGTCCAGTCATGGCGAGAAAAAAAACCTTTTAAAAATTCTCCTGACTCCAGCGTCCCGGCGCCGGACCCCTAGCCTCATGTTGGGTAGCACCAGCAAGTGCGCCAGGGGAAGTATTCACGAAATAAGGGGATGAAGGGACGGTGAGGCAGCATAAGTCAGCTCTCACCCTCGGCGGTTGCGCTGGCAGCGGGCCGACTGAAAAGGTCGGTCTAGACAACCAATCCCTCCTCTCACCCTAACCACATGCCTACACACTTGCAGTTCCGAGCAATGATTTGCTTGAAGCGGGCTGATCTCCAGGTACAGGTGCGTGCCATTATGTAGTATTGTATGTGCATGCAAATGATATCAAATACCACCAATCATGGTTTAGTTCTTCATTGTCTCTGCTTACGCTCCACGCGCATCTCTCCAATGTGAGTTCGCTGTCACTTTTTTCCCATTTCTATCAGATTTTGTTCTATAAGCGCCTATAAGATGGCCAACAGAGCGGATGCCAATACCGTCTGGTGTTTGATACCAAGCGTAATATATAATATAGCACACCAACCACCGAGCACATCGACTTTGTGTTTACACAGAATATTAAAACAATACAACAGTTAGGACAAAATAGGTTATTATTCATTCATTACTCGGAGCTTCATTCCCGATGGTAGGATTTTAATATTCAATGATAGAATCTTCATGTTCAATAATAGATGGATCTTGATGTCAATCACCAAACATCCAGTTTATAAGACACATACAAGGCCTTCCGGCTTCATCATACGTCAAGATCTCCCTGCAAACCCTTGTTACAAGTAGATTTTATTCATTCATTATATCCCAAATCTCTAAAACTCATAAATCAATAGCTATGCAATACATGCCCTGAACCCATTACATATCCCCCAAAACTCTCACAGCTTCGAGCAGCAGCTGCCGCTGCTCTCGCCAAACGCCAGCTTGCTCATCTCGTCCCGGGCATTCAGCACGCCCTCGCCCTGGGCGGCCACCTGGCTTGGGGTGCTGCAGTAGGACGGGGGGATGTCCATGACGGGGTTGTTGTTGAAGAAGTTTCGGGGGCGCAGCAGGAGCGTGATGGGCTCGGCCGGCATCACGGGGAAGTCCTCGGGGGAGGGAATGTGCGTCACGCCAAAGGTGTGCCACAGGACGATGTCCGTGTTGTCGATGGGGGTGGTGCCGTCCCCGATCCACTCGGTGATGCCGGCGCTGGGCTCTCCGGAGGTCTGGGGGACATGGCGGCCTGCGGGCCACAGCTCGTCATCGCGGTCTGTGAGGGTAGGGAGTTAGTAAGATGACAATATCGTCGCTTAGGAGGAATTGTGTGGGACCACTTACACTTGGTTACATAGACTGCGTGGCGGGCAAAGCCAGCCCTCTTCCAGACTAGAGAGCCCTCCTTGGGCAGCAGGCCGGGAACCTCACGGCTGACCAGCTTGTAGCTCGACGCCTTGCCGCTGTAGGGGTGGAGTCTGTTGGTGTTGCAAATCTCCCAGGTACGGCTGGTGGCACCGTTGTAGTCGGTTGCTGACTCGCCCTCGGTGGCCAGCTTGGTCCTCTTGGCTGTGAAACCGTTACCGTAGAAGTTCTCGGGGCTTCCCACGGGAGCATCCGAGGGGACGGCGTCGGAAACGAAGACTGTGTTGTTGGGTCCGTCGACGTTGGCGTGCACACGGAGGCAGAAGAGATGCTGGTGGTTGTGTGCGTTGACGCCTGGGTAGACCTGGGTGCCCCAGCCCTTGGTGTCCTCATCGGGGTTCATGACATATGTGTTGAGGATACCAGTCAACTTGATGTCAGGCTGGATAGTACCGTCCTGGTGGAAGACCCACTGGATGGCGTACTCGTAGTTGGCAGCAGTGAAGATTTGCTGGATGATCAGCTTGCGGGCACGGGTGACAATGACAGAGTCGTCACGGAAGTCGGAGTGCTTGAAGAGGATACCGGCATCCTCCTCGTGGATGCAGATGGCGTTCTTGATCTTGCGGATAGTACCATCGCGGCGGGGGAACTCGGCGTCGAGGTAGTGAATTGCGCCCTTGCAGTCGCAGCCCAGGGAGAGACTGTTGGTCATGTAACCAGCTCCATACTCGCCGAGATCGAAAGCGTGCTTTCGCTGATGGGGGTGCTCGGGGTTGCCGCTGTTGAGTTGACAATGGTTAGTTCATGGTTCTTTCGGCCGAAAGCTATAGTCGGTTTCGTTACTTACTAAGGAACAACCATCTCAGCCAGAGACAGTCTGTAGAAAATATCACGGTCGGTACCCTTGTCGTTGTACTTGATGTCATTGAAAACAAGACCTTCGCGGTAGTTGAAACCAATGTGGAACTTCCAGTTCTGCCACTGGAGTTCGCGGCCCTTGAGGTTGAATGAGACGCCAGCAGGCTGTGTGATGTTGAGGGGCATGATGTCCTTCCTGTACCCACCAGCCTTCTCAACACCAGCCGGGTGGTAGTTGATGGCTCTGCCAATCTTGGGCATAGGCCTTCGGATTTTGGGAACATCAATGGCGATGACCTCCTTCTTGATGGGATCAAAGATCGGGCAGAAGTCCAAGGGGTACTGGTACTGGCAGTCGTCGACATGGGGACGATAGTACATCAGGGCTTGCTGCAGTCTGATGTCGTTGCCAAAGCGCTCGTCATAACCGATAGTCCAAGCATCGCAGTAGACCTTGTCCATATCCTCCTTGGCGATACCGCTGATGATACACTGCTCAATGACCTTGGGGTCCTTGCGGCAGACATGCTCCACAGCGATGAGTTCCTCCAGAGTGATCTATGATAGGAGTGTTAGTTGCTGAAGAGAGTTGAGAAGGTTGCCGAAACTTACAATTGGCTGAAGGCCACTGAGTTGCTCCCACTTGACAATCTTCTTAGTAGCGAGGTCGACGAAACCATCATAGACCTTGCCTGCGGGATCGATAGCTGTAACATCGGCAATTCGGTTGGGACGGGGAGCCGAAGTCTTGTTCTGGAGCCAGTTGGTCATTTCGGCCTTGCGAGGCTCAACCAGAGTAACAGCCTGGAAGAAGAGGTCTCCATAGGCTTGCTTTACTGCCTCCACAGCGACAGTAATCTCATCGCCCGACAAGGGGTCGAAAGGGTGGGTGACTCCTGTCATTGTTGTGAATAGGGTTGGGGTTTGGATCGAGGGAGTTGAAGTTGTGGAGACCCAATTAACTTTCCTCTCTATATATTGAGTTGGAGGAAGTAGAGAGCAGTTTGATTGATGGATGATAAGAAAGCTTATGGGAGATCAGACCGGTGTCTAGTCTTTATACATATCCCAACTTCCTGTATCACTTCCCAGGCCCCCCTCTCCCAGCTGCATGGAAACACCCCGATTAATCCATCTTTGCCGGGACCACCAATCAGATTCTGATAGATGCGCATTGTCATCTTGACCGGATCAGAACTCAGTTCCTGCTAACCAGAGAGCCGAGACAGTGCGGAGACCCCAGTCGCATGCTCGTGTCTTCCAACGGCTCCCCAATTCAGATAAGTAAACCGGTTCGCCAATCAGGCCAGGACATCTCATCGGACTCCAAAGTCCGACGCTCATCAACTGGTGCTTATCGGGCAAATTGACGCGATGGGCTGGCAGCCAAATCCGCACCTTTTGGTCACCTGCACCTCCCGGATCGACAGCCAAATCTAGGCCATTTAGAGGTCGATGGAGGTGTGATTGCTGGCGCTATCAGTCATCTCTCTCCTGTCGTTCGTCAGCTGGCGCTTATCACTCAGGGTCGCCGGCTAAGATCTCTAGATTTGGTAAAGCCGCCGGTGCCATTTTGACAATGCGGGGAAGTGGCATTCTGGTTCTTGACACATGCATCCTCTGCACCGGACAGTCCCAATTAGGGATAAATAAGGTGGTCCAAGATCTTTGAATGAGTCGTTGGAATTATCACACCTCGAATTGCCATGGCCCCATCCATTAGCTACTGCCCATCAATGCTCTGGGCCTCCTTTCCGCCACTTCCCAGCGATACCTAAATGGGCATTAATTCCCAGGAAGCTTGAGTAATTCGCCTAACAGAGATAGAGATAGAGATCGCTTCGGCAACTACGGTCCCTTGGTCTCACCCGAATGCCCTGTTCCGGCTCAGGTGGGCCGAATAGATAGAGATCTGGCGGTGGCTGCTGTTACCTAACCCACCCTGACCAGCTCTTATCATGACAATGAACCAAAAGTCATAGGAGCCTCGGGTCAATTTATCGATCAGAGATAATATCTCCATCAAGTCTTTCCAATTGGTAATTTCATTTGCCTATCTGTATTATTTTCGATATCTGCACTGCCCGTTCTGTCTTCACACTGAAGGTTGTCCTCAGGTGGGTGGACAAACAAGCCCACACCAAACACTTACAATTTCAAACTTGTCTATTGTTGTTCCTAAATTGCACGGTGTCATGAAGAGAACGCCCTATCGAATATATCTAAGATTCAAATGGGAGGCGTCATTAAGCCACCAAGTCCCCGAATTGCCTGGCGCCCCTCGAGGAAGAACTTGACCACCATCTGAGCCGCCGCCTCAGAATCATCGTCCTGGTCCACCGCCTCCAATATCTCCTCAACCTCCTTGGGATCCCACGTGGCACAGAACACGCGGACCGTCTCCGAGTTCACAAACCGGTCAAACTCAAAGTGGCCCTGGTACGTCAAGACCCGCCCCGGCTCGTACACGCCCTGCACCGGGCACTTCGGGGTGCTCCCCATCAGAATCCACGGTGTGTCGGAGAGCGCGTCCGGAGATGGCAGTTCCACCCGGTCGGAGTGGATGAACTGTAGGCGCAGCGAGTCCGCAGACAGCTGGTTTGGCTGGGACAGGGCCTTGCTGAACGCCGGGGTGAGGCTGATCTCGTGGACGCCAAACTCCCAGCCGACAGGGCTCTTGATCACTTTGACCCCGTATTTACGTAGTATAGACTGGCAAATAATTTGGTGCCCTTTGAGTACCTTATCATTAGCATTGTAGTATCTTAACTTGGCGAGATGGGGGAGGAAAGCGTACCGAAACAGCTGCCAAACATTCTGACATGCGGGTAGTTGTCATACACGTCAAGCAGATACTTGTCGAGCCTTTTCGCCCATTCCTTGTCGTCGTATGAGGATGAGGCGGAACCCGTCACCAAGAGAGCATCAAAGTCCGACGGCGAAGACGGGTACTGTAGACTGACAACATCAAAGTCCTCGGCCTCGATTGTGACGTTGGGAGCGACCCGTTCCGCTGCTGATTTAAGCAGGTTGTGAAAAATGTTGCCGTAGCTTCCTCGCTCTTTCACAACGTTGGGCATTGGCTCATCCGCATTGAGCATGGCTACCCTGAATGTGAGTGGTGATGCCGCCATGGTTGCAATTTGAAGCTCTCGATGTGCGGATTTGTGCGTAATAATGATGTTAATAAAATGAAGGAGAGAGACGCTTGCTGTTAATAAAAATACTGAATATGTTGGAAAAGAAAGAAGTAAATGAGAGGAGTGGGTGGAATAAGAAGATAGTTGTGGGTTGTGACAGATGAACATTGATACTAGCCGCACTGTCCTTGTGACCAGCTGAGAAATACACACGCACATAGATAGGGTAATGCCAAGTGATCCTCCATCAACTGCCCGCCCACACTTCTCCTCTCCCTTTCGCATTTACCTCCTTGTTCAGTCGGGACCCCACTTACACACTTACTACCATCCACCGGCATCGGCACCGGGTAGTAGCCGCTCGACTAGGATGTGTCGTCAATTACTATCAAAATGATTTCATTGGAAGAAACGGATCTTAGATGGTTGTGTGAGAATGGCCTCACGTAACCATACCTAACGTAGGGTACAGCCGGTTGATGTTCTTTCAATTTGCCACGGCGGGACTTCGAGAGAATTGTGCTGATCTCGGGATATATCGTGAGATCTGATAAGAGCGACCTAAGACGAAGGAAAGCAGAGCAAAGAATATCTAGTTGTCCCGAGCACTCGATAAATATCTATCAATCTTCTTGACGATATTGTAGAAAATTTTCTCGTCGAGGTCCTGTAAATCGAAATCTAGAGGGAAGCTTAAGGTTCGCCAGTTCTCTGCAACTTTCTAATAGCCAAGAAGAAGAAGGGAAATCAGGGCTAGCGAAAGACATTCTATATGCTCTAATGATAAAATCCGCTGGGCGACAACGGGGGCCAAGGCTCTTACTTAGGGTAGTGAAAGAGGTGAAAGGTGCTGTTGAAAGAGGCGAGAGGTGCTGTTGAACGAGGAGTTAAGTGGTGCATTGAAATATTCCTGCATATTCAAACATACTTCACGTGGTATTGAGATGCAATATGTCGCAGAAATTGAGACAGAATCGAATGAATGGGATGGACGAAGGCATACCGTCCCATCCATTCACAGCTGTCTCAATACCAAAGTATATCAGCAAGGAGTGTTCCCGGACAGTCACAAGTATCATGGTATATGAAGCTAGTGAAAAGCTCCTACCGAAAATTAAAGGTAAAAAATACTCTCGTCAAGCGAAGATCTATGAGGATAGGACAAAAATGAGAAAACGTGACAGGCAACCCGATGAAATGACTGCGGCATTCTACCCTCCAAAGGGAGCATCAGACCAGCATGTGGAGCTGGCAGAAACTTGATCACTACTCATTTATTAATAAGCCTTTTTCTTCATTTATGCACCAGAAGGATCTTGATGAGAAGGAAGAGGGTGAAGCAGATTGCGACCTGCGCCTTGTCTGGCTCTATGTAGAGCTGCCACCGCGAAACGGGCCACGCCAATATAGATAAAACTAACCGTCCGAGTTTGATAGGGTGTTGTAATGGGTCATTCATTGGAAATAGATACAGATTTGTTGAAATTTAGTCATGCTTTGAGAATGAGCATATGATGACTTTTGTGAGACTTACCGACAGAGCAGGAACAAAGTGAATGTTAAAAGAGGTGCAAGGATAACCCGAAATGTCTTTCCCAGTACTGGGAGGATACACATCAGGCTATAATAGATCAATGTTGCTGAGACACCAATCGCGCAACAGGTGAGATGGCGCAGAAGACAAAACATCTTGAGGGGTTGAGCTCTGCCAGATCGCCCAAGTTGAGGGTCAACCTGGGGTTTGAGAGCGATAGGGAAGAAATAAGAAAACGTAGGGACCTAGCCTTCAGAGAGGAAAATGGAAGAATAATTTCATTAATCGAAGTTCTGCTTTCCAACTTGTGGCCGATATCCGACTTGTTTAGCGGCAGGTCCTGCTACACTGGGTGCGACTTCCCATAATTGCCATCTTCCTGCTTCCTGCAAATTCAAGTCAAGTTTTGCGACACGAGGGAAGGCCTAGAGCGAGGAGTTAGACAGGTACCTAGATTAAAACCTCCTTTTTGATTAACCTCATCAAGATCTCAGTTGCCTTCCTATAAGAAATCCGTTAGCGTAACAGAACAAGTCGAATCAAATGAAATGAAAAAGGACTACACGGACAGCAAACACCTCCCCATCTTAAAGACAATCGCTTTCGCATTTTTCACCAGCATAGAAATTTAATTAGCAACGCATATTAGAATTCAAACTTTAGTAATTTGATCTCGTCTACAAAATAAACTACTCACTCATCTTCAATATCAAAACAATGGATGAATTTTGCAGTCACTCTTCATTCTCTGAACCATGACCCCACACCAGTGTGTGAAAATAGATGCAAGAATTTAAGAACACCTTGGATTTGCTTAGACTTCCGGCTCATCATGTAGCAGGTCAATATATAGACAATTAGAAAATATTCCATGATTTTCAAAAAAGATGGGCACTTAAGAAAGGAATCCCCGCGGAGATAATCCTGGTTACCATAACATCTCGCCTGAGGCTACCTGGCCGCTTTGTATTCTATCTCCTTGCCCTCTATGAGATAAATTGGATAGTTGAAATTGTGTTCGTTCCATTTCTCGCCCCTCAAAATTTTTTCATCCCTTATCCCTCCTATTATCACACTGTCCTTTGGCGGGCTTTCCCAGCTATTCGGATTCGGAATAAGAGCCGTAGCTGCCTCCCGTGCTGCCGTCTCGACACAGTCAGTGGCCACTCTGCAGCTTACTCTATCACCATACATAGAAGCAGCTGCATAACGCAAGCCGGGGCAGTCGAGCGCCTGAACCAATATGGGAGCATCGCCTGGGAAAGATCGAGGCAATCTTAGATCACCCTTCAGCAGATCGGTTACTTGCACCTCGACCCCCTTCTCAAGCTTACTCCTAGGTGGTGGCGGCAAATGGGAACTCGTGTCATTTGGCTGTACAAAAGCGTGGCAAAAGAGTATATCTGACGGTATTGGGGACAAGGATATCACACGGCGGCCCTTATATCTGACACAGCAGAGCAGTATCTGGGTCCTCAGCCAAGTCTGCTTCGATATTCATGGTGAAGTCGCCATCTGGTGACTCTTCCTGTATATCATCTGAGATAAAGTGTGTTGGATCTTGTTCAAGGCAGTCATAATCTGGGATTTCCGTCGGAGCCCCCGGCTTCACAAGCCGGTGGACGTCCCTTGGCACGCCTCCGACATCGACGTCCAGGAGTGTAAAGCCCCCGACCTGTTGTGGAGAGACGAATTTCCCCCAAAGGCTATTGACAAACAGAGATCGTTTGCCAATCATCCCTAGGCATTCAATCCCGATCAAACGAGCCTCGGCCTTCTGGGGCTCGGGATTCATTGCATGGCCACCGAGAAACAGCGTAGAAAGAATTGGAAAGAGGCTCGATCTTCCAAAAGCTTTCACCTTGCGCGAGTTTTCGGGAGGATTCTTCATCAAGGAGCAGAATCGCATGTAATGAAAGTAACTAGCAGATCGAAAGCCCCAAGAACCTTCCACTGTCTGTGATGCGAGGGAAGAAGTGTCAATCAGTCTCCCAAAAATTTCGTAGTAGTATCCCATGAAGAAAGACTGGAAAACACAGAACCATTCCACTTTATTTTGGTCTTCCATCGAAATGTCATTGATATTGAAGCCCGGTGGGGATGGCTCCCTGGCCTCGGCGTCGGGATCGCAGACTCTGATGAGCCATTCGAGAATATCAGGGGGCGCGGAATGGAGAGTATCTGTCAAACCGTCCAAGAGCTCTCCGTTGACGAAGAAGCCACATGTTCTCGCCAAGTCGTAAATCTCTTCATTGGCCCTCTCAGTGCCCCTTCCCCGATTAACCATTGCATATACGATATTACGCAAAGGCTGAGGGGCCGCACTCCTGAAGAGAGTTTGGCGAACGTGCCTTGCGTACCGGTCAGAGGAGGAAATTTCTGCCCCGCGAACACCTATTCGCACCACCGCGGCCACCTTTTTCCCCTCTCTCCAAGCCAGTCTGCTCTCATTCTTGGCGTCTTCGCTAATCGGAAAGATGCTAACGGCCTCCCAGGGTCGTTGGAGCGGAACTGTCATTGAGACATCTCTGGACATGAGTTGCTTACTTCTCTTGGATGTTGAACCATGTAGAAATGGCTGACTTGAATAAAAAATTGTGCAGACTTCCTGCTCATGGTCAGTTTCTGACTCAGAGTCAACCTCAACGACCCGTAAAACATCGACTCCCATGAGGATGAGACAGTCGGCGATGCCTGCGACGTCGGAGGATGATGTTTTGAAATGAGGGTCGTTTGAGCTGAGGAGCCAGATCAAGAACTCCTCGACATGATTTGACTCCATTGAGGGTAAGGAGCCACCAAGTATGCTGCCCTTGGAAATCAACACCTTCCCGCCTTTTAATTCGGTGGCCAGCGAGCGGCATTAAGGCATGTGGTGTATTACGACTGGGCTTTGGATACCTACACTCTGATGCCCAAGTAGGATTCGAGGTTCACATATTTGAGTTGCCCCAAAGCAAGAGGGCATGAATGAAATTGTGCATTTTAAAGATTATCAACTAAGATTGATTGGTTGCAGTTTTCGCTCACGGCATTTTTGGTGGAAATCTTCCAAGAGAGGGCTGGTAATGTGTGTCCTTATGAATCCATCATTCCCCTTACCAAGATACAGGCCCCATAGTTAGTGTATATAATATTTCTACATTCTATAATCTTTGAAGCTTAAGATCGTTGTGTCAGGATTGCATTTGTGAGTGGCATATAGGGTAACAAAATCTAACGTGCGTACCTTCCTATGCAAGCTGCACAAAATTCTGTTCGATTTCTACGATAATCATTAGAGCTTCTTATTAGAGATAGTTAATGAATCTTAGTTGCTGTCTCTCTCTCTCCTTTGTTCCTCATCTCCTTATTCTTGCTCAGATACCTCCTTGCTTTAACGCTTTGACTACGGTGGGGTTCTAGAGGGCTAGAATAGTAGGCTGTGACAGAGGTATAACTTGGACGCTGGAATTTGGACTACCTAGTTACCTAAAAGCTTTAATTTCTCTCCTTAGTTGGTTGTGACGGATATCCTTATGGTAATATGTCATGGCTGTCTAATATGAGAAGGGCTCTTGTTTGTTCAGGAACAGCAGTCCAAAAACGGATATACACTCAGAAATTCGGACATACTACCTTATTTCGAAAAATAAGAAATCATGGAGATAAGCCGTGTTGTTGAAAGTGCTTCTTGGGGTCTCGCGAGTAGCACCTTCCACTTGGTTGGGGATTGCTACCTCAAATGTACCAGTACGACTGACAATACCGACTAAGCAGTACCGTTAAGGTTCATATACTTGTTTGTCTGAGCACACTTGAGGTTAGAGGCGCCACTAAGGCAAGCACCCATGGCACCATGTACGTACCATCTTCCAGGCAGGCGTATTGCAACACCTGATTGGCTGTGATCTGCCTAAAGCAAGTGGCAGGCATTCGAGAAACAGCCATCGATGATTGAATGATTAATCAATCTGTCGCATAGAGCTCGAACTTGTGTCACAACTGTTCACCTTTACCGTTTCACAATCAGCAGCAGCTTGCTTATGCTCCCGATTCGACACCGGAGCAGGAATCACACTCACTCGACCCCGCGCACGCTGAGGCGCCGCACACCCCAAGCGGTAGGACAGCCTCCCACTCTCGCTGCTGCTGTGCGAGGCCGGAGCTAGCCTCGCCTCCCGCGAAGCCTCATTAATCTGCGCGGAACAGAAAACCCCCCCAAGCAGCAAGAAAGGCTGGAGCAGAGACTCCCCCCAACGGCCAGAGCAGCCATGCCTGCGCTCACAATCTCAACCGACACCCAGCAGCACTCCAAGGCCCCTCATCCTCCTCCTGCCTCCTCCTCTCCCTCCCCGACCAGACCCCCCGTCTCACCCATCACTCCCACCCAGGCTCCCTCCACCGCCGCCGCCCCGGGCCAGCCCCCCATCCTCAGCCTCTCCCACAGCACCCACCCAGAGCGCGCCTCTGCCATCCCCGTCCCGCCGCCCCAGCCCCTCGACTTCGAGGACAATGCCGACGTCATCGCCCTCAAGTCCACAATCTCCCTGCTCCAGATGCAGAGTCGCCGCGCCGACTCCCACATCAGGACCCTGAGAGACGTCAAGGGCGAGGCCCTCAGGCGCCCGGAGGACTTCGTGCAGCACCTGGCCTCCTCCTCCCAGAAGAGGAGCGACCGGCCCGCGGCCCACGACGACGGCTCCACCACAGCGTCCTCCGACTGGCCAGAGCTGCCTGACCGGATCAGCATCGCTCGCTGCCCGCCCATCAACTGGTCGCAGTACGCTGTCGTCGGCGACGCGCTCGAGAAGATCCACGACGAGCAGGTGAAGCGCCCGGTGCAGGGTACCCCGGGCGTCTATGCCAACGGTGTCTACGAGTTCAAGGGTGGAGAGGGCAGGCAGGAGGAGTACCAAGGGCCGACCGCTCCCTACGATCCCCTCAACGAACATGTCGGGAAGAAACCGAAGAGCAAGAAATGACTGAACGCTATGAGAAACGAGCCTGGGTCATGATAATAGCAGAGGTGCATGGATGGCGTTTTGTTTTTATTTAGACATAAGTTGAATCAATTTCCACACAGGTTGTTCTTCATATCAATCTCAATCACTTTGAGGTTCATACTCTACAGGGTGAATTCGGGTCCAAAGCTCGATGCCTACTTCGTAAATACGAGGCATGTGATAAAAAGTTGTCATTTTTCTGCAATACTCCCCGTCCCCTTGGGTGGTCTGTCGCCGTCTGACCCACGTGCAAGCCAAAACCCTAATAAACGCCATACCGGCACCTGGGACCGTTCCTCTGCATATTGTCTCGTACAATGACCTAGCGTGGCACCAGAGCGTAGGTTTCATGATCATGAGTCTCGTGTTCGTAAAGTCTAAGCCGCCATACATCAGACGGGGAATTCTCTGGTAACCAGTCAGCTTAGAGGGTCATACTCAAGGTCACAAATGAGTCCTACTTACTCAGTGCTATCCTGTACCGAGCGACGGAGACGTCGGTGATATAGCTTCTTCCCATCCTTTGCCCCATTCCAAAACAACTTGTTGGCTTCAAGATTTACAATCTTTCTGGGGTCGTAGGCTGGTTCGTCCTCCTCCAAAGCGGAAATGATGGCCTCCACATGAGACATGACGTCTTCCTTCTTGTTAGGCTTGGGCGAATAACAAATAGTTCCATCTGGAGCAACAAGATGGTGGAAAATGCGTGTTTCAAACTTCACGCGAGGCTGCTCTTCAGGAAATCGGGGACTAAAGTTGATTCGAATGCGCAGTAACCCAGAGTCGAAATGGGTCATTGGTCGCCCAAAGTAGGTCAAAATCCAAACGAAGGGGTTTCCATCCTCGAGAGATACGTTGTGCGGCATATCGCCGCCCTTCAAGGTCGCCACGACCTGCTCGAATTGATGCTTCAAGTTCACGGAAACGGTTGTCTCTTCCGCAGTGCTCTCTAAGCCTTCGCGTGCCCAGGACTCTGTTTCTTCATCCAGAGCCTTTTTGATATTGCTCAATCTCCTTTCCAGGTCCGGGTAATCAAATGAACCATCCATGGTATTGTGGCCTTTGGATTCAAATGGCGTAGATGCAAACAGTTGTTTGGGTCTGACCAGGGTGCTTCCCTTCTTGGCCGCCTCTAGATAAGACTCATAATACCATAGGAATCTCCTCTTGCAGAGATCTTTGAATGGCTCAAATGGTACGTTGACCTCCTCGGCATCATCGCATAGGTCTTGGTCCCTATCATTTGACGGCTTGATTGTTCTGCCATCAGCTGTGATTTGCAGATAGTCTTCGAGGCGTTTAATGACGGACAAGCGCAGAGTCTCGTGGTGGATCTTGGAAAGATATTAGAAATGGAAGTGAAAATGATATTTGTTAGACATACCTTCTGCGCATAGGCCTTCCTCTTAAGTTTTTCATCCTCCCCTCCACGGGGTCTCTCAAATCCAGGCTCATTCTCGTATGGACTGGCGGACAACAAACTCTGAATTGATATGAGAATTGATTCAAGGCCTTGTGCTGACGACCACTGTTCTCCAGACTCTCCCCGCCAGGTCCTAAACAGCGTTGATTGAGTCAAAATAAGATCATGACGTTCAACATCATCTTTTCTTACCCTAGAATAGATCTAGAGGTTCGTGACTTTAGTCGCAATTCTCGGCCAATGGTGGATTTGGGGCCAACTTACAGGCAGACCTTGCCGTTCGCATAAATATTGGGGTTAAAGCGAGTTCGGCCATTGTTCGTCGTGACACAGGTAACATGAGGGGCCTTGGATGGGTATTCTGCGGGCGAGGATAATCGTTAGCCTCAAGGAGATTGATTACCTATGTATTCATAATTGGGTGACTTGCCTTTATGGAATTTGATCGCAAACTTGTTTATGAATTATTAGCAACATCGGACATGGTACCCTGCCGATGGAAAATACTGATCAAAACGCTTACCTCGAAGAAGCCGAATTCATATGGAGTCTCGTGAGGGCCGATGATCAAGGCCTTCACGTTCCGCACGTCGATGTCACGGCAGGCGACAGCGAGCGCTGTACACATTATATGAGTACGCTCCCTGCAAGAATAAGAGAACATCACTTACAGAGGTCTGAGCCTTTCTGGAGCTCACTTAGCTCCTACATCTGGAATGTCAGCGTTGATAGGATCCTGGTGAGTTCGACGTTGTCTGGACAAACCTTGGAGATCCGGAGAATCGACTGGTCCATCCCGCACAGTCGAACCCCGCCAAACGCGAAAGTGCACTTGGTGAGGTAAGGGTGTGATGAAAAGAAGGTGAGGTACCAGGTATTGGATCTTATGTCACGAACTTGGGGTGGAAGTTACCAGCTGCACACAGCTACCGAGTACCTGAGGCGAGCTAGCGTTGGCTAGAGCCTGGCGAAAGAAAAGCGCGAGGGCGTATTCCGAAGCAAAATGCTGAAAACTTCACGGTTCACGAAGGCGAGGGCACAGTCCAGGAAGCCTGCTTGGCTCTGGGCTTGGAGAGGAAGGCGGGGCAGAGTTGGGAGGGTCCTCCGGGAGTGAATTAATGTGAGGTGGACATAGGCGAGTTGGAACTTATCTTACGGCAGGCAGCAGGCACGAGAGAAGGCTGACTGCAGAAGCCAAGGCGAACCAAACACCAGCTGCCAGAGCACCACTGCAGAATGTTGTCTGCCCAAGAGCCCAGTTTTGTTTCCAGCTGCCACGGGCTGTGGTCACCACATATGTACCAACAGCAGGGATATTTCAGGTACCGGCTGCCCGCTAAGGCCCTCGCCCACGCACCTTTACATTACATGCATGCCTAGATGGGACGGATGATCGACTGTTTGTCGTCCACAGCAACAATGGCAAACAAGCTTCTTGGGTTTATTAAGCTTTGTGTCGTCAAGCAGGCCGAACCTTCGTCGATGCAACATGCACCTAGTGCTGCGGATGCACGTGCGATTTGTGGAGGCCCAAGCTGTAATTAGACACGACATTTTGCTCGAATGCCAACTTGTGATGTTCATCAAGTCCAATTCTCATGCCTATTAACCCTGTTGCATACCGGAGGCACTGTAGCGGATACCTCAGGTAAAATGTAGTGATACCTCCATACAGGTAGCATTGGGCCGTTGTGACGTGCCTGGGGCCAGAAAAAGAGAGCTCTGTGCGCTAACACGCAGAAGGTAGCCCACTAGAACGCGTCTTCGCGTGCTCCCGGACCGCGTTAATGGATTTTGTAATTTCACTACCAGAAGCGTCGAGGAGCATCATTCAGTCACCGCTACCTTGGTAGACATTAATTGCACTACAATCTGGGAAGAACCAATCCAGGACGGCATTTGAACTATATTCGACACAATACAAACGGACTGCAATGGCGAGCTTCTTCGACCTCAAGGCTCGGAAAGCCGCTGCCGCCAATGGCAATGCCGACCAGAAACAGGACAAGGCCAAAGACGGGAGCTCTCAACCATGGGTGGAGAAATAGTCAGTGCAGCAGGAGCTCTCTTCGTAGAGAATACGCACAACTAACCTGTCTTCTACCTACAGCCGCCCGAAGAGCCTGGACGATGTCACGGCGCAAGACCACACAGTCACAGTCCTGCAGAGGACGCTGCAGGCTTCCAACGTACGATCCCAGAGCGACTCCCGTGATCCCAACAAGCTGACCATGCCGTGTGTAGCTGCCTCACATGCTTTTCTATGGCCCTCCCGGTACCGGAAAGACGTCGACGATCCTGGCGCTTGCGAAGCAGCTGTACGGACCAGAAATGATGAAGTCACGAGTCCTTGAATTGAACGCATCCGACGAGCGAGGCATATCCATTGTTCGAGACAAGGTCAAGAATTTCGCTCGCATGCAGTTGACGAACCCGACCGCCGCATACAAGGAGAAGTACCCTTGCCCGCCTTTCAAGATCATCATTCTTGATGAGGCGGACTCAATGACACAAGACGCCCAGAGTGCATTGAGACGGACGATGGAAACATACAGCAAGATCACTCGATTCTGCTTAATTTGCAACTACGTGACCAGAATTATCGACCCTCTCGCCAGTCGATGCAGCAAGTTTCGGTTCAAGAGCCTGGACCAGGGTAACGCTAGAAAACGTATAGAACATATCGCGGAGGGAGAGGGAGTACCCCTTGACCCCGGTGCAGTCGATGCGTTGATCAAGTGCAGTGAGGGTGATTTGAGAAAGGCCATCACCTTTCTTCAGAGTGCTGCAAGGCTGGTTGGCGCCTCTGCCAAGAAGAAGGACTCGGAAGAAGAGGTGGACGATGCGGATCAGATGGACGTCGACAAGAAAGCCGTCACTGTTAAGATTATCGAGGACATTGCAGGTGTTATTCCGGACAGCACGATCGACGAGCTTGTGAAGGCGATGCGACCAAGCAGCGTTGGTGAGACATACCGGTCTGTCTCTAAGGTGGTCGAAGATTTGGTCGCGGATGGCTGGAGTGCTGGGCAGGTAGTATCGCAGGTTGGTTTTCCCTCCAAGGCTTCTATCCTGGAAATCTACTGACGTTGGTTCTGAAGCTTTATTCTGTCCTCACGACGGACGAGTCCATCCCGGATACACAGAAAAACAAGATTGTCATGATATTCTCAGAGGTTGACAAGAGGCTAGCTGATGGTGCTGACGAGCATCTCTCCTTATTAGATGTGGCCATGAGAATATCTTCTATTTTGTCTGCATCATGAATTGTCTGATGGTTTATGGGAAGCAAGATGGACTACGGCGTTTAGAAGATAAATTAACGTGGCGTTGAGGCGGGATACCCCCGTTCTTTCCAGCTGATGTAAATGTGATATCAAAAGCAATCGCTATGCTGAACGACCTTGACCAAGCAATCCCAAGTTTCCATGCAATGCGGACCATATGTCTCCATTCTTTTGCTCGGGCCTCTCGTCTGTATGTTTCCTCGTTTTCTTCCCTTTGGGGTTCTCTGATTCCAGCCAGAAATCGTCATCACCCTGCACCTCGGCACCCTCTGGCTTTGGTTGATTTAAGCCAAGAAGGCTGTTAATCTCATGGAGTGATTTGGCAGAATTTTCCAAGAATATGTGACCGCCCTCCATGGTCTCTGCAACTAACTCAAGATTGCTGATTTTTGCGGAATCAGCAGCAAGCACCCATGGTGTGATTCGACTTGTGGCTTCGGGAAAATGCGAACTCTTAGATAGCGGATCTGTCAACCCGGGTCGCGAGTCTGGGTTTGCGTCGTTGCGATGTGCCGGAAGCAGCTGGCTCTCCTCAGCAAGACGATCGAATATTTGGCCAGAGTCCTTCGTATATTGGCCAAGCGTGGAATTGATATGCGCCTTTTGACCAATCATGGCCTTTTGAGTCTTGGAAAGAGCCAACAGTTTTGTGATATACGGAGTAAGAAGGTAGTCAACGTCGGGATTCTCGGGTTGGGCGATATGTGGTGACGATTTATGCTGGAGATCGGGTGTGATCCCCGGCTGTGGTGACTGCGATAGCAGTGCCAATATATCCTTCCTCAAGCTGCAATATAGGGCATATTTCTGACCGATTTGAGCCAAATCATTGGCGAGTGCAGCTTGAGTTGCTTTGAGGTCGCCGAGTTGAACACCTCCTCCAGCGCTCTCGTTTGGCTCCTCTGAACCTGCGGCGCCGAGTTCAGCCTCCATCCAGCTGATGAGTTCATTTCGCGTTGCGTCCAATGCGGTGGCCTTGGCAGCATTGCTGAGCACATCAGGGTTGCTCCTTGAATTTGACCGCGCCTCCTGAAGGAGATCCTGTTCTTCTCTTAGGAGCAGCTTCGCGCGCAGAATCGTCTTCTCCAAGTTGACTTCCCGGGCTTTAGGATCTGAGCCTGCCGTGCCTCCCTCAACAGCTAAGCTTTCGACTATTTCTCTTGGAACAGCTGGAAGCTGGGCTGCCCCGCCAAAAAGTTTATCTGCATCCAAATATGACGGCAGGGCGGCTGGCTTTTCGAAGAGGTCATCTATACATTGCTGGATAGCCAAGAACTTTTCTCGTTTTCGTCGAAGCTTAAGTATTGCTAGCTGTTCTTCTAAGAACTCTTCCCCTGTGCCAGCCGTGGGTGATACACTCGGGCACTGCTTTGGTTTGATCTGTACCACATCCTCAAAACCTCTACGGGCAGCTTCATTCTCTTTCAGAGCCTGAAGATACTCTTTATGGACACCTTTGGCTTCTGAAATAGCGCTTGAGAAATCATGCGGGGTTTTGGAAAGTGCCAATGGCTGTGGCAGCTTCTTGTCATTAGTGTAGGAGCCCAACTGCAGGGCCAGAATGCGTCGAATGTAGTTGACCTGCTCCCGAGGCTTAATGTATGGCTCCAGGCCGCTCTGGATAGCCCGAATGGTGTCAGATGCGTCCTTCATCTTGTCCCATTGCCTTCAAGTCGAAATTGACTGAAAGGGTACGAGAGGTGCTATCCATGTCAGTACCAAGGTTGGCTCCTGAAGCTCCCCTGTGCCTGTTTGTTTACTGAGCAGAATGGACCAGTAGTCTCTGTGGCTGGTGCACCTGTGGCTTGCTAGGACCTGTTACAGCGCGCCTTCCGCCAGGTACGCAATTGAGACCCCACTAATCAGAATTGAAGCTAGCGCTGTTGCCTATGGGGCTGGTTCTGAAATTTATCTACTGCCGATGATACCTTCTCAACAAACTGGCGGCGGAGAGCACGCATAATTGTCAACCACATTGCGCTTGATTGAGTCACCGGGACTGAAGGCAACAATCCCCCGAAACCGAACGCGCTTAATTGGTTGGTGGACATATGGTGTCTAAAACTATCTAAATACGAGCTCCCGGAGCTGTCGAGCATATCGACTTCCCCCGAACCCTCTTCTCTACACGAAATTCGACTAGACGCGCAAGATGTCGGACCAACATCGCGATGTCTCCCAATACAAGTACTCAGCCATGTCCAACCTGGTTCTCCAGGCGGACCGTCGGTTTGTTACGCGACGAACCGACGAGGCGACAGGCGACCCAGAATCGCTTGCTGGCCGGCTGAGTATCCAGGATATGGGTGGTCGCGTGGCTCGCGAGGAAGCGCCTAGACAGAAGAAAAGCACAGGCCCGCACGATGTAGTAAGGGGAGACCTTAAAGAAGGCGAGGATGTATTGCTCCGAGAGCAACGGCGCAAAGGAGGAAAGTCCACAGGACTCCTGGGGGCCAACGAATCACACATCGAGGGCCTAAACTACCAGCCGCGAACTCAGGCTACGCGAGCCACCTTTAACCTTATCCTTACCATCGTGGCGAATAATTTGGGCGATGTGTCACATGAAGTTATTCGCAGCGCGGCAGACGTCACCTTGGAATATCTCAAAGATGATGATATGAAAGATCTGGATAAGAAGAAGGAGATTGATGACATCCTGGGGACGACAATGCCCGCTAAACAGTTCAACGAGTTGGTCAACCTGGGCAAGAAGATTACCGACTACGACGCCCAGGATGATGAAGACGCTGAGATGGGAGGCGCCGATGGTGATGATGCGGATATCGATGAAAGACAGGGCGTTGCGGTGACCTTCGATGACGAGGCGGGGGATGAAGAGTTAGAAAACGAAGTTCGCGACGTGTCTTCAGAAGATGAAGATGACGAAGACGAGGAGAATGAGGATGGTGCAGCCCAGGCAACCAATGGTGATGCTGACGATGACGACGAAATGATCCTAGACTCCGGACCTGTTGCTGGCAAACAAAAGGATAAGGAGAAGCATTCTGTTCCAGCCCGGGATATTGACGCATTTTGGTTGCAGCGTCAGGTCGGCAGCCTGTATCCCGATGCTCACGAGCAGACAGACAAAACAAAGGATGCGCTGCGTATTCTTTCGGGCGAGCCCGATGAGGCTGGCGGTGAGGAAAAGTCACTACGAGAAATCGAAAACGATTTAATGGAGCTGTTTGACTTTGAACATCACGAGCTCGTACAAAAGCTGGTGGAGAACAGAGAAAAGGTGTTCTGGCTCACAAAACTCACACGGTCGGAGAACGACGAGCAACGAGCAGAGGTGGAAAGAGAGATGGCCTCCGAAGGTCTACAGTGGATCCTCAACGAATTGCACGGAAAGAAAGCAAATGATGGAAAGAAGATGGATATCAAGATGGACATTGATGTTCCTGACTCTATCAAGGCTGACGCCCTCAAGGAAGAGAAACCCGAGGGCCAGCTCGTCGGCGGCTTACAGCCCAGAAAGCTGATTAATCTCGACAATCTTGTTTTCGACCAAGGCAACCATCTCATGACCAACGCAAAGGTCCGACTGCCGGAAGGATCGACGAAGCGAAGCTTCAAAGGATACGAGGAGATTCATGTCCCGCCCCCCAAGAAGTCGAACGAGCCTGGCGATTCACTCATCCCCATCACAGATCTCCCAGAGTGGTCTCGTGTTCCTTTTAGCTCTGCAAAGTCGCTGAACAAGATCCAGACAAAGTGTTACCCCTCGGCATTCCAGAACGACGGCAATATGCTCATTTGTGCACCAACTGGTAGTGGAAAAACAAACGTGGCCATGTTAACTATCTTGCGAGAGCTTGGAAAGAACCGAAATCCAGAGACCGGCGACATTGATCTTGATGCTTTCAAGATTGTCTATATTGCGCCTCTGAAAGCTCTGGTTCAAGAACAAGTTGGCAATTTTGGCAAACGGCTGGAGCCCTACGGTGTCAAGGTGGCTGAGTTGACTGGTGACCGGCAGCTCACTAAACAACAAATAGCAGAGACCCAGATTATTGTGACAACGCCCGAAAAGTGGGATGTTATTACCCGCAAGTCCAATGATCTGACCTACACCAACCTGGTACGCCTGATCATTATTGACGAGATTCACCTGCTCCATGATGACCGTGGTCCGGTTCTCGAAAGTATTGTCAGTAGAACTATTCGAAAGACTGAACAAACAGGCGAGCCTGTACGTTTGGTTGGTTTGTCTGCGACCTTGCCAAATTATCGAGATGTGGCAAGCTTCTTACGTGTCGACGTCAACAAGGACCTGTATCACTTTGATGGATCCTTCCGTCCCTGCCCGTTGCGCCAGGAATTCGTCGGTATCACAGACCGCAAGGCAATCAAGCAGTTAAAGACGATGAACGATGTAACATACACCAAAGTGATCGAGCATGTTGGGCAGAACAGGAATCAGATGCTCATTTTCGTCCACTCACGAAAGGAAACTGCAAAAACAGCCAAGTACATCCGAGACAAAGCATTGGAAAACGAGACTATCAATCAGATTCTTCGCCACGATGCTGGTAGTCGGGAACTTCTCAATGATGCAGCCTCCCAAGCAACGGATAAGGACCTGAAAGATATTCTCCCTTATGGGTTCGGCATTCATCATGCAGGCATGAGCCGTGTCGACAGAACTGATGTTGAAGATCTCTTTGCTCGTGGAGCTATCCAGGTACTTGTGTGCACTGCCACTCTTGCCTGGGGTGTGAACCTGCCTGCCCACACAGTCATCATCAAAGGAACCCAGGTTTATTCACCCGAGAAGGGTAGCTGGGTCGAACTCAGTCCCCAAGATGTGCTTCAGATGCTTGGACGAGCGGGACGACCCCAGTTCGATACGTATGGAGAGGGCATCATCATCACTACTCAGAGCGAAATCCAATATTATCTTTCTTTGCTCAATCAGCAACTCCCTATTGAGAGTCAGTTCGTCAGCAAGCTCGTGGACAACCTCAATGCGGAGATAGTGCTAGGCAACGTCAGAACACGGGATGAAGGTGTTGAATGGCTTGGATACACTTATCTTTATGTCCGTATGCTCCGATCACCTGGTCTTTACCAAGTAGGGGCCGAATATGAAGATGATGATGCTCTTGAGCAAAAACGTGTTGATCTTATTCATTCTGCTGCCACAGTTCTTCAAAAGATGAACCTGGTTAAATATGATGAAAAGACCGGGCGGCTGCAGTCCACCGAATTGGGCCGTATTGCTTCGCACTACTACATCACTGCCGGATCCATGGACACCTACAACAGCCTCATTCAGCCATCCATCACAACGATCGAGCTTTTCCGCGTTTTTGCTCTCAGTTCCGAATTCAAGTACATCCCTGTCCGACAAGACGAGAAACTAGAATTAGCGAAGCTTCTTGGCAAGGTTCCTATTCCAGTCAAGGAGAGCATTGAGGAACCACACGCGAAGATCAATGTGCTTCTCCAAGCTTACATATCAAGACTCAAACTTGACGGACTCGCTCTCATGGCCGATATGGTTTATGTGACTCAGAGTGCCGGTCGTATTCTACGGGCGATCTTTGAGATTACACTGAAGAAGGGTTGGGCCTCCGTGGCGAAGACGGCGTTGGATCTCTGTAAGATGGCAGAGAAGCGCATGTGGCCTACAATGACCCCCTTGCGTCAGTTCCCCGACTGCGGTAGAGATATCATTCAAAAGGCCGAGAGAGTTGAAGTTCCTTGGAAGAGCTACTTTGACCTTGATCCTCCCCGCATGGGTGAACTCTTGGGTATGCCTAAGGCTAGCCGTGCGGTTTGCGCATTTGTTTCCAAGTTCCCACGACTGGAGGTACAGGCCTCAGTCCAGCCCATGACAAGATCCATAATCCGTGTTGAACTGAGCATAACGCCAAATTTCGAATGGGACGATGCGTACCACGGCACATCAGAAAGCTTCTGGATCATCGTGGAAGACAGTGATGGTGAGGATGTTCTCTTCCATGATAGTTTCATTCTTCGAAAGGACTATGTGGAGTCCGAATCGAATGAACATTTGGTAGAATTCACAGTCCCCATCACAGACCCTATGCCACCGAATTACTTCGTCTCAGTGGTCTCGGATCGATGGATGCATGCCGAGACGAGGCTGGCCATTCCCTTCCACAAGCTTATACTGCCCGAAAAATTCCCACCCCACACTGAGCTCCTCGACTTGCAGTCACTTCCAATTTCGGCTTTGAAGGTCTCTACTTATATCGATTTGTATCCCGATTGGAGACAATTCAACAAGATTCAAACTCAAACCTTTGAGTCTTTGTATAAGACGGACAAGAATGTGTTTGTAGGGGCTCCCACGGGCAGTGGCAAGACAGTTTGTGCCGAATTTGCACTTCTCCGCCACTGGAACAAGGCGGACTCAGGCAGGGCCGTTTACATTGCACCATTCCAGGAGCTCATTGATGCTCGTCTTCAGGACTGGACCAAGCGGTTGAGCCAACTGAATGGAGGAAAGGAAATTGTCAAATTGACGGGCGAGACAGCGACTGATCTCAAGCTTCTCGAGAAGGGAGACTTGATATTAGCAACACCCATTCAGTGGGATGTCCTGTCGAGGCAATGGAAACGACGCAAGAATGTTCAGACTGTGGAACTGTTCATTGCTGACGATATCCATTTACTAGGCGGTTCACAGGGCTATGTGTACGAGATCATCGTCTCCCGTATGCATTATATACGAACGCAGACAGAGCTCCCGATGAGAATTGTTGCTCTCAGCGTGTCTCTTGCCAATGCAAGGGATATCGGAGAGTGGATTGACGCCACGAAGCATGACATTTACAACTTCAGCCCTCATGTCCGTCCTGTACCGCTCGAACTTCACCTTCAGTCCTTTTCAATTTCCCACTTCCCCTCCCTAATGTTGGCAATGGCCAAACCCACTTATCTCGCAATCACACAAATGTCGCCCGACAAGCCAGCTATGGTTTTCGTGCCCAGCAGGAAACAAACACGAGCCACCGCGAGGGATCTTCTGGCGGCATGTGTTGTTGATGAAGACGAAGACCGATTTCTTCATGCCGACGTGAAGCAAATGCAGCCATTGCTTGAACGTGTCCACGAAGAAGCCTTGGCTGAGGCACTTTCGCACGGCATCGGTTACTACCATGAGGCACTGAGCAATAGTGACAGGCGGATCGTAAAGCATCTCTACGATAATGGAGCCATTCAAGTTCTTGTTGCTTCCCGAGACGTTTGCTGGGAGCTTACTAGTACAGCACACCTCGTCATTGTGATGGGCACACAATATTTTGAAGGCAGAGAGCACCGATATGTGGATTATCCTCTTAGTGAGGTCCTTCAAATGTTTGGCAAGGCTATGCGGCCGTCTAAGGAAGGTCGCGGTCGCGGCGTTCTGATGCTCCCGCAGGTGAAGCGAGATTACTACAAGAAATTCCTCAACGAAGCTCTTCCTGTTGAATCACATCTGCACAATTATCTTCACGATGCTTTTGTAACCGAAATTAGCACCAAGATGATTGAGTCCGGTGATGATGCAATCAACTGGACTACATTTACTTACTTCTACCGGCGGCTACTGGCGAATCCAAGTTACTACAGCTTGACAGGCACCTCGCATGATGACTTGAGTAACTACATGTCAGATCTTGTTGAGACTACGCTACGTGAACTTGGCGAGTCAAAGATTATCGATTTCGACGAAGAGGATGGCTCTGTTTCTCCTCAAAACTCGGCAATGATCGCAGCATACTACAACATTTCTTACATTACTATGCAAACCTTCTTACTCTCACTCAGTGCTCGTACCAAGCTCAAAGGTATTTTGGAGATTGTTACGTCAGCCACTGAATTCGAAGCCATTCAGATTAGAAGATACGAAGAGCGTCTCTTGCGTCGGATATATGAGCGAGTGCCCGTCAAGATGGCTGACCCCGCCTATGACTCACCTCATTTCAAGACTTTTGTTCTCCTCCAGGCACACTTCTCGCGTATGCAGCTACCAGTTGACCTGTCCAAGGACCAAGAAGTGATTCTTTCGAGGGTTCTCAGCCTCCTCAGTGCCATGGTTGACATTCTTTCTTCTGATGGTCACCTCAACGCTATGAATGCCATGGAGATGTCTCAAATGGTAATACAAGCCATGTGGGATCGAGATAGCCCCCTGAAACAGATTCCTCACTTCTCCCCCGAGGTTATCAAGGTGGCGAATGATGCTGGGTATGTTTCGCAGTCAAATTCCATTATGCAGTGCAGTGGTGCTAACGACTTTGATAGAATCAAGGACATCTTCGACTTCATGGAGGCTATGAATCCTGAAGAGAACCCCGACTCTGACAAGCTAATGAAACGCCTGGGTCTGTCACAGAAGCAATTGGCTGAGGTCGCAAACTTCACAAACGACAAGTATCCTGATCTAGAGCTAGAACACGAGGTTCTAGAGGAAGATGAGATTAGAGCCGGCGAACCGGCTTATCTCAAAATAAAGATCACCCGAAACGTGGAGGAAGAGGACGATGCTCCTTTCGACTCCACTGTACATGCGCCATTCTATCCTACAAAGAAGCTGGAGAATTGGTGGCTTGTCGTTGGTGATGATAAGACCAAGAACCTGCTTGCTATCAAGAGGGTGACGATCGGACAAGAGTTATCAACTCGCCTCGAATACACAGTTCCGACAGTTGGCGAACATAACTTAAAACTTTACTTGATGAGCGACAGTTACGTTGGAGTTGATCAGGAGCGCGAGTTTTCAGTCACCGCCGCCGAGAGCATGGATGTGGACGAGGACGAGGACGAGGACGAAGATGACGACAATGAGTAAAGGCTCATTTTGATTTACTCGTGACAACACCTTTACCTGTATTATTGTTTGTTGGATATCGTGCTCAGGTGGTCCGATGGGGAGGTTTCAAAGCTACGACGAGACCACCCGGCTGGAGAGGGAAAAGAGAAAATGATTGACTTCGGAAAAATATGCCTCGGACGATAGGGCTAATCACAAGTACTTGGTCGGTAAAATAGGGGTTGTGCAGACAGTTTGGTTGTGGATAATAGCGCTGGGGGCCTGGAGTTCATGGACGGAATGCCCAGGTTTCTCGACGACCGGTATGGAAGCTAGCGGGCGGTGGGGTTCAACGAGCCGCGGTAGATATCAAGAGTTTGCAGTTTAGAGAAGAGATTGTGAAATATATGATGAGGACGTGGACTTAATTTTTTTTGTTGATGTCTCATTTGCGTCGGATTGAGTGGTGGTGGCGGCCTGTTCATCATGCATCTGGGACGCCATCCTTACCACGTATTTTGAGACCTGAAATAACCCGCCACTTACTCTTGTACCCATCACGTGACTACTTATTTTCAGTGACGTTAGATGCGCCTTCTTCGTCTCGGCAGCAGTCAATCACCCTCTGCTCCAGTGTTTTTATCTTCTCTCAACCACACCGCCGACATCAACGCAACACGGCAAAGAGGCGTTGTCTTGTCATTTTCGCGTCTTCTGCATCTTGATTGATTATCTTTCCACCGCATATCGCGATTTGCGCTGTCATTGGCATAACCTACTATACGCGACTCTGACACGCGTTGCATAGCTCTTTCCTAGAGCTCCAGCAATCTGGCGCTCGAGCTCCGAGGAACTCAGTTCGCATTTCGAAGTTGTTGGAATCATCATACAAACTCTCGCCATGGCTGACACGCCCGCCGAGAAGACCGACGCTCCTGTGTCTGTTGCGGATGCTCCCGAAGCTACAACTACCGATACCAAGAAGACTGAATTGAGCGAGCCCAAGACTGATGGTAAGTTCTATTATGCCAGGGCGCATCGTGGAGGACGGGCGAAATCTTGTGGCCGGTTACGCGACGCGAGTTTCGCGCATATTTTCCCAGTTCGCGGGCATGCTCGATTCCTTTGTACCCGAATGAATAAATTTAGCTAACAAAACTCCGCCCTCAATAGACAAAGAGGCTCCCAAAGAAACCGAGGAAACAAAGGAAAGCGCCCCAGACGCGAAGGCAAATGAGGAAGTGAAGCCTGCCAAAGAGGGCGAGACTGAGGCCCCCAACGCCACTGAGCCCTCTGCAGCTGAAGCTGACCAGTCAACGGCCGAGGCTGACACGTCGGCCATCAAAACACCATCTGCCAAAACACAAAATAACCGCCGCAAGTCTGGGGGTGCAGGCTCGACCCGCAAATCGTTGAGCAAGAAGGCCTCCAAAATCCGCATCACCCACCTCGACGCCAAGCCAGGCGACCACTTTCTGGTGAAGCTTAAAGGCTTTCCGGAATGGCCAGCAATTATTTGCGAGGAGTCGATGCTTCCACCCGCGCTGCTCAACAGCCGCCCAGTGACCGCGGCGCGCCCCGACGGCACCTACGCTGAAGCCTACGCGGACGGCGGCAAGCGCGTCAATGACAGGAATTTCCCCGTCATGTACCTGTTCACCAACGAATTGTAAGAACAACATGCTCCGGATGTATTTAATGTCGATTGAGTTTTTGCTGATAAACTTCCAGCGGCTGGGTTGTCAACACGGCCCTTACCGAGTTAACTCCCGAAATGGCCGAGAATGCTATGAACGGCAAGATTCGAAAGGACCTAAAGGCGGCGTTCGAGCTTGCAGCCGAGAAGCATCCCATCGATTACTACAAACAGATCCTCCAGCAATTTGAGGACGACAGAATTGCACAAGAGGAGGCTGCCAAGGCCGCAGCGGCCACCCCCAAGAAGTCCAAGAAGAGCAAACCCAAGGCCAGCGACGTAGATGAGGATGTGGAAATGGCAGACGTTTCAGAGAGCGCAAAGGCTAAGACCAAGAAGCGCAAGGCTGAAGAGGATGCTGCTGTAAGTGCTGCCGGCAGCGTATACAAGTTTGGCTGGACCCTCGAACTGACCATCGAGTCTATTTAGACACCCCAGCGCCCCGATTCTGTCAAGAAGCCCAAGATTAAGCTTAATACGTCTTCAACTCCCAAGGCAGCCAATGGCACATCCAAACCACAAAACAAAGAGGCGTCAGCGTCTAAGCCCAGCAAGGCCAAGTCGAAGCCCGGCGAGAAGAAATCGGCCGGATCCAAAGATGCCAAGCTGACCCCTCAAGAGCGCTTGGCCCGCAAGGAGGTGCGCAAAATGTTCCCTTGACGGAAAAAAATGAGTTGCTAACACCCTGACAGAAAGAAGTTCTGTACCTCAGACATAAGCTTCAACGTGGTCTTTTGACTCGTGATCAGATTCCTCAGGAAAGCGAGATGGACCAAATGGTGGAGTATCTCACCATCCTAGAGAACTTTGGCGCCAATTTGGAGGTGCCAATTATTCGAGCAACAAAGATCAACAAGGTTATGAAGGCAATTCTAAAGCTCGATTCCATCCCTCGTGAGGAGGAGTTCAAGTTCAAGTCTAGGGCACAGGCTCTTCTTGATCAGTGGAATAAGCTGATGGCTGGCGAGGGCTCAGCTGCGACCAATGGTGTTAATGGCGCCTCCGAGGACCATGCCGAACAAAAGAAATCTGAGGAACCTAAGGCGAAGAGCGAATCCGAGAAGCCCTCTGAAGACCAGACTGGCGCGAAGGAAGCTCCAGAGGAGCCAAAAAAGGCCCAGGAGATCCCAGCCACTGAGGAGAAAGAGGAATCGGCAACTGGAGATGTGAGTTTTGTCAGATTATAGTTGGGAAGCAATGAACGGATATTGACAACCTCTCTTACAGAAGGCCAACAAGACCACCGAGGTCACGGCATAAATGAAACTCAATTGTAGTATTCATAAGCCAGCTATCGCAAGCCACCTCCAGCGAGGACTTGATATAATGCGAAAGTAGGCATAATAGTGGACGTTTCATATTTGATTATTGAACCAGACTTGGAACCGCTCAAAGAAAGTTGATAAAAACGAAAAGACAATGGATCCTCCTCGATGAATGCGAGGATATTTGCAGTTTGATACTACGTCTAGGGGAGAACCTGGAGTGGTTTGGGATGCTGTAAATCAGGGACATTGAGAACGCGATTGGGAATATGTCGCTCGCATTTGCGACGGAAGAGGGTTGACATCGGCACACTTCGGTGTCTAGACATGCACATGGATGGGCTGTTTCTGCGAGGGGCGATTCGGGTGTATAGGTATTTTGCTTTTGGCTGAAAGTAACGGCTTCTTTTTCTCTTATTTACTTTCTTTTTTTGTTATTTTTCCACGATATTACAAGAGGGCAGAAGTCTTGTTTCTGCCCCCTTGAACTTCCTGCAGCTATTTGCGTCTTCTTCTCAGGATGGGACAGAAAGAACACATTGGTGATGATGAGGAATGATGAGGCTTCAAAAGGAAAATCTACAATTATACATCAACTTAGTGAAAATCCAAACGCCAGCTTAGACCCAAAACTCAGTACATAACGATCGAATCCAACGATCGAATCCAACGATCGAATCCAACGATCGAATGAGGCTTCTTCGCCTTCTCGTGCTGTTCGTGGAAGGACACATACAGTGCTCAAATCATTTAATTGGCACAGCCCGTCGCGCTTTTAACTCGAGTTCATGTACAGTGTAAGACACAGTGTCCAAAACGCGTCTCACAGTTTGCAAGCGCGTTGGATGAGATCCAACCTTCGATCAGCCACGCCGACTTTGACGTCGACATCAAGCTTGACAGATTGTGTCATAAAAATACCCCATATCTTCGAATATGACGAAAAACGATGAGCCTAGTCAGGCTTTTAGCCAGGAAGACCACCAGGTAGGCCTTGACATTGGGATCTGATTTGGACCCTCCTTTCTCATGCTGATCCAACACTCACCGCAGGTTGCATACGTCTTCGATCCTAATGAAGAGGAAACCCGTCAACAGCATGCTTCCAAACGCCGCCGAGTATCGAAGCAGACCAAAGTAGCGACCACTAGTATGGAGCCAGCGTCTCCCAACTTTGTGCCGTTATTCAATGGCGTAGAAAAGATTGAGTTCGTTCAAGCTCGTGAGAAGCTCTTCCGTGAGAGCTGGGAAAGGGTGGACTCTCGCATCCAGGTGAGATACAAATGACACTGACTCAGCATTGAATCTACTAGACATGATGCTAATATGTTGACAGAATGCGTTGAGAGAGTCAAACTCAGCCACATTAGATGAAGTGGCTGCTTTCGTGAGTGAGGCGCAGGCAGAATCGTGAGTTGGTTCTTGAGGCCTACATCGCATGCAAGATGTGCTGATCGACTTTTTTTTCACCAGATATGACAAGATCCCCTCTGTTTTCATTCGTACGGGCTCCAACATTGCGTCGCAAAACTTGCTGTTCGAACAGCTATCAGACTGTCTTCAAGGATCCACACCAAGCAAGTTTGTGAGGCTACGCTCATCCGAGGTTACGACTCTCAAGTCAACACTGAAGAGGATTATTCAAGATGTCACACGCCGGGATATTGAAGACGAGGAAGAAGATGAGATCCAGGTTTGTCGAGCCTACCAAATAGCTTCTCCGGTGCGACTGATGATATGACTGACTCTGTTTTCAGCCTCATACCAAGCATCTGGACTACGATTTAGAAGCATTGAGGGCTTTTATCAAGCCCGAAGCTTGCGATCATGTTTTTGTAGCCTTTGAGGATAGCGAGGGATTTGACAGCACCCTTCTGTCAGACCTAATTCCTTTACTCAAGTACGCTTCCACTCCCGCAAGTTATATATATATAGTTTAACTAACTTGTAATTCTCCAGCTCCTGGAGGCCCCGGATTCCGTTCACACTCCTTTTCGGAATTGCTACCTCGGTTGAGCTTCTCCAGGCACGTTTGCTCAAGACAGCTTGCCAACAGATCTACGGCGCGCAGTTCGATGCGGTCCAGACTGATGCTATCCTTGAGGCCATCTTCAAAATAGCAGTCTCCGCTAGCGATGTTCCCTTGAGACTAGGTTCGCCGCTTCTCAAAAGCATGCTGGACCGTCAGCGCGACCAAATGGCTGGCATCCAGGCTTTCATTAGCTCTCTAAAAGTACTGTTCACACTCGCAATGACATGACGATTGATTGAATATACTAACAGACGAGGCAGTATGCATACATGTGTCACTTCTACGCCAACCCTCTAAGCTCTTTGATGGGCCCTCCGCTCCAACTCCAACCTCAGCCAGAGCATATTGAATCGATTCGGAACACACCATCCTTCCGAGTTCTTGTGGAAAGGCTGATCGAGTCTGATGATGCAGGAGAGCTATCAAATGCGCAATCTCTTTTGGAGAACGATGCATATCTAATTGAGCAGATCGAGAGTGCCATGAAAGAGAAGCAGCGGTGGGTTAACGGCCTACTTCGTTCTCTGCTTCTTGCTGTGGCATCTGGAGCAATGGACGGTGACTTCTCGACCGTGTACTGCAGAGCCATGATGGAAGGCATCGACGACTCAGAAGTGACGGAGCAGGTTCGACGAATGGATGTACCCAAGCTCCTGGCTTTCATCCGTCAAGTGCTCTCGATCTTTCAGATTGGGGACCCTACAGTGAATTTATCGCCCTATGAAGGGGACGACGATCTCTTCTTCGAACTGGCTCTAAAGAAGCTCCAAGAGGGCATTGAGTCTCTTGCAAAGCTAGCTCAGGAGAAGTCCATCACCCTGCGGAGCAAATACATGGGTCAGACCAAAGTTATGCGAACAACGGTGATCGCGCAAAGAGTCCAACTCAGCCGAGACTCTGCTGCCTTGAGCGAGGAGGACAAGCAGTATACGGGCTACGTCGACGAGCTCACGAAGTTGCTGTCGCGACATGTGACTGTCCTGCCTGTTTCACACGTCTTTCTCTCCGAGTGCTGGACATATGACTCGATGTCGCCGGCTCGAGACGTGTTTGTTCCCCGGCCCCGTGCCACCTTTGAGAGGAGCCTCACTCGTCCTCATGACTACCTTAGTTGTTCTTGCTGCAAAGACAACGGGGGCGGCATTCAGTCGACGTTGCCGGCAACGTCCATTCTCTACCAGCTCTACCTCGAAACTGGCAGTTTGGTCAATGTTGCAGATTTGTGGACAGCCTTTCTCGACATTGTTGGGGAGGAGGAAGGCGACGAGCGCAAGGCCCTTCTTTTATTCTACCGTGGCCTGGCCGAGCTGCGGACGCTTGGGTTTGTTAAGAGCAGCAAGAAGAAGGTTGACCATATTGCCAAACTGAAGTGGCTTTAGACACTTTGTTGGAAATTAGTGGCCATCTCAATCGCTAGATGGCCGGGCCAAACATCGGCCTCCCGAAAAACCAGCTTGTTCTATATATTTTTTAATGCAAAGCGCAGCGTTTAGGACAAAGAATAACCACATCTATTATCAGCTTTCGAAAACGAGCCACGCCTCCCTCATCTCACTTACACGATCGCCTTTCTTAATATGTCTCTCATTGTTTCATAACAAGGAATTTGCCCACCATGGTCAAAGAAAAAAAGAATCCATCAATAGAAGCAGCTTCGACACTTACCCGGCTTTACATGACCACAGGGCGGCAAAGAGTCCGCAATCATTGTCTCATACACTGTTCCAATCCTGTTGTCTTGGCTCTCTCACCCCTTCGCTGGCCAGGGCTTGGGCTCGCTGCCCGCATTCCAGCACTTCCGTTTGTGCAGCCTTTGACTTGGGCACACGGACAGCGAGCGCGCCATACGAACCCCCCCACAGCCTTCAGGTGCAGCGCAGTGTCTCACCTCAGGGCGACGTCCGCGTCCGTCGCAAAGTTTCCGGTATTTTGGAACAAGCGCCGGACAAAGCACAGTCAGTGCCCCCGAAGCAGAGCAGATGGTAGCGGTTCAACGCATACGTATTCGGCCCCCGGCAAGGTCCGTTCACGGCTCTGCGAGGGAATATATGAAATGGCCAGGTCCCGGCTGCCCTCCAGCAGGTTGAAATGGAACATGATTCCTACTCTCTCGTATTACTTATCGTTTTTCTCTCTTAGATTATCTCTGTATTTCTACAGTTCTCCTCTCTTGGGCAGAGAATCAAATTCTGTTACTCCTTTCTATTCCCATCGCTACAGTGTCTTATTCATGAACTCATGACCTGAAAAAAAAATTCAGCCTCACCATTCCGCTCAAGGTCCGTCGTAAACGGACGCCTCTGGTCATCTAACCAAGCTGGAGTCTCTCAAGAAAAAAGAAGCTCGAACTCTGAGCAAGATGATGCGCCGCGAGGTCCCGTCGTCCCACGCACAACAACCCCCGGTGTCCTTCATGCACCGCCGGATATCCAGGAACCCTGAGCTCCGGCGCAAGCTGGAGCAGATGGCCCTCCACCTCTCGCCCCTGGTGCAGATCACGACGGGCAACGTCCACCCGAGTTTCCCCAGGACGATCCTCCACTACTGGCTCCTCACGGACGCGGAGATGGAGGACATGGCGGGCTTCTACCACCAGCGGGACCCCTCCACCCTCACGTACCAGTACCCGTGCCCCATCAGCTGGTCGTCCAGCCTGCCCCTGGAAGAGAAGAGGCGGAAGATTGGCAAGTTCATCGGGCTAAGGGGCTGCGAGTCGCCCGTCTGGCTCAAGACGGAGGAGGAGATCGCCGAGGAGGCGAGGCAGGCCAGGGGGGCGGCCGAGGAGGAGATGTGGAGGCGCAAGAACTACCCTTGGCCTGGGCAGGACGTCTGACGGGGATGAGAGAAAAGCTGGGGATTTCTATTAGCTTCAGGTTGGGTTTCCTTGCATGTGTCTTTGACGGAGGAGCATTTGGTGGGTTATTATAATTGGTACTGGGAGCATGATCGGAGCATTAGCCCGCGGTCACAGCGATTTCATAGTTTTGGCCTAGGCGTATCAGCAATGTCTGGTAGCCTGCCCCTTTAAAATTAATACCGTTAGATTGTTTTCAAATCTTGCCTTCACTAAATAATCCCCAACGCCTCTTGTGCAGCCTAGATATCTCCCCAAAAATGCGCCGTCACATGCACAAGTTGCAGAAAGTAACAATTTTACACGATGCGTGACAGATCATCTATGCTTTTCCTGCTCGCCCCTTTAACCTCTCATCCAGCAGTGCGGATATGAGTTTACTTCCTCACGGCCTTCTTCAGCCTTGGGGTATCAACGAGAACCGCCTCGTCGTCACTAGCAGGCTTGTTGGGGGTCTCGGTGGTTTCAGTTTCGTCGTCCAACTCCTTCATAAACTCGGATCGGATTTGCTTGCGTCTCTTGTCCCACCATTGTCGCTCAGCTCTGGCCTGAACTTGGAAGTCGTCCACGTGGTTTCGGACCTTGTAGTTGATCGCCATCTCGTTGGCGGATTGGAAAATAGTCTGGCCCCAGTTAGGGGCAAGAGCATTAGCCTATAGCGTTGTGTAAGTCGTCATGTTTCTTTCCGTAGCCACGAAACCGAGAACAGGTGGTCTCCCCTCTTACCTCAGTGACGACATCGCGCAACTCCTCCTCCATCTCCTTCTCGGCCCGCTGGAACCTCTTCCACAGATCGTTTCCGACGCTGCCTCGCTGGAGGAGCGTACTGCAGGCCTGCTTGGCGGACCGGATCTGGACCAGGCGATGGAGATCTTCCACTGCGCGCCGCAATAGGGCGGCCTTGAGGACGCTGTCGGGGACTCGCTTTTCACCGCCGTCCTCAGGGGACAGGTGGAGAAGACTCAGGTAGATGTTTCGTTGCAGGTGTGGGCTGAACCAGGGCTCAAGGTTTGCACTCTGGGCTGCGAAAACGGGACGGAGGCCAGCCGTGTTAGTCGAGTACAGAGACAGCATGCATCATTGTTCCAAGCTGCCGGCCCAGCAATAGGGAGAACGGCGGGCTTAAGAGAACAGGGAGGGAATTGAGGCTCACTCACCAGCTTTCCGCTTGCGGTAGATTGTCGAGAATGTCATGAGGGCGCCGCCCAAAACGATGACATAGGCGAAGGGGAGCAGAAGCCCCTTCCAGTCGATCTCGGGAATCATTGTAAATTCGAAAGAAGCAAATGAATGAGAAGAATAGAATTAATACAATGGATAATGCAAAGACTACTCTCGGTGAGTCGCAGGCCGTTGCGTGACTGAGAAGGAAAGGTAAGAGTTGTGTGGGCAAGTCCGCGAACGTAAACTGCCGCTTCTGGTATGCGATTTTGACTTCTGGACAGATAGCCACAGGCGCTGTCGGACAGTGCTTCCAGGCACCTCAAGCGCCCAAAGCACACACGCTGGGCGCATTTTGGCGGAAATGCAGGTACGTACCTCAGCGCCTCTAATGTACACGCTGGCTTGTCTCGAGCGCCAGCTTACATAAGGCAGGTACCTGTGCTATTTCGGGACAGCTTCGGGGTAGGCAAGGGCACCATGCCGTATACGGTATAGACACGACACACAGAAACACTGGGCCGGGCGGGTTATGTAAGCACTCAGTGACAGGCGTTACGTAGTTGCCGCCCATACAAACAGTCTGCCTAAATCAGTGCGAATGACGCTCGTGCTCAAGCTTCGGCCAAGCTCCACACTATTTACCCCACGGCAGTATCATACACGCTCTCTGGCTTCCACCACGCATCGACTACCTTCCATCACTCAACTAAGCGCAAACAGATCGGTTTTCCCCTCGTCTTCTATCGGATCTGAGAAGGCTTGGAGAAGTTACAACGTCTTCCTCTCCGAGCTTCCGAGGAGAGGAACAACTTCTTGCGATCGACTCTCGACTGAAAGCTACCGACATTTGGTCACCTATTCACGCTCTCACGATGCTTCTACGATGTCGGGGTCCGGATGGCACCTTCCGCGTGACGGTCGAGCCTACGACCAGTTTCTCCGACTTGGGACACATGGTGAGAATGGATCAGTAAACTACTTGTGTTGCGCATTAATCTAATTTTGCTGTTCCGTATCTAGCTACTCGAGCAGTTACCCAAGACGATCGATCCTAGATCCATTACGCTATCAAATTCACCCACAGGTAGCGACGCCAAAAGGATATCCGAGGTAGCGAATGTGAAGATCGGAGCTATTGGTCTCAAGTACGTCCTCGTCGGTACGGATATGGATTGTTCGCCTTGACTTACAGTATATTTCTAGACACGGCGATCTCATCTTTCTCAACTACACGCATGCCGATGCCTCCGATAATTCCAACGGCGAAACCCAACCAAAAACGACGACAGCTCGACTCAACGGAAAGCCTGTCCTGCCCACAGAAGACGTACCTGTGGATGTGAGTCACGAACAACGGATAGCACGACCTTGGGACTTGGTTCGCCAGTCGCCTCTGGACGACCGTCTGGATCGCCAAGACGGAAAGATCCCGCGGGGCCGAAACAGGATGTGCCGCCATGGTCCCAAAGGAATGTGCGACTACTGCCAACCTCTAGATCCATTCGATGCAACCTACTTAGCCGACAAGAAGATCAAGTACACTTCTTTCCATGCCCATCTGCGCAAGGTCAACGCTGCCACCAACAAGCCCGAGCTTGGTGCCTCATACATCCCGCCTCTTGTAGAGCCCTTTTACAGAGTTAGACACGAGTGCCCCTCTGGCCACCCGCCCTGGCCAGAGGGCATTTGCACCAAGTGCCAGCCCAGCGCCATCACCCTCAACCCTCAACCTTTCCGTATGGTGGACCACGTCGAATTCTCATCACCAGCAATTATCGATAAGTTCATCGATGCGTGGAGAAGAACCGGGGCTCAACGACTCGGTTTTCTCTATGGCAGATATGCAGAGTACACTGAAGTTCCACTCGGCGTTAAGGCAGTGGTCGAAGCCATCTATGAGCCTCCACAAGTCGATGAGCTGGATGGTATCACCCAAAACGCATGGGAAAATCAGAAGGAGGTCGAAGAAGTCGCAAAACTCTGTGGATTGGAACCGCTGGGTGTAATCTGGACCGATCTAGTGGATGCTGGACAAGGGGATGGGTCTGTCGTATGCAAGCGTCATGCAGACTCGTACTTTCTATCATCTCTTGAGATCTGTTTCTCATCAAGACTACAGGCTCAGTACCCGAAGCCTTCAAAGTGGAGCGACACCGGCAAGTTTGGATCCAATTTTGTGACCTGCATTGTCTCGGGCAACGAACAAGGCGAAATTTCTATTTCACCATACCAGATGTCCAATGAGGCTGTTGAAATGGTCAGAGCAGATATCGTTGAGCCTTCGGCAGACCCGACAGTCATGCTTGTGCGCGAGGAAGAGGAAGACGATGGCTCTGTCAGCCGAACAAGATATATCCCTGAAGTTTTTTATCGCAAGGTAAACGAGTATGGCGCCAATGTGCAGGAGAATGCGAAACCATCTTTCCCTGTCGAATACCTCTTTGTTACACTGACTCATGGCTTCCCCGCTAAACCAAAGCCAATGTTCACCCAGCCAGGTTTCCCAATTGAGAACCGAGAATATATTGGTGAAAGCCAGGAGCCATCAGCTCTTGCCAAGGTCCTTCGTGCTCAGAATCCCCAGGACGGCGGTGAGGGGCTATCCAACTTCCATCTATTATGCTTCATTTATCAAATGAGCATCCTGTCTAAGGTCAGTAACTCCATTCCGTCCTCCCTTTCCATGGATCGTTTTAATCTAACCTACTAAACCACCTCCTGCAGGACGAAGCTGCTCTTCTCTGCCGCGTAGCCAGCCAACACGACCTAGCCGAATCCTTCCAACTGAGTTCAACGGAAGGCTGGCAGAATCTGCAGGCCATTATCCAATCGACTGGTGAGAGAATCCCCAAGCGCCAACGCGATAATGCTTTTTCGGGCCCAGAGCCTGCTTCTACTTTTTCACAACCCACTCTCCGCGAATCGGATGAGCCACTTGCTAAAAGATTTGCTGCCTTCAGGCTGAATGAAGTCCGTACGCTTCGCGAAGCATCCCTACCTGCCGCAGCTGTCCAAAAAATAGAAAAAACCAAGGCTCCGCCGCCGCCATCGTCATCGTAGTTGTCAGTTGAGGGATGGGAATGAGTTCAAGGAGTTGTGGAGCAAGTGAAAGGCGGTGTCATTTAACAGCAATCATCAGTTCAGCTGGTAATTTTCAATCATCAAGCACAAATAAAATCGGGATATGCGACGGGTATTGGTTTCATAATGAATAAGGAGTTGCCTACCCAATATCTCAGCAGTGGCGTGCGGGTCAAGTCGGTAGAGGCATAGCATAATAGGAAGGGCAAATCAGCATTGCAAAGTACGGTTCTAAAGAGAAAGATGATTCGTCATCATCGCCATCATTTTTATCATGGTGGTATCATAGTTTTAAAACGCAAGGTAACCTTCAGAATTATCAATGTGAGTCCAGCGAGTCTAATCTCGGGACAAACACTTCTCTTTCTACTCTCTGCTTTCTTACCAAGTAATTTCCGTGCTAGTCATCTTTAAATGATGAGCTCTTTGATTCTCCGTAAGAACGAAAGGTTAGTGATGTCATTAGATATGCTGGATAAATGCTCAGTACATGCTTAGCATGTGCTGGGTATGTTCTTGGTATGTTCTCAGTATGGGCTTAGTTGGGTTGGAAGGACTATTCAGTCTTGTGACTTTCAGGAAATGCTCAGTCAATTAAGGTACACGGAAGATCATGTGATAGTCTAGCAGCACAAGCAAGACTTCAGATAAGTACTACCAAATCATTACTTTTTACGTTGAGCTAAATAGATCGAGAGCAGGAGTGCAAGCCTTGGCCAGTTGGCAAGGGCTAAAGCTTCACGACCACTTTAGCTGTAGTCGCTTGCGCTCTGCAGGATTGGTGACATGAGCATGGACTTGCCGTTTTCTGAAAACGTTTCCGTCAAAAGTGCGTTGTCAATACGCTACCCGGATGTTTACATGCAAGGCCACCTTCAACTGAGAGTTTGTTAGTAAGGTATGGAGAAAGAGCAACATCTATATTGCACTTGTCTTTTACAGAAGCCAGGGGCAGGGAGAAGATTTTGATAGATAAAAGAAATACTATGTATTAAATGTCTAGGAAGAATGGGCGCGTCGCATTCCAACTCACGTCGCCTCATATCCACATGCTACTTGCCAGTATGACCATCATCTAACTGGCCTACCCCAAGTATTCCTTTTTTGCCTGAACGAGAGTGATCGTTCTCCGTAAATTCGTTCATAGATGGAGATAGTCGAAAGTGATACTGTTAGGGAAATCTGTACGCCTACCATTAGTAACTCGAATGTACCGAGAGGGCAATCGCGCGACTTACCCCTTTTTCGGGTGGTATTTCCCAAGTGAGTAAATCAATGGTGGAGGTATTTACTGGGTGGCTGGCTTATCCATGGCGTCGAACTGGCTGATATCGCCGTTCTGGGCCAGCTCAACAAGGACGGCGAGGAGGCCGACGGCGGACAGAGACCCGTTCTCGACGAGCTCCTCGGTCGGGATGAGAGAGTCAGTTGCGCTGCTGCGGGCCTCGATGTCCTGCTTGACGCCGAAGCCAAGGAAGGCGATCAGCTTGTCGACCAGGTTGCCAATGGGGCCACCAGAGCCGGCGTAGCCGAAGACGCTGTGGAGGGCATCGACGAGAGTTGGTGCCTCACCAGCAGCGATCTCGCCCGTCTCCATATCACGCTTGAGGAAGGTCAAAAAGCCGAGAGGGTTGACCAGACCTCCCAGGAGACCGCCGCCCAGGCCTCCGAGCGGGCCACCGAGGCCGAGACTGAGGATGCTGCCCAGGCTGCCGCCGCCCAGTCGGTTGGTCAGGGCGCTGCCGCCGGTCAAGGATCCGAGGGTGTTGCCCAGAGGGGCCGCGCTGCTGCCACCAAGGAGACCAAGGCTTCCAAGGCCAAGGCCGGACACGATGCCATCGAGTCCGAGCAGGTCAGGGGCAGCGCCCTGGCCGAGGGGGTTTCTGGGGGTGCCGATCTTGCCAATGACGCCGGTGAGCGAGTTCAGGGCATCGGGGTGGATGTTTAGGAGGGGGTTGGGGCCCAGGGAGATGTTGGGGATGCTCTGGAGCTGGCCTGTAAGGCCGCTCAGCTCGTTGGTGGCAGCGCTGGTTCCTGCACTGTTGCAGGATCCCAGGAGGGCCTTGAGGATGTTGATGACGCGCTGGACGATCTGCTGGAGATCGAGGCCAGGTGCGACGGATGTGTCTGTGAGGTCTGACACATCGCGCTTGACGATCTCAAGATTGTTGAGGATCTGGCGGAGGTCGGAGATCTCAGACACCTCGCGCAGGTTGAGGGAAGTGTTTCCAGCGCACTCTCCGAGGACCTTGGAGAGAACGTCGAGGATCTTGTTGAGGAGGTTTGAGAGGATATTGGTCAGCCCGGCAGGGTCAGCGAGCGGGGTGTCTCGGGAGACGACTGAGGTGGCCTGCAGAGCCTCCTTGAGCTGAGCCACAAGGTCCTCGTTTCTCTTGCTCAGGCTTCCAGCATTGACAGCTGGGACAGAGGGAACATGGACGCTCTGGACGTTCTGGATGGCGGAAGAGCCGACAGTGGGAGCTGCAATGACGTTGCCAGCAAAGCAAGCCAGGGCGATGGAGGCAGCGTTGACCTTCATGATTTCAGATGGTGAATGGGATCTTGGGAAATAGGTTCAGATATAAGAGGCCAGAGGAGAGAGAGCAGTTTTTGTGACAGACTTGTTTGTTTGGGAGGTTGGAGTCTGATACCGAGAGGGAAAGTTGTCCTGGGGGGGCATCCATGGCTGTTATATAGGTATTCTGCGGTCTATACCACCTCATGTTGATCGAATGTTCCATAGTAGTGGCGCTGAGTGATGTTCACCGTGCTTTCGTATGTGGAATCCAGACTCGGATGGAGATCGCGAAGGTCTGGTGGGTTGGAGACGGGAAGATTCTGATCGGAATGCGGGTATCGATGAACGTTTACATCGTGGACCCTGTTGCCAGACTAAAAAGTGACAGTCTCCACTGGATCTACGATATACCCAGATGTTTTCAGATGCGTTGTAAACAGTTTCGGTCCATTTAGGGAGGGAGCTCCAGGTACGAGGAATGCTAAGAGCTATTGAGCTTGAAGGATCCTCGGGTTCTCGCTGCTCCGACATGGATGTTGGCGAGAGGGGAATTTTGTTACATTCCAGACAGAAGATGACGCAAAGGAAGCATCGTCAGTTGGCCAGTCATCTTGAGCACGGATGTTGTCTCCCTTGATAAGTGTGGCTCTTGAAAAATGCCACCTGTTACCAAGAGTCTCAAGGGCAATATCGCGATCTGCGTTGTCATCGGATCGATATTCATTGTGTCGGCAGCATCGATGCCAGTCCCATGACAGAGAACTCACAATAGCTTGACTGTCATAGATGACATTCAGATTCAGAGATGAAGATCCGCCGAGTATGGCTGGGCATCACCTCGGTTGCCTCAGACTGTCGTTGCAAGCGTCGTGATGGAGTCCGCGTCGACTAGCTACACGCAAAATCCTGAGCACGTGTTTATTCTAGTTCCCGTTGAGTGTGAGGTGGTATGAACTGTAATTTAATCTTGCCGATAGTAGATCCCGCAGCATAATATGTATTAGCTCGTGGGGCCAGATCAATGATATCCCGCGGTGATGGTAACTTGACCGCTACCAGACAGATAGATTTTCTGCTTTTTCTTGGGAAGCCTAAACTTAAACTCGTTTGTAATATTCGACTTCGGAATTACCACTCCTCGATATTTAGACAAAGTTTACGTACACATACCCATGCAATTCTTCACTTTCCCGTCAACAAGCTTCCTCGTCCTGGAGCTATCGCCAAAACCGGTTCCTCGCATATTGCGCGCAGATCCCGCTGAATGGTTCACGGCTTCAACGATGGCATTTAAATTTGGAAAAATGTCATGAAGTCTCTTCCGATGGGGAGCTAAATAAACAATTGAATGGGACACCCACCACATTCTCGGCTAAATATCAACAGAATTCCGGAAGCACTCTGACCATTTACTGCATTCACCGCTCCCAATCGACATCGCGGTTCTTTTTCATGTATAAGCGACAACAAGGGTCCCGAAGTCTAAAAGGTAGCATGTTTTTGTGCTCAATAAGACTATCGGTAATCATGGTGTCTATTACTTAATCCAACCTACTCTAACCTAGGTATTTCAAACAGGCTATCTTCTATATCCCCCAGGTGAGTTGGCCGTATTCCCACAGTTGTCATCACACTGGTTTTGGGATGAGCCAACAGCAGTCTTGATCCCTGCATTATCTGAGTTCCACTGCCCCCAGACTGGGATTTTGAACCGTCAGGGCGAAGGCTCCCGTAACAGAAGGCCGGTATGCTATTTTGGTCCCTCTTGTGATAAGTCCGGCTCCTTGATTCCTTCTTCTTCATCAATTACCCACCACTTGATTTCATCCGCACTTTCTCGTGCAGCACTGCGTACCAACATCCAGCATTCTTCATCCTCAGTTTAAACATCATGGCATCACTTTCATTCCTTGAACTTCCAATGGAAATCAGGCAAAAAATCCTTCAACAGGTGGTTTTCACCCTCCCAGACCGAGAATCTTTTATCTATTGGACACCAAATCGAGGATTTTTCTCATCCTCAGATACAGATCCAACCTCGCTCTTCCTAGTCAGCAAGTCCTTCTCTGCTCTTGCACAGCAAATATTTTGGAGCCAGAATCAATTCACAATACTGCCCCCGGAATATTTCTTGAGGTTCACTGGCGATGATGACCACATACCATCTCCACGAACTACTACCAGCTATTTTCTATCCCGATTTAGCGTCTTGCAACCTTTGCCGCATCTACGCTCCCTGGATCTTCGACAGTTTGAAATCGATGAAGAGGAGGAGATGCGATCAGATTGGTTCTCGACTTTGGACTCTGCTATACATCAAGGCCGTCTTGATCTGGATTTCTTATCAATCGATGTAAATTTCCTGCATGGTCCGGATTGGGAATCAATCCCCCACGATAACCCTGATCAATTGTTCCGGTTTATCAAAAGCTTCATTAGCGAACGAATATGGCCGCTTAAAGAAGGGGAGCGCCCTATTTCTATCGCAAAGTGTCTCTTCATCGATTTTCACTATAACAGCATTAACGTAGACGGGGTTAATATATGGTATAGGAGTAGAAAGATCGGTCAAGACCTCCCTGAGAAAATGGAGAGCTGTCGCTATGGGGGAGACGAACTTGCAATGTACCAATTCCGTTGTGGAGATGACGACTGGTCTGAGGAACTCTGGCTTGAAATTTTAATCGTTTGATAGCTCGACGATCCTGAAGCTGTATATCTAAATAATCACGTTTAGTGTTTAGTACATGTAAGGACAAGGTATATCATCTCCCCCCCAGGGCTATAGAGTAACTATAAAAGAACAGCAACTCATCTCACTCGCTAACGGTTATAAGCGCTTTGTTACCACCTAATTTTTGACTCGTTTCTCAACAGTGTTGTGCGAGAAAGCCATCCGTGCCCAGAACCAAAATCCACGCGAATGCCGAGACAAGGGTGAGATGTTGACTTGAGTGCCTTAATCAGGCAGTATAGTTCTTGCGTATCATGAAAATTCTAGTCGGCGCAGCGAACAAATCATGATCTTCAAGGCGGTATATATGGGATGGTTCTACATTGCCACCCTGTGCCCCGAGTGAACGCCGTGCAATAGAACCGTCCTCGATGAATTGCAATATCTATTTTTTTTTGGGGGGGGGATGGCGTCTGGGCCAGTTCCCGTGTAACCCTTCGCGATTTGGAAAGACAGACATCACAACAGCTTCCACAATGCCTATGCCATTTTCTTGCCACTTTCTTGACTTATGTGTGATATGATGAAGCGTGTGTCGGTCCCCTTTTAGTGAGCTGCCGTTGTCAAAGTCCATGCCCTTAGAAACAATCATGAGGTGCACATGCTATATCGTCCGGGTATCGGGTGGATTGATCAGCACAAGTTGATACCAAGAGAACACTCAAACACTGAACTGGGCAACAATACGGCAGCAATTTCCGGGAAGCATCTGTGTCCTTTCAAGAAATTAATCATGTACATCGAAAGATCAGGTCTCCAAAATTGAAAGCACGCGATCCCGTCCCCGTACACTCTCGCCTAGTTCAACGGATGAGGGGCCGATCAGTAGTTGGGTCGGTGAAGACCAACGAATACCGGCTGTTGTCTGTCTTTTTAGCTGGAATGCTTCATGTTTTATCATTTTGTGTTATAGTGGAGACTAGGGCATATAGCTCCCACGATACCTTCAACAACCACATACGACCATACCCATTCGAGAACACGCGATCCCGTCCGCTCTCGCCTAGTTAAACGGATGAGGGGTGGATTAGTAGTTGGGTCGGTGACGACCAGCGAATACCCGCTGTTGTATGTTTTTTTTCTCAGTTTCTTCTATTTTTTAGGTTGATCAATCTCGTCTGTAGTGGAGGCAATGGCTGGCTGTTGAAGAGTATTAGCTCTTTCCAATCTCATTCTAGAACCATTTTCCGGTGTAAAAGAGCTGCTCTAGGGCGGCGGCCTTCTTTTTGACTTTGGAGCACAAGCACATGCAAGATCAAGTATCTAGCGTGTTTCCATAACTCGTGTGTTATTTCGAGATATTATAGCTTGGAGTGAGCTAGTTTCCAGGTCGATGGTCATCGTAGATATTCTCATGTTGGTTAAGAAATAATATACGTGAGTTTGGTAACGGCTTTGAAATGCACTGGTTATATCACCTGGATCTTGATGGGTTGTTTGGGTTAATATCATGAGAGCACTCAAACACTGCAACGAATTGAGCATTAAGGTGGCCGTTGAGGTCTAATTTCGGCCTTCGACTAAGCATGACTAATTGGGTACACAACAAGGAGAGTCAAAGGTACACGATAAATCTGAGAAGGAGAAAAATGCTTGGAAAATGCTTGGTCGGGAGGTTGCAGATGAGGTGTAAGTCAACGAACATCTACAGGGTAGGTGCCTAGCAAGAGAACCTGTCAGCCAACCTACATGGATTATAAGGTACCTTGAATGCCTCTTGGTATTAGCGTGGTAGGTGGGCGACTAGGGCACGAAGTATCTATGGTAAAGTACATGTAGGAGATAGGTAGGTGGCGTCTAATGGGTGATATAATGAAAATGGCCAGATTATCCGATGGACGTGTAAAAATCGACTTTTGCCGACCAATGTGCTGCTAGGATTAATAAGTAAATTGATCACAGCCAGGATCAACTGCACCAGGCATTGGCTCCCCGGACCTTGCATCATCACTTCCTACTAGCCAGGGTGCTGCCAAAGGATCCGGGGTTTTGGACAAGAGTTGCGGTGTCGGAGCCAGTCTGAGTAACACTGATGGTGCTGGGGGGGGCAATGACATGCGCGTCTGCAACTGGAGTCATCGCAGGTATAATTTCGCAGCAGTGACCCAATTGACCCTCCCGAACAACGGCGGACCTGAGATATTACCGCAAATGAGATTTTTTTTTCGTGCTAGCATTCTAAGAGCGTGCATTGGCTCCTGTCGCGTGGTCACCATCCGGTTCGGATCAGCGTTTAGTATTGAAGTTGTTGGGAGGAGCCCTGGGAGCTAGCCTCAGATAGCCCTAGTGAGCTCTCTTATCAGCGCCTATCAGCACCACTCTGAGAGACTCCGCCAATTTTTTTTGCGTCGAGCTTGCCCACACCCTCCCAAGGGCCATTCCCCCCACCAGGCTTTTGCTCAGTCTAAAAACGAGTCACCGACTCCCTCGACACTGGCCGCGAACTCTCCCTTCTGCTTGCCTAGCATATCTACTATCAAGCAGCCTTCAATTGGGAACTCGCAACCACTAGGCAGCCTGCCGATCAGTGCCACGGAAGCATTGATCTGCTGCGATGCCTCTCACCACCGCTGTGCTCGCTGGGCGCGCTCCGGCCCTCCTCCGATGTGGTCGCCGAGTCCCCCAAACTCTGGCTGCTCGCTCCTTCACTGCAGCTGCCTTCAAGGGCCACGCCCGGACGTCATTGAAACCTAGCCAGAACTTCCAAAAGCGCCTGGGAACGGTATCTATTGTCCGCCCTTATAGCGCCTCGACTCAGGAAGCCCCGAACCCCAAGGCATATCTTGATAGCGGGGTCATCAAGCCCAAGCAGACCGTCAGTGTCAAGAAGGTTCTTGTCATTGGTAGCGGTGGTCTAGCAATTGGCCAGGCTGGTGAATTCGATTACTCAGGTTCGTCATCGAAGCCTTTTTTTGGTCGTTCTCTTTGAGCGAGCCTAGTGAGACGAGACCAATTGCGAGTAGTGGCTAACCGGGTGTTGCCTCGATGTAGGTTCTCAGGCTCTCAAGGCCTTGAAGGAAGCTGGAGTCGCTTCCGTGCTCATCAACCCGAACATCGCCACCATCCAGACCAACCACAACCTTGCTGATGAGGTCTACTACCTTCCCGTCACCCCCGAATATGTTTCTTACGTCATTGAGAAGGAGAAGCCTGATGGTATCTTCCTTTCTTTCGGTGGTCAGACCGCCCTCAACTTGGGTGTTGAAATGCAGCGACAGGGACTCTTTGAAAAGTACGGTGTCAAGGTCCTCGGCACCAGCGTCCGCACCCTCGAGCTCAGTGAGGATCGAGACCTGTTCGCCAAGGCCCTCGAGGAGATTAATATCCCCATTGCTAAGTCAATTGCTGTCGGCACTGTCGAGGAAGCTCTTGACGCCGCCAAGACCATTGGCTACCCCATCATTGTCCGTGCTGCCTACGCCCTAGGTGGTCTCGGCTCTGGTTTCGCCAACAACGAGGAGGAGCTCCGAAACATGGCTGCCCGATCTCTGACCTTGTCTCCCCAGATTCTGGTCGAGAAGTCGCTTAAGGGCTGGAAGGAAGTTGAATATGAGGTCGTTCGTGACGCTAACAACAACTGTATCACTGTCTGCAACATGGAGAACTTTGATCCTCTCGGTATCCACACCGGTGACTCTATTGTCGTGGCACCTAGTCAGACTTTGAGCGACGAGGAGTATCACATGCTGCGAACCGCTGCAATCAAGATTGTCCGCCACTTGGGCGTTGTTGGTGAATGCAACGTTCAGTATGCCCTGCAGCCCGACGGTCTTGACTACCGAGTTATTGAGGTTAACGCTCGTCTGTCCCGTTCATCTGCTCTGGCCTCCAAGGCTACCGGATACCCTCTTGCTTATACTGCCGCCAAGATCGGATTGGGCCACACCCTACCCGAACTTCCCAATGCTGTGACCAAGACGACCACGGCTAACTTCGAGCCTTCTCTGGATTATATTGTCACCAAGATTCCCCGATGGGATCTGTCCAAGTTCCAGCACGTCAAGCGCGACATTGGCAGTGCCATGAAGTCTGTTGGTGAGGTCATGGCTATCGGCCGAACCTTCGAGGAGTCTTTCCAGAAGGCTATTCGTCAGGTTGACCCCCGATTCGTTGGATTCCAGGGTGACCACTTCGAGGATCTCGACTTCGAGCTCCAGAACCCTACCGACCGCCGATGGCTTGCCGTTGGCCAGGCTATGCTTCACGAGAACTACTCTGTCGACAAGGTTCACGAACTCACCAAGATCGACAAGTGGTTCTTGTACAAGCTCCAGAACTTGGTCGACTGCGTCCGCGAGCTTGAGGCTGTTGGAAGCCTCGAGGGCCTCAAGAAGGACCAGATCCTCAGCGCCAAGAAGATGGGTTTCTCTGATCGCCAGATCGCCAATGCTGTCAAGAGTACCGAGGACGCCGTGCGAGCTCAGCGTCTGAGCTTCGGCATTCGCCCCTGGGTCAAGAAGATCGATACCCTCGCTGCTGAGTTCCCCGCCGACACCAACTACCTCTACACAACCTACAACGGTTCATCCCACGATGTCACCTTTGAGGACCACGGAAAGATCGTCCTTGGAAGCGGTGTCTACCGTATTGGTAGCTCCGTCGAGTTCGACTGGTGTGGTGTTGCTGCCACCCAGGCTCTCCGTGAAATGGGCGAGAAGACCATCGTCATCAACTACAACCCGGTATGGCTTCACTCTAACGGAACGGATCATTGTTGTTGAATTGAAATGGTATGCTAACATTGAGATTTGATTTTAGGAAACTCGATCAACCGATTTCGATGTTGTTGACAAGCTCTACTTCGAGGAGTTGAGCTATGAGCGTGTGATGGATATTTACGAGCTGGAGCAAGCCTCTGGTGTGGTTGTCTCTGTGGGTGGCCAGCTTCCCCAGAACATCGCTCTCCGCCTGCAGGAGGCTGGTGGAGCCAATGTTCTGGGCACTGATCCCAAGGACATTGACAAGGCTGAGGATCGTCAGAAGTTCTCTGAGATTCTGGATAGCATTGGTGTTGATCAGCCAGCATGGAAGGAGCTTACTTCAGTCAAAGAGGCTGAGAAGTTCGCTGATGAGGTTGGCTACCCTGTCCTGGTTCGCCCCAGTTACGTTCTCTCTGGTGCTGCCATGACCGTCATTCACAGCCAGGCCGACCTCAAGGACAAGCTTGAGGCCGCCGCCGACGTCTCCCCCGACCACCCCGTCGTCATCACCAAGTTTATTGAGGGTGCCCAGGAGATCGATGTCGATGGTGTTGCCTCCAAGGGTGAACTGATCGTCCACGCCGTCAGTGAGCACGTGGAGCAGGCTGGTGTTCACTCTGGTGATGCTACTCTGGTTCTTCCTCCTGCTAACCTTGATGAGTCTATCATGGAGCGTGTCAAGGACATTGCCCGCAAGGTTGCCAAGGCTTGGAACATCACCGGCCCTTTCAACATGCAAATCATCAAGGCTGACGACCCCGAGGGTGGTGAGCCCCAGCTGAAGGTGATCGAGTGCAACCTCCGTGCCTCCCGATCTTTCCCCTTCGTCAGCAAGGTACTTGGCCTCAACTTCATCGATGTTGCCACCAAGGCCCTTATCGGCAAGGACGTCCCTGACCCCACTGATCTTATGGCTGTCAAGCGTGATTACCTCGCCACCAAGGTTCCCCAGTTCTCCTGGACCCGTCTGGCCGGTGCCGACCCCTTCCTGGGAGTCGAGATGGCTTCTACTGGTGAGATTGCTTGCTTCGGCAAGGATCTGGTTGAGGCTTACTGGACCTCGCTTCAGTCAACCATGAACTTCCGCATGCCTGAGCCTGGTGAGGGTCTCCTCCTGGGTGGTGAGGTCTCCAAGCCCTGGCTCATCCAGGTTGTGGACTATCTCGCCCCCCTCAACTACAAGCTCTATGCCGCTAGCAACGAAGTGAAGCAGTTCGTAGAGTCCGAGGCCAAAGGCAAGGTCGAGGTGGAGGTAATTGAGTTCCCCAAGGAGGATAAGCGTGCTCTCCGCCAGGTGTTTGAGAAGTACGACATCCGCGGTTGCTTCAACCTGGCACAGGCCCGTGGCAAGACGACGCTGGATGTCGACTATGTCATGCGCCGAAACGCCGTCGACTTTGGCGTTCCTCTATTCATGGAGCCCCAGGTAAGATTTCGTCCCATCTGCAATTTTATGACAGGGTAACCGTATGCTAATTATTACTCTTTAGACTGCCATTCTCTTTGCTCAGTGCATGAGCGAGAAGCTGCCCCGCAAGGAGGGTATTCCTTCCGAGGTCCGCAGGTGGTCCGACTTCATTGGCGGCAAGCCTCTGTAAGCCAATTAAAAAGGGATAACGATAGCAAAACGGAAGGGGACAATGGCGTTTTGTTCTGGTTAGATTCCATTCTTCAGTCTTGGATATGTGCCCGTTTGGAGAAAGATATGTGAGGCTACGGGGATTTTGGGTCTTACATCTTTTTTTCTACATTTTCCATCCAGACTGATGTGTAGTACTTTTTATTCCCCATCTCCTCCTCTTGACTTGATTTGATATTTGCGGGAGCCGAAAAATTGTGTTGATAGATGGGAGTCAGGGCACAATGCGAGAGAGAGAGAGAAGGGGAAAACACAAACAAGCGGAGTTCTTGAAATAATTTGCTACTTGCTTCCGAACATGAATGTGAAGTTGAACTATCCGAGCTTGCAATGTAATGTATAGTAGGAATAGCTGAAGAGGATGCGACGCGCCAGACATTCTTTTGGCGGCGTGAGACTAACGAGGTAGAATATGATACAGGCTCTCAAGGAGGCCAGGTGGAAACATTGAGATGATGACAGGAAACTTGAGCTAATGGATCAGCAATTGATGACAAGACGACAAGAATATGCACGCAGTTCGCTAGGTAGTTTGGCAGTAAAATGAGAATCCCGAATAGCTCCCAAAATTTTCACTCCCCATAAAAAACAAAATTTCCGCAGAGGACATGGCCAAATGGTAAGACATGTCCGAGCAGTATGTACAGTTAGAGCAGGGGTTCATACGATAGAATATGGAATATCATATGTGTATGTGTGTGAGTTCTGCATGCGTTTAGCTTGCCTTTCCGTTTTTGGACTGGGCGTTGAACTTTGCGACCTCCTCGCGGACCTTCTTGTTCACGCGAGACTGCAGTTCCGGGCGGTAGCCCAGGAAGAAGAGGATCTCGAGCCACACGAACATGGGGGCGAGGAAGAGGGCCTGGACGATGTTGTCCAGGAGGGCGGGGGCGCGGCCCTCGAAGGCGCCGTGGCCGACGAACTGGAAGATCCAGCAGGTCACATGGATGGCGACGGCATACTTGAGGGTGGTGTCCGGGTTGGCCAGCCTCATGTAGTTGCCAAAGGCGGCGGCTCCCAGGCAGATGGCCGAGAGGACGAAGCCGGCCACGGGCTCCAGCAGCAGGTAGAGCGCCGAGTAGAGAGAGGCTGCGATGGTGCCGAGGTTGAGGTTCAGGTAGGGGAGGGTGAGCCAGGATGGCAGGCTGATGAGCGTCCCCGTGTATGTTGCCTGGGTGGAATGACTCGAATTAGGGGCAGGCTACTACGGGATGTGGGAGTGTGGAGATGGAGGACTTACAATGGTGAATCCCGAGAAGAGAATCAAGGGCACGCAGATGACATGGATCGCGACATTAATCTTATTGTGGTGGTAAGATCCGTACTGGCAGCGGCGTTCATTCAGATTAGCGAGGGGCCAAGTAGAACGAACGGACGTCAATGAGACGGAAGACGGGAGCTTACGAAAACGAGGTGCTGCTCCAGGTCGAGCGCCATTTGGAAGGAATGAGAAGGGGTTCAGGCAAAAATTGAAGTGAATTGATTTGGTGGGAGGAAACGCGCGAAGCGAGATGAATAGCAAGCAAGCAAGCCGATGTTGATACAGGGAGCAGCAGAGGCTGGATGGAATAATTAGGTGGTGGAAGTGGACACCTGGTGCGGTGCAGAAGGTAAATCCAGGCAGTTATTTGGTTGGTAGGTACTTGGTCGCAGCTGAGACGAAATTTTGCGAAGAAAAGATGGTGGTGTAACACCGGCAGTAGCGGAGCGAACCACGGAGACCAGCAGCGGCAGACCGGGATTAATTACAGGTAGACAGCGACGAGATTGAGGCGGCCGTAGGGCATGAGGCAGACTGCTAGCCGGAGGAGGAGAATAGGAATGATGGGCTGGTGCGGGCGCTTGGTTAGTAGGAAGGAAGAGAAGGAGGATCTAAGTGTTGGAGCGTCGGCACGTCAAACAGACAGTCCGTTTTCGCGCTCAGCTTATAATAGCAGCCAGGCCAGGTCCCGGTACGCCCAAAGTCACTCTACCAATTATCGGCCCTGGCCTCGGCCGTGGGGCAGTGTGTAGACCAAATAAAAATAATAATAAAATGCCATCACGAGCCAGCCCTTCCCCATCTATTGGCAACCGGGCTGGATTATTCGTGCATCCACGCCCACTCCTATGCAATATGCGTGCATATCCCATCCCTGGATCTCGTGCTCGCCTTGGGCACGGGCACTAGGAAGGCATCATCGTTCCGGCTCCCATCTGCACCGCGGGACGATCCCCATGGGGTAGGCCGCCTTCCTTCTGTTCTGGCCGCCTCCTGCTCTGCGGTCGAGAGCTCCCCCATGTCTGAGGCTGTCGGCGATGGTTGAAGATTGGGGGTACATGAGGGACGAGCTCACGCGACACCCGGCCGATTGGTCTACAGGCCGCCTCAGGAGGCTTACGGCCTCAGTAGTTGGCCCAAGCGACGCGGACATCTGGCATCAGAAGCCGAGAGCAACAAGCATGCACGTGCGCCTCCTCGCCAGTCGTCAAACTGATAGAAGCCGGCATGCAGCCGTGACTGGTGCATGTACCGCGGTGCGTAGCGACAATCGAGCAGTCTGGAGTCGCGCCCACTTTCCCATTGGGCGTGCACGAGCCACCCTAGACCTCCACCTGTGCCTTGTGCCCCTGGCCACTTCCACTGTCAGTCAGCGCAGGCGGCCGTGGTAGTAGGTACCGGCCTTTCTGCGGCAAAGCTCAGCATCACGGTCCTGATTTTCTACCTCTCACCCAGCAGCAGCTCAACACTCACGAATACGCATCCGCCCCCCGTCATCCCTCTCTCGCCCCGCGCCCCGTTCAACACCTTGGTACGGAGTCACAGGAAGAAGCCTGAAGTGCGAGGGATCAGAGTAATCGCGTCGGGGCTTATAGTTAGCGCGACCTTCGGGGCTTTCTTTCTCTTCGATTCTCCTGGCGGCTTTGTTCGAGCGGCCGGCCCACTCGACTTCAGCCATTGTGAATTTCCATCTCGCGTACGAACGAACTCCCCCGTCGCGCATCGAACAGCGATAAACTTCTTCCGCGACGATTTAATGCGAGCGGCCGTGGGATTTGGCGCGAGGGCATCGTAGTTACTTTGGGCTTGACCGCGGGATAGAAAGCTGACCGCCGACACGTCGGTTTACGCATCCCCGTTTCGTCGCGCATCATGTTTTTCCTCTACAACATGGAGCGCAGGGTCACCCTGCATCCATCGTACTTTGGCCGCAACATGCACGAGCTTGTGACGAGCAAGCTGCTCAAGGACGTCGAGGGGACTTGCGCCGGAAGCTACTACATCATCTCCATCATGGATACGTTCGATATTTCCGAGGGGCGCATTCTTCCTGGAACCGGCCTGGCCGAGTTTACCGTTGGATACCGTGCTGTCGTTTGGCGGCCATTCAAGGGGGAGACGGTAAGATAGTTGTGGGCTGACTTCTTGTGGTACGCAAGGCTGATGCATGGCAGGTGGACGCCGTTGTCTACTCCATCAACCCACAGGGCTTCTTCGCCCAAGCTGGGCCTTTGCGCCTCTTCGTATCGGCCCATGTATGTTGAGAGCGGTTTCATGAGACAGACCGCATCTTGCTGACAGGCGCTGCAGTTGATCCCCGGTGATATCAAGTGGGATCCCAATGCCACCCCCCCTCAATTCACTAATAACGAAGACACTGTCATCGAGCCAGGGACTCACGTCCGCGTCAAGATCATCGGTACAAGAACCGAGGTCGGAGAAATGTGGGCTATCGGTAGTATCAAGGAGGATTACCTTGGGTACGCTGCCGCAGCATTTGCGATCCATTCCTTGTCCCTAATGCTGATATGTGATTCCAGGTGTCTTCAGGGTTGAGCTCATCTTAGTACCTGAGAGAGTGTTTACTCTTGGTCTATTAACCATCCTAGAATTCAACCATTCCAAGCCGTCCCCCAGAGACGCATCAAATCTGGGCATTGGCCGCCTTCTTTACAGCCTTGGGCGGTCATGGCATTCGAAAGTCGATGGATATTGACGATCAAAGGCTTCCTTCTAATAGATCAACGGCTAACTTTGGGAGTTTAATACCGCTCTCTTGGCATCATGTGTTGGCCTCACTCCATTTTCAGTTCATGCATGCAAACAAGGAGTTTACCGCAGTGCTCCTTGCAGGATGAGTTTCTCCGTTTCGAGTTGGCCGCATAAAAGTCTGGTGTTTTTCAAAGACTTGTTTCGTACACTAGACATTCATTAGTAGCTGAAATGACAAAATGCAATTGGATACCCAGTTAGGGCCGCAGCTAGCCGAGTGAAAGATGTTCGAGCTCCTAAGGTGTATGATGTAAGTTAATTAGAGAGAGTGCAGTTGAAAACTAAGAGATGCGCTTTCAATTGACCAAAATCTTCAGCTTGTCTGAGGCCTATGCTGCCCAGAGAATCTGAAACGATGTCGGAGCAACCTCCTCTCCCCACACCATTGCTCCCCTCCGCTCTCCACCTCACTCCCCGCATCCTGCTCAACTCATACAACTGGCAAGTTCATGACTTGGCTTATCTGAATTATTTAGCCGGAACCGCAGCTACAGCGCACTCGGGATCTCAATCCTAGGCACTAGGCCCAATATATACTTCGATCCCTCTGCGCCTCGAGCTTCTGATTGGAGACTCCATCACAACCTGGCTCAGCCTAACAACATACACAATCACTTAGTCTCCTCCAGACGACCCCATCCGAAGACTTGCACATATCTGGCTGGAATCCGTCGCCGGCCTGAAAGTCCCACCTATTAAACTCCACCTCCCCGTCCGTTCGTAAACATGCGTAGATTCGTCTCTAGCTCTCGGCCATTATACCGATCTCTCGGTTCGCCCTCCCCTGCTTGCCAACCGAAACGCTGTGCTGCGGCAACCAGATCCATAACGATGCAGTCCTCGAACAGACTCAAGGTCGCCCTGGCACAGGGTCGGCAGGCCTTTGGCGCCTGGCAGATGCTGCCGGGGGCTAACATCTCCAGGCTCCTGGCTCGGACAAACGCCGATTGGGTTTGCGTGGATTGTGAACATGGCAACATGGACGGTATGAACTCACGCTGTTGCCTAATAAATAGGGGATGAAATAATGGGAACTTGGAGAACTGACTTTTGCAATCGCAGATGGAGCTATGCATGATGCCGTCCCTGCTATCGCGGCTCTCGGAGTCTCCCCGATCGTGAGACTCCCAGATATGCAGTCTTGGATGGTCAAGCGTGAGTGAACGGTACTGGGTTATTTTGATAGTGCGATGCTGATGATCTTGCAGGCGCTCTGGACTGCGGAGCCCATGGTGTATGTTTACGAACTGGGAACCATGCTTCTTTGATAGCGCTTACATTGATACACTTAGATCCTCGTACCACTGCTACGCACCGTCAAGGAAGCCGAAGATCTGGTCCAGGCTGCCAAGTTCCCCCCGCTTGGCCGGCGAGGTTTCGGCTCGCCCATTGCCATGGAGCGTTTCAGTCCCATGCCCACCTTCACGCAGTACCTGCAGCAGGCCAACGATACGCTCCTGACTATCGTGCAGATCGAGACACAGGAGGCCCTTGACGCTGTAGACCAGATTGCGGCGGTTGATGGCATTGATGTGCTCTTCATTGGACCTTTTGACCTAGGTGGGTTTCCTTTACTTTCCCGAGACTTTATTTTATAAGTCATCAACATGGTACTAATTACGAGAATGTCCAACTGCAGGCAATAATATTGGCCATCCCATTGTCGGAGAAATGGCACCGGAGTTGAAGGCCGCCCTGGCCAAGATCCTGGAGGCTAGCCACAAAGCCGGCAAGAAGTGCGGTATCTACTCTACCGGGGGCGAGCAGGCGAGGCTGTTCGCCGAGCAAGGATTCGACATGATCTCCTTCGCAACTGACTACACTCTTCTCGAGTCCACAGTCAAGAATTCATTGGCCATCGCCTCGGGGGGACCAAAACTCGCCAAGGGCGTGTCGTATTAAATCCAGCAACTGTATATACATGGGATACAATCTTTCCTAGTGGGTGTAATTGGCCATTCAAGACGGGGTGGTCATTACTTGCTCTCCACCTCGTCCATCTTGGCCCGCACCTGTTCAGGCGTGAAGCGGTGCATCAGCTTGACGGCCTTGCTGGCCGTGGTCACGTCTTCGCTGGGGGAACTGCTCTTGCTGATGTGAATCTGGGAAATATTGAGTTGGAACCATTCGCCGCGAGCCAATTGCTCTTCTAGTATGAGATAGAGAACGATAAAACTTACGACGGGGACATCAAAGTCATATAGATCCCTCCATTTCGAGCCCTTGACGTCAATGTTCTCCTCGACGTAGGCGAATGGCCTGGCATCCCAGACCTTGGACAGCGACTCTTTTGCTTGGTCGCACATGCCGCAGCTGGGACGGGTGAAGAGAGTGATTCTGCATGATTGCAGGAGGCGTCTTGTAGCAAACATGGTTGGATTCTTGGGCTACTTGATTTTCTGGTAGCTGCAGTAATAGCTCTTACCTAGGCACGTTCCTAGTGACAAGGGTTTAATCGCATGTCGAGCTATACCAGCTCGCGGAGTATTGCCATGGATTCCTTGAGTTTATGGGGCTGTCTTATTGGCTGGGTATAGCTCTTTCACCCCGCATCTAAAAAGGAAGGCGGTGAGGGTCCCAGCTCAGAGCAGGCAGCCCATCGTCATGGCTAAATTTCTAGAACATCCCACCCCACTATCAACGAGTGTACAGCACCTGTTACCTACATCTTGTGCTAAGCCTTCTGGCAGCCGACGTTGTTTAAAACATTCCAATTCTCTGGCATCAGCTTCACTAGACCTTGAACCCCCACGGAAACTCGGGAATAAGCATCCAACATGGCACAGAAATGTGTTCACCAGGGCTGTGGCAAGGAGTACACAGACCCCGAGGAGAAGTGCTACTACCACCCCGGTCCACCTGTCTTCCACGAAGGGCAGAAAGGTAATCGGCAGCATGTCGTCGCAGCTTCACGACGCCACCTCTCTACAGGCCGAATTGGATAATTACTGACCAGTGTGATGCAGGATGGAAGTGCTGCAACCCACGTGTCTTGACTTTTGATGAATTCATGGAGATCACGCCCTGCACGACCGGCGTCCACTCCACCACCGACAAGCCCCCTCAAATCGAAGAGAAGCCCAAGGTTGACGAAGCGGCGCTGGCCAAGAAGATAGAGGAGGCAGCCCCGGGGCGGGCTCCCATCCAACCCGCACAGCATGTGCCGACCCCGCCCCCGCCACCTCCAGAGTCCGAGGACGACGACCCGAGCTTAGAGATTCGGGACGGTACCATATGCAGGCGCAAGACGTGCGGCGCCAAGTACAAGAAGGGGGCTTCCCGGGATGGGGAGAAGTGCACTCACCACCCCGGTGTTCCAATTTTCCATGAGGGTAGCAAGGGATACTCTTGCTGCAAGCGAAGAGTATTGGAGTTCGACCAGTTCATGCTCATCGAAGGATGTAAGACAAAAGATAAGCATCTCTTTATCGGAAGTGGGAAGAAGGATAAGGCGGCCGGGGGAGGCGAGGAGGTTTTGACCACTGTTCGGTATGTATTTGCCCTACCTGTTGATCCTGGACTCCCTTTGGGAATGAGGGGAGGGAAGAAGACAGGGATGCTGACGATTGTGCAGACACGACTTTTACCAGACCCCCAAGTCGGTCATCGCATCCATCTTCCTGAAGAAGATTGTGAAGGACACCGCCAAGGTCGAGTTCCTGGCCAAGTCTCTGAACCTGGACCTCGTGACTAGCGACTCACCTCCTAAGCGATATGCCACCGAGTTCCCGCTTTTTGGCGAGATTGACACGGAGCAGTCCTCGTTCAAGGTTCTTGGATCAAAGCTGGAGTTGAATCTCGTCAAGGCGGACGGGGCATCCTGGCCTGTGCTGCGAAGCGACGACGCACTGACCGGAGAGATCCTGCAGATCGGAAAGGCTGGCCGCGCGTGATATGATATGACGATATTGGAAAGATAAAGAAGGCTACACTATAGCCAGAGAAATTAGGACATTTTAAATGACATTTGCATGAATAAAAGAAAAGGAAGAGAGATTTGCGGCGATTTCGGAGTTGGGCGGGAAGGCTTGGTCGAGGATGACAGTTTGGAGGGGTTGCATTCTTTGAACCTGAGGAATAATGAATACACTTAGTTTTGAACTGCTGCAGCTTGATGAGCAAGCTTCCACTGTCCTCTGGTCCGCGGAACCCAAAGTAAAAGAAGAGTGAGCGAGGGCGCTATGCCGGTGCCAAAAACGTCGATTCGTCTCCAGACCAACGTAGAAAGTGAAAGCGGAATTAAGTATTGCGACATCTTCCATCGCGTGATCCCATGCAGGCATGCATCATGACGATGACTCCACCGCCATGTGCACGAATATAACCAGGCTGCTGTCGGCTATCATCGAAAACTCCCAATGCTACGGTCTTCGCAGCACCTTGGGCTGGTATTGCCAATGTAGGTAGCGCCGATTGCTCGCTTGACTTGCTATCTTGGTACGGGCCTGCGATAAGGGAGCGCAGAGCTGGACAGAAGTAGGCTTCTGGAGCCGGAGACAAGGCACACTGATCGAATATGCTTGTTCGACGCCCAATCACAGGAGGGATCGCAGAATTTGAGTTACGAGATGAATACTGATCTGCGCGCAAGCCACTGGAGAAAGTCGGCAGCAGCATGCCCATTGGATTGGGCTGCCGGGAGAGTTCGTCGTCGGGAACGCTGATGAGAGGGCGGGTTAGGTTGCGATAAGGTCGCTCCACCCCACCACCAGGCCTGGGGCTGAGAGCGTGGTCACCAAATTCAGGTACGTAAACAGCCCGCGCTCTGACTGGCTGCAGGGCCGCCCTCCCACGCTGGTCGCTGGCCTGAGATAAGGCGGCCAGCCCATGCGTCGGTTCGCTAAACCTAACTGGTGGACCAGCGGCGGCCCCCTGATGGGTCCTGAGGCGCTCTTATCCAAGGTTCGAGATAAGTGTCGCTGCCGTAATTACATGCCTGCTTGCCTTGGCCGGTTCTATGTCGTTGCTGCCATTGTCTGGGGGAATGGAGCGCGGTTGCCTTCGATAGACGTACATGACTCTGGGATTTTGCTCGCCGTGCTGAGATACAAAAGGCTGACTGCTTCCCCGCCACCTCCCTCCCCTCCCAAAACTAATTGAGGGCTCACGTCACGTCACCTTGCATCACCCGAGTTTGCTCTTATCAGCAGAAGCGCATCCGGGTTTATCTGCCTTCCTACTATTGCATAGCACACCTATTCTAATCAGACCGACCACGCGCAATCATGTCTGCCGAAGTGTCGCACGGCCGCGGTGGCGCCGGCAACTTCAATGCCGATGATACCAAGTATGAGGACGGCTCTATCGTCCGTGTTGGAGATGAGGGTAGCCATGGAGACGGTGCCTACAGCGCTGGCCGCGGAGGTGCGTTCCTTTTCCCTTTGCTTTTTGGTCGTGTCCCCATCCAGCCCTGTTCCTTGTCAATGGACGAGTATCCTTCTTGCTATCAGTGAGAGGGTCTCCCTGACACATGCCGCCCTCTTGTATGGATCGGACCCAACAAACCTGGGATTTAAATGAAAGAGGCCGCGATCGTCGTGAATTCATTCGATTGATATTATTGCCCTATTCTTAACGTCTTCACGACTCACCTTTTGCCACATCCCTGACCCCCTGGGGAGGGGATAAGCTATATATGCTTCCAATATAGTGGCGTCAACCCGGCTAATATATCTACTGTCAACACAGGAGCTGGCAACATTGGTGATGCTGGCGTCAAGGGGGCGGAGCGCAAGGACGCTGATGTTATCCCAGAGGCCGCCGTCCGCAACAGCATCAACATCAACCACCACACCGGCCGGGGTGGTGCCGGTAACGAGCAGCACGCTGCGTCCGAGGAGACGGCTGCTCCCGCCGAGAAGGCTGCTGGGACGCCCGCCTCGCCACGCGGCTTGGCCGACAAGCTCAAGAACAAGATCTTTGGCGCCTTCAAGAAATAGATACTCCGCGGCATGGATAGCAGTAATGCGACGACCTGGGGGAGACGTCTGTGAAGATCAAGTCAGTGATTAGACTTCGTTTCCCGTTGATTAAGACCTGACTTGAGAGCAAAACTGGGAACTTGGAAGGGCTGGCCAGGGCTGACGGAGGGGTTGGAGGATTGTTCTGTTCTTTGCAACAACAGTGATACCTTGTTTTCTAGAGTTATCGTTATACCATTGAATTATTCCTTTCTTTGATGTGCATGATGAGTGCCTGAGTCGGATGACGACGCTATGGTAGTGCGTAGTGCCACCGCAACTCCACAGTTGACGTAGTTCGCCGGGGGATCTCCATCTGAGTGTTGATGTGACGGGCTGGAGAGTCCGTGAGCCCGGCCCAAGGAGGACCCCTCAACTTGACGATCCCCGGACTTACGTGTGCTTCAATATGTGATGCATGTTTGAGTAGTCTGTTACTTGAGGATCTTCCCTCATCCTGGACTATTCAGCAGTCGATCCTACCCCGCTCCTTGGGCCGGCAGTTGTCCCCCAGTTTCCACAAGCTGTTATCATTCGAAACAATCCCGTACTGTGGAGATGACATATGAAGATCTGGGGTGAACAGGCGGGATGGGCACTTCTTATGCAAATGGACGGAAGAGCCATGGAGTGTGTTTGGGCCACCTGATTGCCATCGTGTCTCAAACTGGGTCGTTGCTGCACTTGCACTCATGCTCAGGTGATTGGAATGGGGTCCATGGGAATAAGAGATGTTGTGATAATAAGGCTTCTGGCAGAAAGAACGCAGTAGCTGCCCAGCGAATTGGGCATCAGTTTTTTGGCACGGAAGCGCCTACCTAGTGATTAGCGCCTTGCGCACCCACTCTCGAGGTCACGTAGCTTGCCTCGTTTTTGGAGGCTCAATCCTTTTGGAGCTGGCTCCTGGCATGTCTAACCCATTCTTGATGGCATTAGACGCCTTTGGGATGTGCGTCTGTCACAGAAGGTTGCAGTTCTGGCGGGACCTGTGATGGAGACAACAGCTGCCAGTCATGCTGTGTGGTGTGGTACTCTGTACGGCAAAAATGGCTGCCAATCCCAAACCACAGCCCATTCTGCAAGGCCAATACTGGGGACGTCTCACGATGGACCAGTGTCTGTACGAAGCCTGCCGGTCATCCCTGCTTTACTTCACTAATGCACAGGTAGCGCCAGAGCCGACCTGCTTGGTGAACCTTCTGGGGTTAATTCGAGTGGTATGAGCGGTCAGGCATGTGAGCGAGTGGCAAGGCGGAATGAACAATGATCGTATTCATATTAACCTTGCTGTCCTTCTCTCTCCCCCTCCGCTCATCTCCGTCTTCGCATCATGTTATGCTGTGCTGTGCTGTGCTGGCCCCTCTCGAACATGCTTCCTCCCATCTGCTCTCCGCTTTCGACCTACCCAAATTAGCGGTTGTGAGCAGTTCGTCTGATACCATCACCCCTGCTCCTTCGAGGGATGCGATTGAGTCCGGCGCAGCAGACCCGGGACTCACGTGGTGCGCCAATAGCCTAAGACTGGCAGACGCAAATGGCCGAGTAGACCATCCGCCACAGGTGACTTTTATCACGGCCTCTGCTCCATTGTCCGAGACCTTGTGAACAGGGACGGACGGGAACATCCTATGGGACGGACAGCCAGCTCCGCCGTCAGCAAACCCCACAGCGCAGCCAATCACCGGCCTCCACTCATAGACACAGGGACAAGGGTGGCTCAGGCGCCGTGACTTGATAGGCAGCCTCTTATTAGGCTTTGGGCCCAGCCGCAATGGCCGGGAACCTTCAGCCTCCACGACCTCAACTGCAAGGTCGGAGGCACCAGTCGGGCTTCTCTCATCTGTCCAAAGACTCTTACAGATCATTCGCGACATCCGCCTTCGAGGCCGACGACGAACTTTCGTACACCTCTGATGCTGAGATGAGCTCCCGCCATAGCGACGGAGAGGACGGGGGCGGCGACATGCCGAGGCGGCTGCAGGTTCCTGCGTACTCTGGCCATGATGCTCGCCCGACGAGCCAGAAGGAGCTGGCAGGCTGGTATATGTATGCCTTCGCGTCTGAAACGTATATGGTCTGCGGAATCGGTATGTTAGCCCCATTTGCGAGAGACTCGTACTTGCCGGAAGCTTACTCACACCCCATGCGATAGGCTCATTCATCCCTATTCTCCTCGAGACCCTCGCGCGCGAGAATGGCTACCTCGTATCCGACCCGACGAAACCATGCGGCAGCAGTGAGAGCAAAGGCGACGGGACGGGACCTTGCGTGGTGGATGTAATAGGCATCCCGGTCAACACGGCTAGCTTCGCCATGTACACCTTCTCCGCCAGTGTCCTCCTCCAGGCATTACTCGTCGTCAGTATCAGCTGCGCCGCAGACCACGGCGCCTACCGGAAGAAGCTCCTCCTGACATTTGCCTGGATTGGCAGCATTTCTGTCATGTGCTACATCTTCATCACCAAGACGAACTATATCCTCGGCTCGATGCTGACCATCATCTCCAACACGGCATTCGGCGCGTCCTTTGTTCTCCTCAACTCCTTCCTCCCTGTTCTCGTGCGGAACCATCCCGAGGTCATCAAGGCTCGGGACCCCTTGTCGCCCGACCTGGTGAACTCGCATCTGGAATCTAGAGCGCTTGCAGACTCGACTGGGGATCTTCGTGCCGACTCGACGTCTCCCCTTCTGGATGACAGTTTTGGCCCCGGCTCTGGATATAGCCTCAAGCCAAGCCAAGACGAAGTCATGTCCAAGGAAATGCAGATTTCATCCGCGATCTCGGCTAAAGGTGTTGGCATTGGATATTGCGCTGGGCTGTTTCTTCAGTGCGTGGCTATTGTCATTCTTCTGGCAATGAAGGCTACGCCTACTTGGGCGCAACGAGTCGTCCTCTTCATCGTTGGGGCATGGTGGACCATTTTTACCATCCCTGCCGCTATGTGGCTTCGTCCCAGGCCAGGCCCGCCTCTGACAGATGGATCGAAGGGTGGGCTATCCTATATCATATACGCCTGGAAGTCACTCTTTAGAACTATTCTGCTTGCAAGACGCCTCGTCGACATCATCATCTTCCTTGCTGCCTGGTTTCTTCTCTCCGACGCCATTGCGACTACGTCATCGACGGCAATCCTGTTTGCAAAGACGCAGTTGCATATGAAAGCCTGGGCATTGGGCATGATCAATGTCATTACTACACTTTGCGGAGTGGTGGGTGCTTTTGGCTGGTCGGGCATCTCCAAGAAGTTCAACTTGAAGCCCCACCATGTCATTCTCGTGTGTATCGGTCTTTTCGAGCTCATCCCACTCTACGGTCTCCTGGGCTATTTGCCTTTTGTCCAACGGTGGGGGGTCTTTGGGCTGCAGGAGCCGTGGGAGATGTACCCTCTGGCCGCCCTCTACGGACTTATCTTGGGCGGGCTCAGCAGTTACTGTCGATCCCTGTACGGAGAGCTCATCCCGCCAGGCTCCGAGGCTGCATTCTACGCGCTGTTTGCCATCACAGACAAGGGATCGAGTGTTTTCGGGCCCGCCATTGTTGGCGCCATCATTGACTCATCTGGGACTGTGCGGCCGGCGTTCTGGTTCCTTGCGGCACTCATTGGTCTGCCTGCATTCATTCTGTGGTTCATCGATGTAGAAAGGGGCAAGATTGAGGGCGGAAAGCTTGCGCGGGCAATTGAGGGCGCAGAAGTTGTGGGTGGAGGAGAGACGGGTGATGATGCGGAAACTCGTGGCATGATTGCGGATTACGAGGGCAGCGAGGACGCCGCACAGTACAGCCCCCCGCGGTACTAGAGCATTACAGTTGTTCCATCGGACCTTGCCTGCCTTGTGGTTTGGTTTATAGTTTCTGTTTGCATGCATAGCGCCTGGCGTTGGGACGTTGATGAAATGTGGTTTGGATTTCTGTCTGACTGATTCACTCTCTTCTGGTTGGGGGATACAATTCGACTTGGGTATGTCCCATAGTGTCGCATGGTTGGATTGGATATATGGTACCTCTTACGTAGTAGCAATCTTGATGTTGTGCTGCTTGGAAAATGAGCCCCCAATGAGTGTAAACAAAATCCGGCTGGGCTGTCGCACGAGCGACCTGAGCGTGAGTTGGCCGAAGGGGCTCGCCTCCCAGCCTCAACATATGCACCCGCCTCCTTTTATTTCGTTTCATTTCTTTTTCCCTTTCGTTTCTTTTTCTCTCTCTCGTTTGACCCAGCTCCTCTGTGGTATCACAACTGCCAAGGCGATCAAGCCATCGCTTTGTTTACATTGGGACTTGTACCGCTCGAGTGGTCGACTTGATGTGGCCTCGGCCAAGTAACAGCCCACCCAATTTTACTTGCACGCTACTGCCCGGCGCCCATACCGGTGTACCCGTTCCAGCGAGTACCACTGCCATATCCCTCTCCAACCCCCCTGGAGGCGGCTTAGTCATCGACCACGGCCAAAAAGATCTACTGGTAGCGCGCGGATCTCGTCCCCTCTGCCACCCTTCCCCCCTCCAGACGCGTTCTTCCATGTAGTTCTGGCGAGAATTATCCAATCTTGTACCATATATTTTCCCCTTGCTGGAGCACCGTCGTCATTGTATATTCGCGCGACAGCACCACCTCCCACGCTGTGGACTAGCTGGAGCAGAGCAAATCCAGCTCCTCGGCCTCTGCCAGACCCGTGTTGATTTTTTTTCGCCCGCTTTGAGACCGGTCGCGTCCCCGATTGCCGTTGCGCATAGCTTTTTCTCAGGGCGGTCGCGTTCTGCACCCACGCGCTATTCTCAAGATTTTCGCACCCGCCTCGCCATCTCGCGACTGCACTGCCGCCCGACGGAGACATTCACCATCGCCTGCAGCTTCCCAGTCACACCCATCACCAACTACTATTGGCACACCGCGGTCGGAATGCCATCAACTAAGCGCCCGAGGTCCGCCGCGGACGAGAATCGTGCCGAATGTCCCTTCTCGGTCCAGACTCGGCCATTG